CACAAAATAAAGAAAGACAACAGCAGCAGAAAACAAACTGACAATGTTTATCCAGGATCTCTGTGAACAGGGGATGAACACCTTCAACAATCACTGAGTTATGAACAAAACTTGTCAGATTTACGCATTTCTTCCCTCAAAAGCTCTTCAATCTGATCCGTTCTCTCGTAAACATTCTTCCTTTTAATAACGGCCATATTGTGCTGTGAAAACGGAGACGCGAGACTCCGTAAAGGACGTAGTCAGCGGACCAATCACAGCCTGGTGCTGCAGGAGGCTGCGTCGCTTTAGACGCTTGTCTAGAAAAATGGGTCGACACACGCAAGGAGGTGTGAAAAGACACGCAAGGGACACGCAGGGGACTCTTGCGTCCGTGTGTCCTTGCGTCTCTCTGAAAACGCAGAAGCATAAACTAGGCTTCAGTGTTGGTAAGAGGACACCCACACCCTCACCTCTGCACATCCGCACCTACACACTTCTGGTGGGTGATGACATCACCACAGCGCCAGGATGTGTCATATACCCTTGTCCCCTCGTGCATAATTCATAAATGTAAAATGGCCCCTGGTCCCACTGAAGCATGTCAGCTGCTCACACAGTCCTACTGTTGTTGCTTAAAGCTCCCTTAAAGCCTTGTCAGTCTGAACTGGTGGTTTTATCAAAGGAGGGTGTGTTACAGAGCAAAAGGTCACCCTGTAACACATAATGCCCAATGTTGCTGTGTTTGTTTCCCAGGGCAACCACGAAGGGGAGAGGATAATACGTCTCTGTGTCTTTACTGGAAGTATAGAATTACTCTACACATGATGCAGGGAGACCCCTCCATGCACTGGGTCCGTCACATAGGAGACCCCTCCATGCACTGGGTCCGTCACATAGGAGACCCCTCCATGCACTGGGTCCGTCACATAGGAGACCCCCTCCATGCACTGGGTCCATCACATAGGAGACCCCTCCATGAACTGGGTCCGTCACATAGGAGACCCCTCCATGCACTGGGTCCATCACATAGGAGACCCCTCCATGCACTGGGTCCATCACATAGGAGACCCCTCCATGCACTGGGTCCGTCACATAGGAGACCCCTCCATGCACTGGGTCCGTCACATAGGAGACCCCTCCATGCACTGGGTCCGTCACATAGGAGACCCCCTCCATGCACTGGGTCCGTCACATAGGAGACCCCTCCATGCACTGGGTCCGTCACATAGGAGACCCCCTCCATGCACTGGGTCCGTCACATAGGAGAACCCCTCCATGCACTGGGTCCGTCACATAGGAGACCCCCTCCATGCACTGGGTCCGTCACATAGGAGACCCCCTCCATGCACTGGGTCCGTCACATAGGAGACCCCTCCATGCACTGGGTCCGTCACATAGGAGACCCCTCCATGCACTGGGTCCATCACATAGGAGACCCCTCCATGCACTGGGTCCTTCACATAGGAGACCCCCTCCATGCGCTGGGTCCGTCACATAGGAGACCCCTCCATGCACTGGGTCCGTCTCATAGGAGACCCTGCTGTCATTAGCACGTTATTCACATCCACCGAGAGAACTTTAGTGCCTTGTTCCTTCAATAATAATAACCTTGGAGGAACCAGGCAGACATCCCTAAGATGAATGAATGAATGAATGAATGAAGGCTGACTGAACCTTCTACTGGAGGCTGCTAATTTAGCTTGATTTCAAAATGGAGATCTAGAAGGGTTGCTAGAATAAATCCAAAAGAAAATACTTTCACTTTTAATTAATTCTTCTAAATTTGAGGCAAAATTATATTGATCCATTCTAAGATGAGTAGGGCACATGAAGGCCATTTTAAGGAAAAAGGTTTCACAGGGTCAGACAGTGAGATGAATTTGAAAGGCACTTGTTGTGTTACAGTGTAAGTGGACCAACCCTGTTGAGAACTTCAGTCCTTTACTGAAATGACAAGCAAATGGCACTTTGCTTGGATTCCGTTAAGGTGCCTCGGGTTACATGAGAGAACATATTAAACTAATTAAACTAACTAAATGGAGGAGAACGGAGAATAATGTAAGCGATGATAATCACGTCTAGCTGATGTCCTGTTGTCGAGGCAGCAGACGGGTCTGTCCCTGTCTGCGTGATGGCTGCTCATTTTGTTCAGACGACACACTGAAGCCTAGTTCATGCTTCTGCCTTTTCAGAGAGACACAAGGACACGCGGACGCAAGAGTCCCCTGCGTGTCCCTTGTGTGTCTTTTCACACCTCCTCGTGTGCGTCGACCCATTTCTCTAGACTAGCGTCTAAAGCGACGCAGCCTCCTGCAGCACCAGGCTGTGATTGGTCCGCTGACTACGTCCTTTACGGAGTCTCACGTCTCCGTTTTCACAGCACAATACGGCCGTTATTAAAAGGAAGAATGTTTACGAGAGAACGGATCAGATTGAAGAGCTTTTGTGGGAAGAAGGAAAATACGGGACAAATGTGTCCTTGATGAAAAGCAGCAGTGTGGATGCACGGGGCAATAAAGTCTATGATAATAAATAAGCAACCGCGACTTCACACACAAGACGTGACTCTCTCGGTCGTCTTCAACAAAACACGTGACTCCACCTGTTGTTCTGGAGGTGAATCGCTCTGCAACACACCCAAGACTTTCCAACCAGGAAGTGAAACCAGTGCGTCGACGCGTAAAGACGCAGAAACATGCGGCAGCCTTAAGGTCCGTGGTGTCACAGAGCTTCACCGTCATTGGAAGTCAGTGAGTTGGTGGCAGGTGTATGTGGCATTGTAGTTGACCCATGCATTCACATAAGGACTTGATAAATATACTTAGGGACCGACAGAATATTCAGATATAACAAAACTGCATCATAAACTAAGTTTTTTTTGTCATGAATTATTTGCTTTTGCAATGAGTCCACAGACGTCCGTGTGGGGGATCCAAATCCACAAGGAGGCTGTAGTTTGTATCCGGGCCACGTACTTTGCTTGTGTCTTTGTTTTCTTTGTTGTTGTCATTTTAAATGTTGTCATTTTGCGTAAAACAAAACCAAATTGGTTTGTAGTTTTTATTCAGATGTTTTCAATTTAGAATGTGTTTAAAACGGCGCCGGTCCTCTTGGTTGAGCCGGTGCATCAGCGTCGACTGTAACCTCAGGTGCTCCGCTCCAATAGCTGCTGGGGGTTGGTGGTAATACCCAGAGGACGAGCCCCCCACCCATGACGTCAGAGCTGCATTCTCTCTGCTTCCTCTTCCTGCCTCTGGAACGGGGGCGGTGGAGGAGCGTGGGTCACCATATCCTTCGAAAAGCGTTTGTCTTTCATTCTGTCAGCTGGACTGAGGCCAGCTGAGCAGCGCTGCTCACAACAATGGGACTGGTCCTCCGGGCCGAGACAGAATGGCTTCAGTCTGCCCTCATTCTCTCATTGCACAGATTTTCAGAGCATCCTGAGCAGATGAAGTGGGCCGAGGTCAAGCGAGCCAACTTGGTGTGGACGGACTGCAGGTTTAATACACTGGGTGTGTGCAGAGGTGGACACTTCCTGTGGACAGTATGTATCCTCAAGTCGTACAAGCTGAATCAGACTACACACTGCTGGTACCTGCTATTCACATGACACGTATGGGCCTCAGCACCAAGTGTTCTCCATGGACAATCCCATTTAGCACCCAGCTTTCAGTAGCACGCTCCCCATGCCTTCCCCACGAGACACCGGGCAGTAGTTTACCCTACGAATGATGAGATTATTTTCTATGGGAACTAGTTAAGAAAGTATGACCCTAATTACAGCTGGCCATTTAGTGTTTCCTTCAAATAAGCCGTTGATCCTCTTAGAGTAGGAATTCCTGCTTCACTTTATGTTGCATTCCTTTAGGAAACTGAACAAGAAGCAAACGTGGTTCGCTGAAACAATCCTCAACAAAAGCTCTGCGTCCTGCTGTCTGGGGGACATTTGTCCAAAGTCATAGTAAATTACCATGAAGAATTCTCAATTGCAAAGTTGAGCCTCTATGTTCCCCTACATCAGTAAACAATGGTGACAAGAGTGTTTCTTTATAGTCATTCTTTACGCTTACCATTAGTGCAAATGGTGCAGATTCCAGCAGAAACAGGTTCTCGAGAAGCGCCCTGCAGCAGCAGATTCAGGTGCCCTGCTGCAGGACACCTGAATACTGCGCTCAAATAATGTGATAAGCCAATGTGCATGAAAACATAGTCCAAATGCAAAAGGGTCGCTGTAAAATAAACTCTGGCAGTTTAAAGATTGAATGTCCTGGGCGTTAGACAACTAGATGCTTTGCCCAATCCATTTCAGACGGGTTGTGTTGTCAGTGTTGCTCCAGGTAACCCATAAGCATCAGAGGTACCGTAAGAACGGCTGCAGCGCTCGTCAATGATGTGAAGATAGTAGCACATGAAACGTCACAGACTATTGGCAGACAGGAAGTCAGTGAGGACGCTTACTTGTGTTTTATTGGTGGAGGCGGGCGAGGCCTGCGCTGATCCTACAAACCTCGTTACCTTTGTGTGCATGTGTGAATCTTCCCTCTGCATGGCGCCTTCCTTGAACAACAAAGCCATTCAGACCTGTGACTTATGGAAGTTCTATTTGTAACTAGCAGGCCTCAGCTCAGATGTTGACACATGCAGCGAGGGATGGAGACTGTAGCTCCTTAGGTCACCCTGCAGGAAGAAGCTGGGAAGTGAGCCCTCGGTCATGGATCATGCCAAACAGGGTGCTCACCAGAGCTCTATGATGTGGCTCCACATATGCAGATGGAAACGCTTCAGTGAGGATGTGCTCCTTCCAACCTGCTGTGAATGTGGTCTCACACACACACACACAACAACAACCACGACGGATTACGGCTTCTAGAGGTAAAACATGATAGTTATGGAGTTGGGGAGAGGGACAGAAAAACATGCATGTATCACATGACACATCAGTGTGTTAACACAGCGTAGTCAGTGCACCTAAACTTAATTTATTTATTTAGTCATTTATTTTGCAGGCACAGTGCACACTAATCAACAGGTGTACTGTAAGTGAGCCAGAGAGGCTCATTGCCGTCTGCTGAGCAAGACAAATGCACATACAGGTGAATCAAGCAGGTAACACAAACAAGCCCAACGATGCATGCAAACCTGATTGGCAACAAGCCAAACCGTGAGGTTGTATTTGAAGGTCTTGTATGCCAGTATGTGTGGTGTCAGAGTATTCCACGAGTGACAATGCAGATGTGCTACAGGTGCTTAATCTGTGTGAAATAACACAATCCCCTCGTGAAGCAGATCTAGTAAGTCTGCTGCTTTGACTGTTTCGTTTAATAAAATCAGTAAGTGGAGGCGGTGCCGTTCCAAGTAGAACTTAAAAAAACAGACACACATCAGGGAATTTAATGAGGTTCTCCCAAGTCAGGATATGCTTGCTGAGAATATTGCAGTGATAGTGACTTGATGGTTTTCAAGGCTTCTTTATGTAGAATGTGAATACATTTTACTGTTGTGCTTTCAAAACCATTGTCACATGTTTTAAAAAAATCAATAATAATGCCTATATACTTAAAATCTAATATTTAGACTCTGACACTCCACAAAACCCATGACTATGGAAATAAATTAAGTTAGCTTTAGGCAGCAGAACCACGTAGGTCCAGGAAAAGAACATTCATCTTAACTTGATTAGAAGATAGCTGTGATATGAATTCTAGTTAGCGTCTGTCCACCAATTCATAAAACCACAGTGGCTACAAATATGCCGCATGCTCACAGGTTTCAAAATCAAAAATGTTCCAATACAGAACATCGTGACAAGGTAAAGCAAAATATAGAATTCTAACGTGTGATCTTTAACCAACTCTCCTCCTATCTCCGCCATAAAAACCTCCTTGACCCCCACCAGTTAGGCTTCAAGGCCATTCCACAGAGACTGCTCTCCTTGCTGTCTCAGAGCAACTCCACACTGCTAGAGCTCCTCTCTGTCCTCTGTCCTCGTCCTTCTGGACCTCTCTGCTGCATTTAACACAGTCAACAACCAGATCCTTATTTCCTCCCTTCAGGAACTTGGTCTCTCAGGCTCTGCTCTCTCCCTTCTCTCGTCCTACCTCGACGACCGCACCTACCGGCTAACCTGGAGAGGATCTGTGTCGGAACCTTGTCCTCTTACTACTGGAGTTCCTCAGGGTTCTGTCCTGGGTCCCCTTCTCTTCTCGCTCTACAACAACTCTCTTTCGCATGGCTTCTCCTACCACAGCTGTGCCGATGACACCCAACTAATTCTCTCCTTCGCTCACACGGATCTCTGCCTGTCTGACTGACATCTCTCAGTGGATCCGCCCACCATCTGAAAATCAACCCCGACAGACTGAACTACTTCTCTTTCCAGGAAAAGATTCTCCGACCCACGGTCATCTTCGGCAACTCTGTGCTAACGCCCACTTTAACTTCTAGGAACCTCGGCGTCACACTTGACAGCCGACTCTCCCTGACTCCCAACATCACTGACAACACGATCCTGTAGATACACGCTCTACAACATCAGGAGAATACGTCTTCTCACTCAGGAGGCAGCGCAGGTACTGATTCAGGCTCTTGTCATCTCCCTCCTGGACTACTGTAACTCTCTCCTGCAGGTCTCCTGCTACCACCATTCCACCTCTGCAGCTCATCCAGAATGCAGCAGCTCCACTGGTCTTTAACCTTCCTAAGTTCTCCCTCACTCCTCCGCTCTCTTCACTGGTACCGGTGGCTCATCCAGTTCTAAACATGGTGCTCACGTACCATGCTGTGAATGGATGGGGTCCAGCTTACATCCAGGCAAGATTTGAAGCAACACCAGCTGTGAGGTATCATGTTCCATTATATTGGAGACAAGGCTGATAACAACACTACAACTCACACCCAAACTACGTAGACCAATAGATACCACTAAGAGGTAAGAGGAAGGACATCTATTTTCAATTCTGGGGTGAAGCGTCCCCCAAACGTCCTGGACTTGACATTATAATACTATTTATTATGCCTGTGACGTGGCTGCTATGTGGCACCAAGGGTCGGCCTGCACTAGACCAGGACCTGGTCTTGCTTCTCTTCACGGCTTTTCCCTTCCATCATGTAGCTACAGTGAAAGGATTGTGCTCGTCCGCCTCTGGTGCACACATGTGGCCGAGGCCTTTAAGCAGACACTGCCTGCTGTTGTGCTGTTTCCACTACATGGCAAGTGCTGACAAAGTATAAAGGGACTCATGGAGAAAAAAGGAAACAGGGCTGTTTCCAAGAAGCTGGAGAAATATCACAAAAAAGGAAGGAAACAAAGGGCTCGTGGACGAAGAAGGTGGAGAAAAGGAAAAGCAATAAAGGGCCTTTCAGATGGAGGAGACATAAAGGTGGGAGTAAACAGGGTGAGGGGGGAGTCCCCTGCCTGATGGGGGGGTTGTTGAGGATATTTGTGTAAACGGTGGTAAGCAAAGATCCCCTCACAAGAGGTGGTTCAGACCCGCTCTGACCAAAACATGCACATTCCTCTCTCTCTCTCTCTCTCTCCCTCCCTCTCCCTCCCTCCCTCTCTCTCTGCTGCACACTAAAGAGGAGGGCTCGTCCCGCAGCGCGCAGAGGGAACACACAGCCACCAGGACCGGACCGAAGTGTCACCTGTGTGTTTCGTTGCTGTGGCCGTCGGGCTGGACGCTGGCGTCCCTGCGGCTCGGCCCCTCCTCTTGGCGTGGATTGTTTTCGAGCAGCAGCATGGGATCAGTGATGTGTAAGTGATGTTTCTACAGCTTCACAGGTGTGTGTAGCGGGTGGGATTCTCAGTGAAGGAGTCCACCATGAGGGCCTGGTACGAGTGGGTTTCTGGATGGCTGTTGAGTCTTCTGATGGATCCGTGTGGGGGTCAGATGTACCCCTAGTAGTTCCTGTTTCTGTTTCTCGGGGTCGTGATAGCTGTTTTTAGCACATAAATGATTCTATTATAAGTGAAAGTCATGAGTTCAATATTTTTCTATCCTAGACTGACTATTCTAATCACTAATTGCTATACTGTATAGTTAATGTGTACATTGCTTCACAAGTTTATTGTCATTTTTTACAACAATCTGTATCTATATACTGTACTACTGTTGGCTTGTGAATTTCACCAAGGGATCATTCCATTCTTATCCAGTATCATTTATTTTTTGATTATGTTTAAAGAAATGAGTACCGTAAGTTATCAAAGTAGACATGTAGAGGTAGAAACATTTCCTTATCAGGAGCATATTGTGGAGTTTAATGTGTGGAGTTTAATGAGTTTTAAAGTGTAATGTAGTGTAAGTACAACATTTGTACTTAAGTAAAGAACATGAGTAATGTTCAAATTGATTAAGGGGTACAATGATAATAAGCTGTTGGGTCTCTTTTAGTCGTCTACCTTGCCTGAAGTCAAAGTCTGCCCATGGATGGACCACAGATCTCACTAGGGTCACGAACCCAAGGAAGCTCTGTGTCGAGTGGGAAGTTGTTTGTATGAGGGAACCAGAGGTTAAACAAAATGAACCCTTGGGAGGCATGAATAATGATGTCATTTTTGATCATAACTCTTGAAGGGCTTGACAGGAATGTATTTGCGGTTTGAGGTTTGATAAGGGAGGGTCGGTCTAGAAACAAATCGTTTCATGGTAAATGGACTGTACTTAGTTCCTTTTCTTCTGATCATTTAAAGCTCTTCAACACTTCACGTCATCATTCATCCATATAAACCCATTGGCACACTGATGACAGGAGCCACCACGCACAGTGACACCTGCCCATCAGCAAATAACATCCAAGGACATATGGAATGCACAGCTAAATAATAAATATCTAACATAGTTTATAGCTTGTCATGCATTTTTGGTGACTGATTATTGTAATTACATTAGATTCCTGCAGAAATCTATTCCCCTGTCAAATAGGAGTTATGAAGTCTCCGTTGATTGGGTTACTGTAATCCTGTTGCACTGGGGCTAAAAATAAGATGTGTGCCCAGGTATGGTGTGGTCAGTGTGCAGTCCCTCACAGCAGGTAGTGGTGCTTTATAAGAGTCACTCAGCCAGACATATGTCCTGTAAGAGGCTCTGGTTTCTAACGCAGAGATTATGACGCAGAGACAGACAGGGACAGGAGCAGGGAGGCACCTTGCTGGCTCTATAGAGGGACACACTGCAGCACTGTTGCTGTGTCTGAGTGTGAATAACACAGAGGGGGTTGAGGAGACGTGGATGATTCGGCTGTCTCTGCTGCAGGGCCAGTGAGCAGGCTTGCTGGTAGATGTTGCAGATAGGAACACACACGCAACGGAGGTCAGGCTGAGTGATGACTGGAGATGGATGCCCCAGGCAGCTTGCTATGGCAGACCCTCCCCCGTCTCGGTGTCCAAGCTGTGGTAGATATGGAGCAGCATTTTCCACCGTGCGGATCTCCACCGCAGAGATGGAGTCTTTCCACCACTTCCTGGGTGTGTGTCAGGACGCTGGGTCAAGTAGGTCTACCCACCCCTGCATCCCTTGCTTCATGCTGCCCCTCAGCATGTCCAACTGTGTAGAGCTTCAGTGTCTTCCGCGTAGTTTTCTGTGAGCGATGTGTCACTCTGTCTCTGCGTAGGTGTTGCAATAATAAACAGTAGCTAGAAAGCATGGACCAGACTGGCAGAGCTGAGTTACTGTTGTTTTATCGATCACAGGAAAGCTGACATGGTTGGTAGGTTGCCATAGTTACATGTTTTGTCTGAGACCTTGTCTTGCATCAGGACGTGTAAGTCTAAATGTTTAAACCTGGTAAGCTCTAAACAAAGGCCAAAGGTCAAGAAAGGTTTTTTCCGCAACACCAGGAGACTGCTAGACATCATCACATTGCCATTGCGCGCATGTTAGCATGCTAGCATTAGCTCTAATCTCAGAGCACCATAGCACAGTCTGAACAGAGCTGCTACAACGTGTGACAGAAATATGAAAATAAGTTGGCCATGTTTGGCATAGCAAGCTAACTACCCCGAAGTACAGCTGAGGTTGATGGGAACTCATTGATTGGTCCTAAATTAAAGTTAGCACAGATTTCATGAGTTAAACATGTTAAATTGGCTGGCATTGTATTTGAGTCTTCTAGGCGCCTCACAGCAAGAAGGTCCTGGTTCCACTCCGCCCAGTGGCCTTTCTGTGTGAGTCTGCATGTTCTCCCCGTGTCTCTGTGGGTTCTCTTCGGGTCCAAGATAGTTGCAGGCAGTCTTCATTTCAAACGCATCAGTAGGCCAAAGCTCCAGAGCAGCTGCAGGCAGCTGTTGGTAAGGTGAAGAGGACTTCCAGGTAGTTTTGCATCAATGCTGCATTTCTCAGAGCGAAAATGATGACGGAACTGAAATATCACCACAGTGGCCATGAAGAGGAATTGAACAGAGACGATGTGACTCGTCTAAGGTCACCCTGGTCAGCAGCACATGGAGTTATTTCATGTTGGACTCAGCAGACACAACCTGCCTGCTCTACCGAACGTCTGCTGCGGATGAGCTGGATTTAATGTTTGTTATGAACATGCTTACGTTCATGGCGACTTCACACACGTACACACCGGGGCACACATTCTCACACTCCAGAAGGCTAATGACAACCATGTGCGTGTAGTGAGACAACCCGTGTGTGTGTATTTGTGTGTGGGTGTGTGTGCCGGAGGGAACCCTGTTAATCAGCGGACCGTCACAAGATATCCTGTGATTGTCTTCTTACTCTGACGCCCTCTTCCTGAGGACAAATAGGAAACGCCCCCATCCATTGGACCTCGAGAGAGAGACCACCCCCTAAAAATAGCACTGGCTCTGCACAATATGTGCGCGAGAGTGTTAGGACGTTATGTGTGTGAAGAGCCCGATGTTCTTCTATTGCAATGTAGAAGTGAGAAAGTGCACATGTTCAAGACAAAAGTAAAATTTTCATCTTTTACACACGCTGTTTTAACTTTCCCAGACGCACGGGGGGGGCAGGGCCGAATCGGTATACGAGAAGCAGAAGCGACTGCACATGCGTGATGACCGTTCTGTAATTCTCACAATAGCAAAGTCATCTGGCCGGACTGACGGCCCGGTGGGTCACGGGGGCAACAGCTCCAGCAGGGGACCCCAAACTTCCCTTTCCATGTCTACCAGCTCTGACTGGGGGATCCCAAGGCGTTCCCAGGCCAGATATAATCTCTCCACCTAGTCCTGGGTCTTCCTCTGGGCCTTTTCCCAGCTGGCCATGCCTGGAACACCTCCCTAGGGGGGCGGCCAGGGGGCATACTTACCAGATGCCCAAACCACCTCAACTGGCTTCTTTCAATGTAAAGGAGCAGCGGCTCTACTCCGAGCTCCTCCCGAATGGCTGAGCTTCTCACCCTCACCATCTCTGAGGGAATTGTCAGCCACTCTCCTGAGGAAACCCATTTCGGCCGCTTGTACTTGTAACCCAGTTCTTTCGGTCATGACTCATCCTTCATGACCATAGGTGAGGGTAGAAAACAAGGTTGACCGCCTTTCGGCTCATCTTCCCTTCACTCGTGACCCCGAGGTACTTGAACTCCTTCACTTGGGGTAAGGACACATTCCCTACCCGGAGTAGACAATCCATTGGTTTCCTGTTGAGAACCATGGCCTCAGATTTTGAGGTGCTAATCCTCATCCCAACCGCTTCACACTCGGCTGCGAACCACTCCAGTGAGAGTTGGAGGTCACAGACGGAGGATGCCATCAGGACCACATCATCTCCCAAAAGCCACGATGAATACCACCCCCCCCATGAAGTGTAGACCCTCCTCCTACCGACTGCACCTCGATATCCTGCCCATGAAAACCACAAACAGGATTGGTGACAAGGCGAAGCCCTGGCGAAGGCCAACCCCCAGCGGAAAGGCCTCTGACTTACTGCGGAACACAGCTCTCGCTTTGGGTGTATAGGGATTGGATCCCAAGTAGGGACCCCTCAAGCCGTACTCCTGCAGGAACTCCCACATTATCTCTTGGGGGACGCAGCCATACGCCTTCTCCATGTTCACAAAACACATGTAGACTTGATGAGCGTGTTCCCAGGCCCCCTCCATGATCCTTGAAAGAGTAAAGAGCTGGTCCGTCTTTCCCCCTCGACGGACGGACATTTCTCCCTCCTGAGGTTCCGGATGGTCTTCCAGAAGCACTTTGGTGCCGACCGAAAGTCCTTCTCCATAGTTACCCCGAACTCCTCCCGCACTTTGCCTCCTTCACGGCAGCGGCTGCCATCCTTCGACCCTGCCGGTACACTGCAACTGCCACCGGAGTCCCACCGGATATCATAACCCGGAAGGCTTCCTTCTTCAGTTGGACGCCTTCCCTGACCACCGGTGTCTACTATGGGGTTCAAGGGTTACCGCCCCTTGACTTACCTAAGACCTTGAGGCCAGCTCACCATCAGATGGTGACAGTTGACAGCACCCTGACTTTACCCCCCGCACAAGCTCCGGCTCCTTACCCCCTAGAGAGGTGACGTTCTACATCCCCAGAGCCAGCATCTGCCTCACAATTCTATTCCGTCTCAGAAAACTTTTGTTGCCATAATATGTCAGACATACAAGGACTTTGCGTTTGGTGCAACCGATCATCCTCTCTGCAGAGCGGATGACATTCTGCAGCCTGCCCTTGTCCTTGGTTGTGGTTGCAGCGTACCAGACGGTGATGGAGGAGCAGATGATGGACTCGATGATGGCCGTGTAGAAGTGCACCATCATCGTCTTTGGCAGGTTTAATTTCTTCAGCTGCTCCAGGAAGAACAAATTCTGCTGAGCCTTCTTAGTGATGGAGCTGATGTTCAGCTCCCAATTGAGGTCCTGGGTGATGATGGAGCCCAGGAAACAGAAGTCCACAAGTCCACAATAGTGTCGGGGGAGTCACCTAGGGTGATGAGGGAGGGTGGGGCTCTGTTCTTCCTGAAATAAACAACCATCTCCACTGTCTTTAGAGCTCCAGGTTGTTCTGGCTGCACCACGACACCAGATGGTCAGACTCCCACCTGCAGGCGGACTCATCCCCACCAGAGATCAGTCCAATGAGGGTGGTGTCATCCGCAAACTTCAGGAGCTTGACGGACTGGTGGCTGGAGGTGCAGCTGTTGGTGTACAGGGAGAAGAGCAGAGGGGAAAGAACGCAGCCTTGGGGGGAACCGGTGCTGATGGTCCGGGAGGCTGAGACTTGTTTTCCCAGCTTCACGTGCTGCTTCCTATCGGCCAGGAAGTCTGTGATCCATTTGCACGATGATCGTGTTGAAAGCAGAGCTGAAGTCTACACCCAGGATCCTGGCGTAGGTTCCTGGGGAGTCCAGATGCTGGAGGATGTAGTGGAGTAGACCCCCCATTGTCACTGCCACCCTGTAGTAGCGCACCCAACCCCTTAGGTTTCCCAAACAGGTGGTGAGCCCATGGGGATTAGAGCACTGGTGTGGAATGAAATTATCTATATCCCAGAATTTAGCCACATCTCTCAGCCCTAATTTTGTGGCTAAAACTTGTTTCTTTGGCCTTTCCCTTTGTCCCCTATTCATACGTCCTGTTGATTTTAACCATGTAGGGAGATCGTGTTCCAGTTTGTCTGACTTGCAGCCGTGCCTCCAAACAGAAAACCAGGAGCAATTTCTTGTTTACTTGCTTGGTATTTATTGTAATGAAAACGTAAAAGAAAAATAAGCATACTTTGCTTTTGACACAAATGAAAGAACAAAAATTAGTTATTTAAATACACAGACATACATTTAAGTCTTAAAACAGCATGCTGTGTGTGTGTTCCTTGTGATGCATTGGTGCTCTGACATGCATACATGGTGGCCACTAAGTGCAGCAATCACACCTATGTGTGCGTTACTCTTCCTGCTCCAGCCTCAGTCTGTCTGTTTGAGTGTGTATACAGTCAGCTCAGCTCCTGCTGAACATCATGAGATGTTCACGTCCTACAGGCTCAAAGGTCACATGTCGACTGAGAGGAAAGAGAGCGGCCTTTTATAATCCTCAGCCTTGCACACAATCATTCTCAGAGAGAGAAGGGCTCTTTGTTGTAGCTGCTCAACAAAGCGAGCACATCTTAGAGTTATCGCTCTCTCCCTCACACACCGTGGGACTCGAGTGGAGGAGGTGAACAGGTTAGGATAGAGGAGCTGCACAGATGTCTACATGTATGTTAACAATGAGCAGAGAAAGATCTTCAGCCCTGTCGTTCACTTCTGGTCATCATGTTGTAGAGACTCCATTGTGAGTGTGGGAAGCCTGCTGCGTGTGGTAGTGGTAGCTCCATCTCAGTCTGGCACACACACATTCAGTATACACACACACGCGCGCGCACACACACACACACACACACACATCCTATTCACATGCCGTACACCTAAGTAACGTGTTATTCAGATGGTACATGTAAACAGTGGACCTACGTGAAACCATGCACTCATTTATTACCAGGTGAGACGTTTCCTCCTTGTCAGTGTGTGTGTGAGTCATGATGGTACAATGTGGAGATCCTACTGACGAAAAACTTACTATACACTATAAAGGTGTGTAGTTGAGTTGAAAAAACTCCCTTTGGTCCATTTGATGTGTGACGAAGCTGCTGTGACCCCATCACCCCTTCTCCAACGCTACCCTGGACTGTCACAGTGTGGCTTTGCTTCCTGTTTTATTTTGTAGTTTCCTGCCTCTTGTTGTACCTGGGTTAGCTGCACTTCCTGCCTTGTTGTGTTATCCCTTGTGTGTCTGTCGTGTTCCTGATTGTTTCCACCTGCGTCCAAACACCTACGCATTATTATTATTATCATTATTAAACCATGTGGTTTCCCTTGTCTCTTGTCGGTTACCTCAGTTGTCCGAATGAGTTTCCTGACTTGTCTGAGTGTCTTGTTTCTGTCGGTGAGTCTTGGGTTTGCTGCTGTTCCTGGTCCGCGGTCTCCTCAGGCATTTCTGATTGTTTAAATAAAGTCTTTATCTTTTGCTTGGAATCTGCGTTTGAGTCCTCGTGAGTCATGCATCATGACTCTTGGTCTCCTGCTGTCAGTTCCTCCGTCCACTGGAATCTCCTGCCTCCAGTTGTATTGAAGAAAGAATCAGTCCACACCAAGTCCTGTTTCCTTCAACATGAATGGAGCAGACAGGGGGACAAACAAACATGCAGTAACTACCTGTGTGTTCTTCATTTGAGGATCTGGTGTCTGGAGTGTTTATGATGACACAATGTAATGTTGCTTGACCACAAGTCGAGCTGCATATGTCATATTTATGGCCGAATCGATATGAAAGAAGCAGAAGCGACCGCGCATGCGTGAGGAGTGTTCTGTAATTCTCAATACATCCAGCAGCAACCCTGCAGCTGCTTCACCATCATCACAAAGCCTGTTATGGACACCCAGACCAACAGATGTCTTTCCCAGGTTTCACTCACACACACACAGCTGGAGCAGAGCCCTGAACAGTGTGTGTGTTGCTGTGGTCACTTTTTCCAGCTCCAGCTGCGGAGAAACTGCGTCAGCAGCAAATCAGAATCCAGAGGGAGGGAAGACAGCCTCTGTGGTCTTTGTGAGAAAGAAAAACATGGAGGGAGAGGCAAGCAGAGAGAGGGGGGAGAAAACGGTGTGTGTGGATCGTACCTGTGTGCATAGTCGTGTGTGTATCTATGGGCTGCAGTGTCCGTAGGGTTGAATGATCAGGTGGACGTAACCTTTATGGGCCGCGTTCCTGAGCAGACCACGAGGGAGGGAAACTTTCATTGAGAGCGCTTTGCTTGCTTCCTACAGGTCGTCTTCAGACATTTCCCAAGTTGTTCCGCTTGCTTTACTCACGCTGGTGACGTTTTGACAGAAAATAACAACCAACAACCAAGTGAACTCAAGTAAATGATCACACACATAGGGGGACACACACACACTGTTTTCAGTACAATGCTGTTTTGTTTTTGGGAGGACTTCCTATAAGAGAGTAAACAGCGCTGTATTCTCAGACATGTGTGTAAACAGCTTGACTTGTGGTCAGGCAACATTACATTGTGTCATCACACACACTCCAGACACCAGATCCTCAAATGAAGAACACACAGGTGGTTACTGCATGTTTGTTTGTCCCCCTGTCTGCTCCATTCATGTTGAAGGAAACAGGACGTTGGTGTGGACTGCATGAGTTTGCTCCCAGTGCCTCAGAGGTGAGGCCCTGGTGATTGTGACATGAGCCAGTAAGAAAAGCTTGAGGTACCGAGCTCAGCCATGAGCTGAGAGCAAAACACTCGACTAGATCTCCACTCTCTGCTGTCCTGCTCCTAAATGGTGGAAGGAGGTCTCTGAAGACATCAGGACCACAGAGAGCCTTCACATCTTCAGACTAAAGACACACCTCTTCAGACTCTACCTCCACTAACACACTAACTACCTGTAGCACTTACATTGGACTTATAATGGTTCTTATCTACAGCAAGTTGTAAATTGGGTTATTTGATGAAATTGCACTTTCTTGTTTCTTGTTCTTCTGATTTGTGTCCTTATGGTTGAAACGCACTTATCGTAAGTCGCTTTGGATAAAAGCGTCAGCTAAATGACATGTGATGTGATGTAATAATGTAATGTAATAATTTAATGTAACGTCTGACTCAAGTGTCACACCACATAAGTGATGAATAACAGCCTTCAATACATTTGACTTTTAAATCAGCTTTGGCTTTCTGCATGTCGTGTGGTGCAATAGGAGCTCCTCAGGTGATGTGGGTTTTGGTGTGTGTGATCTTTTGTAGCAGACACACCACACGCACACGCGTGCAGAACCACTTCATCATGTGAAAATATGACTGAAAAGTACTTTCTCAAATTGAACAAGTTCTGTGCAGAAAAAGAGAAGCGAACCATAGTGAAGCTTCCTTGTCGGTGTCTTTAATTGCTGTATGGATGGACAGTGGGGGCACAATTTGATTTGATGTGTCATTGGGGTTCAGCGGTGTCTGTGTTTCTCCCTACAGATGAGATAATGCAGCAGGAGATCAGGCCCCTGCTGGCTGAGGACATCATAGAGCAGCTGCATCTCCAGTTTGCCTCGCTCTCAGGTATGTAGTCGGACCCCCCCTGCAAGTTGTGACCTCATGTATTTAAAGGGAAAGACAGGGAAATAATTAATAACCAACGCCACCAACCCTTCTTATTATTACAGGCAATGCAAAAGCTCTCCTTTACTGGATATACCTACATTACCTTTGGGGTAGGTGCAGGGACAGTGGGCAGTCAATCACATAGAACTGTCACTATTGATACAGCTCCAAGCATATTCATCTCTTGACCACGGTTACAGAAAAGGACCATGGAGAAGATTTCTCACCGTTTCTTTTGGCCACCAGAAGGCACTTCAAAACTGTTAAGATGACATCTACTGTACAATGAGTGTTCTCTTCGCAGAAAACAAGTGACAGAAGAGCTCCAGCTCAACGTTGCCATCTTGTGTCTATTACTTGGAAGCAGAAGCGTTCACATGGTTTCCAATGATAAACTCATCTCAATGGGGTACAACCCCTAAAGGAATGATAGACTAGTGATATGGGATTTGCATGGCCAAGACAAGTGAATCAATATTTGTGAACATAAACAACTCAGTTATCAAACTGATGCCTTCAGGAGCTCCTACACATACAGGGAATGGATTGTACCAATGGGATCATCTATTCTATTGTTGTGTTATCAGCTCTGAAAGAGAAAATGGAACTTTATACTAAACTGTGCAACCCTGCCCACTGTCTCACTGTCACCAGCATCAGGATGAATGGAGGAGAATCAAAGTGTTATAAAACACGTGTGACATGATGTATTTACAGCAAAGAGCTGGAGGGAGCGGCCCCATCCTGTCAGACATAAGTCGAGTCCGTTCTAGCAGGCTGGACAGTGAGAGAGCTCTGTGTGGTGTTTGTGTTGCAGGAGGAAGAGGGACAGATGGTGCCCCCATCATCATCTTCCCAGAGTTCTCCGGCTTCAGCGAAGTGCCAGAAGACGACTTCCTCAATGTTGTTACCTACTTGACCAGCATACCCAGGTACACAAACTCTGACGCGCACACAGAGTCTGAAGATGTGAAGGCTCTCTGCGGTCCTGATGTCATCAGGGAGCTTGTTCAGCTCTGGCCCAACTTGAAATGGCCTAGTACCCCAAAGGACCCACGGGACAACTCTTTCCAACGAAGATTAAAGTATATTTTCTTCCCATCATTCTTTTGTCTGGCTGGTTAATCAGGTTGAAAACCTTCAAAACACAAAAACTAAAGTAAACTAAACTACATGTTATGCAAAAAATGCAACCAAATTTCATATAATTTCAACTAAACAAATAATCTTCCCAATAAGAAACACCAGGTCAGTGTACCAGTGGCTTCTTTGGAGTTACCATGAGTTGATTTGCTCCTTGTTTTCTGAGACTCGCCGTTCACAGGTGTTCGGATTTAATAACAATCAGCCGGCTGGTGGTGCATTCTGGGACCTGCAGTTTCTTTTGGTGCAAAGACAAGTTAACAGAAAGCTGAAATGTTTGTTTTTACCTCAACAACAGCTGTACAGATGTGGGCTGGAGGCTAGCAGGATTGCAGTTCCAAAGCATTGGAATGGTATTGATAACTGCTGGACATCCTTCTGCTGTCTTAACAGCCACCTTTTTGCATTCTCTATGTGATGTGTAGTTTTCTGATGTGATCTTCCACCTGCTCTTAGAAGATCTGTGTGTACTTATCATTTAGAAATACGCAACAAAACATCAAATAAAAAGGCCCATGAGGTTTCCAGAAATCAACACATATACAAACAATTTTAGAGAGTAAAAGTGTCATTTTTACACAGACACACAGTGCACTCATATGTCTTCTTACCCGGTGTCTCCAGTTTGGATGCTGCCAGTATCGGCTTCATCATCATCATCGACCGACGGAAGGACAAATGGAGCTCCGTGAAGGCCTCTCTATCCAGGATTGCTGTAAGTTCTATATTTACTGTATGTGTACAGATATAGATGGATGCTAGATTTATAGATAATTAGGTTCCATGGTCACAGTGGTGGAGAGGCTGAGTGGACTGGTCAAAGTAGGACAGAGACACCGACTGGACTGGTTACAGTGGGACAGAGACACTGATTGGACTGGTTATATTGGGACAGAGAGGCTGCGTGGACTGGTTACAGTGGGACAGAGACACTGATTGGACTGGTTATATTGGGACAGAGAGGCATAGTGGACTGGTTAGAGTGGGACAGAGACACTGTTTGGACTGGTTATATTGGGACAGAGAGGCATAGTGGACTGGTTACAGTGGGACAGAGACACTGATTGGACTGGTTATATTGGGACAGAGAGGCATAGTGGACTGGTTACAGTGGGACAGAGACACTGTTTGGACTGGTTATATTGGGACAGAGAGGCTGCGTGGACTGGTTACAGAGGGACAGAGACACTGATCGGACTGGTTATATTGGGACAGAGAGGCATAGTGGACTAGTAACAGAGGGACAGTGACTGAGTGGACTGGTTATTACATCCGTCCCAAAATAAGATAATTCTTTTTTAGACTCACAGGGTTCACAGCAGCGGCGGGTAGGGACAAAGACACTGATTGGACTGGTTATATTGGGACAGAGAGGCATAGTGGACTGGTTAGAGTGGGACAGAGACACTGATTGGACTGGTTATATTGGGACAGAGAGGCTGCGTGGACTGGTTACAGTGGGAGAGAGACACTGTTTGGACTGGTTATATTGGGACAGAGAGGCATAGTGGACTGGTTACAGTGGGACAAAGGGACTTATTGGACTGGTTATATTGGGACAGAGAGGCATAGTGGACTGGTTACAGTGGGAGAGAGACACTGTTTGGACTGGTTATATTGGGACAGAGAGGCATAGTGGACTGGTTACAGTGGGAGAGAGACACTGTTTGGACTGGTTATATTGGGACAGAGAGGCATAGTGGACTGGTTACAGTGGGAGAGAGACACTGTTTGGACTGGTTATATTGGGACAGAGAGGCTGCGTGGACTGGTTACAGAGGGACAGAGACACTGTTTGGACTGGTTATATTGGGACAGAGAGGCTGCGTGGACTGGTTACAGAGGGACAGAGACACTGTTTGGACTGGTTATATTGGGACAGAGAGGCATAGTGGACTGGTTAGAGTGGGACAGAGACACTGTTTGGACTGGTTATATTGGGACAGAGAGGCATAGTGGACTGGTTACAGAGGGACAGAGACACTGATTGGACTGGTTATATTGGGACAGAGAGGCATAGTGGACTGGTAACAGAGGGACAGTGACTGAGTGGACTGGTTATTACATCCGTCCCAAAATAAGATAATTCTTTTTTAGACTCACAGGGTTCACAGCAGCGGCGGGTAGCGTACAATCAGGGGGCAGTCTAGTCTAAACGACTCTTAGAAATATGCAGTAGTAAAGATAAACACAATCTTCAACTGAAATGAAATATTATATATACAGACGGTGACAATAAAGCACTAGTTGACCTCGAGCCATAAGGCCATGGTTTGTTCATTGACTCCCATTGCACACATCACAAGCACTTTACTACGTGCAGCTCACAGACAGGATGAACCAACCAGTCCACTCAATGTTAGAGAGCAGTGGCCGGGATCAATATGCACTCACACATATCTGTCTCCATCAACATGAAACCACAAAGTCCTTGGCGAGTCCTTTTGGAGATCTGCTGCATGTCTGCCAGAACACACACACATGAATGGCATGTTGTAAATTGTTACCCAGGGGGCGTTTCCAGGAAACCTGCAGCTGGTGTTGGTGCTGCGGCCATCCAGGTTCTTCCAGAGGGCAATAGCTGACATTGGAATAAAGCTGCACAAAGATGACTTCAAAATGAAGGTACCGGTAAGCATTCATCACTACCAACTATGTAAACCCGGAGCTCGGGAATTGAAACCAGTCGCTGGAAACAGATAATGATACCTGCACTGAGAAGTCGTATTCATTACAGCGTGGCTGTGAGATCATAGTTAACATCCATACATGCTTGTAGCTGCTGCTAGTAAGTGTTTTCCAGGACTACACACTGCAACCACAGTGTTTAGAATGTTTGGACAACACATCTTCATACTCAGCTCGAGACCAAATGTCCACCTGGTGTGAGTCCATGAAGAAAGAGCCCGTCATTATACAGTAGTATTAATAGTACTCCACCTCACCTAAGTGCATTTCACACAGGAAAAGCACAAAGACTCAAAAGAAGTCTGGAATGTTGGTTTATGATGACAGTAATGTGACTAATAATAAAAAGAATGATAGCAGCTGTCAGCAGGTCATGGCAGGAGGCAGGAACATGGTCCAGAATAGAACCATGATCTATTAAACGTGTGTGGAGATAAAGCTCAAAGACTCTGTGGAAGATGCTGAATTAGTGATGTGCATTAATGAGATTTGTGTTAAATGTGTTTTGCAGATTGTGATGCTGAACTCCCTGTCGGACCTGCACGGTTACGTGGACAAAGGCCAGCTGACCCGGGAGCTAGGAGGAAACTTGGAGTACTGTCACAGTCAGTGGATACACCACCGAACTGTGAGGAACATATCAGGCACTTGACTAGTTTCCCAAAGAATAAGTTATAATCTAGGACGCTGCAGGTTCACACGTGGATCCTTTTCTCTTCCCAGGCCATAGAAAACTTTGCCATGACAGTGAAAACCACAGCCCAGATGCTAGAGAAGTTCGGAACAGACCTGGCTGAGACGGAGCTGCCCAATGACGTCCAGTGCACCAAAGACCTGCTCACCGCACACACGGACAAACACGGCCAGCTCAAGGTGATTCAGTACATGTAATACAGCGGTCAGGGACATTAGCAACAAAGAATTTGAGAGAAGGTTAGGGGGAAATGATTGGAACTGAGTAGCCAACAATGACAATAATACATTCAGAGTTTTTAATGTGAGTAATGGCCGCTTGCTTGAAACGAGGCCCGTTAGGGCCTGGTTGCCCTAGATGGTCGAGGTTCATTTGCTAATTGTAATGAAATTGTTGGTGAAACGCTACTGTTGGTTGTGGCTAAATAGATAGGAAGAGGAACATTATTTTCATTGTTGTTTGGTATAATAGGGTCGTAAAGTTTTTTTTAAGAGGTAATAGCCTATAAAACCCCATTTTGCACTCCTGATTCCCTCAAAGCTCACAGCACGGACAAGATGGTCAATTTTTGTCAAAGGTGAATCCTGCACAAAAGCACAGTGCAACTTATCTGTGAGCTAATCAACAGGTTTCTGCAATCCTACTGATTTCAGCCTTTTGTAAGATACTTTCTGAGATTTCGTTCACACACACTACTGAGACAGTCTTACATTCACTATTGAAACGGTCAGTCCCAACTGAAATTACTTGTATGAATACATGTGAATATACATAGACATTTGAAACACTAATACAAGTATATATGTGAGACACATGTATATAAACTTATATCAACATCTACCTTTATCTTGGTAATAATGTGCAAGAGATTCAGTTATCAATGTATAAGGCGAGGGGCCAGACTGGACAGAAAGAGGGAAGGAGCTGCCTGACTCAGGCCCAGATGGAGGGTCCACCACCTGTTGGGAAACTGATGGGGTTCGGGTGCGCTGCTACGAGGGTGGCAGTGACAGCGGGGGGTGTAGACAGAACAGACCTGGGCGGCAGATGCTGGCTCTGGGGATGTGGAACTGGTAAACACAAACGCGTTGTGTGGGTGAACTGGGAACGTCTGGAGGAGGCCCCGGTCCCAAAGATTTCCTACTCACACCTCTGCCAGAGCCCCGCTCACATTCCTGTGGACGTAGGGGACATTGAACCAGAGTGGTGTAAGCTGCACAGTGAGTTGAGGCCTCAAGGTCTTAGGTGCATGAAGCGGCGGTAACCCTTGAACCCCGTGGTGGACACCGGTGGTCAGGGAAAACCTCTGACTTGTGGGTTATGATGTCCGGTGGGACTCTGGAGGCAGGTGCAGTGTACCGACAGGCTCGAAGGGCAGCAGCCGCTGCCGAAGGAGGCAAAGCAGCGAGTGCGGGCGGAGTTCGGGGTAACTATGGAGAAGGACTTTCGGTCGGCACCAAAGTGCTTCTGTAAGACCATCCGGCGCCTCAGGAGGGGGAAACGGGAACCATCCAAGCTGTGTACCCCCGGATAAAGAAGAAGGATGGAATGTAGAAGTATAACATTATAAATACATAATCTTTTCATATGTGTATGTGTTTCAGATACATACGTATATGTTTAACTTGTGTCATCTATCCATCTTCAGCCGCATCAAGTGGAAAAACCTGCAAAATCAGCAGTGTATCAAGTACTGGTTCTGCCCACTGTATGTTTGTGTGAGTGCTTCAGTAGTATGTGTGAAAGTGTCTCACTAGTAAGTGTAAGAGTGTCTCATTTTTTAAGTCCTAAACGTCTGTTCACGTCCCTCGACACTGACACTACGGCTGGATTTGAATAGTAAAATGTGCTCAGGAAGGTTCCTCACTGAGTGAAATTAGTGAAGTAGTGTAAGTGGGCGCCACGATAAGAGCTGCTGAGGAAATGCTTCCCCACTTAGCTCCTTTAGCATAGGAACCACCCATTACAAAAGGAAAGGAGACAATTCTGTCCCATAATTCCGTGTGCTGGCAATAGTTAAATAGTGACGTACCATTCGGCTGTTTATGAGAAATAGTGATCATGACGTAGAAACGTCGATCATGTGAGTAAACGTTATCAATATTGCAGCCTTGTTAATAAAGTTACACTTTGAACCTGGTTATTTATGTCGTCTGCATGACTCAGCACTGTAACAACATGTAGGTGCTTCTTTGTAGTCCATCTTCGGAGAAATTGTAGTTTGGCCGCTGCACACGTCTGTCCATCATAACTACGTAGCTTAATGGAATTCTTCTTTTCCTAACTCCTCCCAACACCATCTTTTTTGACCCTGTGACATTTTCCACAGAGGTCAAGGAATAGTGGTTAGGAATAGACGTTAGGGGGCGGAGAGCAGAGAAAGAAGCCAGATGATGTAGTAGATGCAGGCAAAGTCTGCATATGGAGGTCTGGGTGGATGCACGAGTACAACAAACCCAAGACTTGCACCCGGTAGACCGTTGTTTGTGTCCTGTGTAAAGGCAATAGTCAGTATTGACTTGTCACTTTTAAGGGATGGCATTTGCAGTTTGCCCCATGTTTCCCTTTTTATGGGCAAGAAAGCTTAGGAGAGCGACCTCCACCTAACCCTACCCCAGCATTGGACTGGACCCCAGATGAAAGGCAAATGGCACTTCCCACAACATGAGACAACAGTTTGTGAGCTGTTTTTCAGATGGTAATGCAGTTTCTGTCTCCAAACCAGGATGAACTGAAGCTGGCTTTAAAGCAGGGCACCACCTTGTTAGGGTGGATCAAGGAACAGGCAGCCAGGTCGGAGAACCACCAACTCAACACAGACGAGATGGAGAACCAGACCACGGTGGAGAGGTGAAGCATCTCAGTCCCGAGATGGTTACGTAGTCCTACGGTAACTCTCCCTGTGTTTGTAATACACTTCCTGTTGTGTGTGTCAGGTTGCTGGCCCAGCTGGATGAGACGGAGAACGCCTTTGAACACTTCTGGTGTAAACACCATCTGAAGCTGGAGCAGTGCCTGCAGCTACGCCACTTTGAACAGGACTTCAGAGAGGTACATCTGTCGATCTGTTTGTCTCCTCTCACAAAGCTGTACTCTGAAAAACATGCTAAACCCTTGTGGCTCACTTTTAAAAGGTGTGAGGTCCTTTGTACCCTCGCCACGGCCGGAGGCGAAGAGTCAAAACGAGTCGACTGGCTCGAGTTTAAAAATCAAAAAGAAGTGAATAACTAACAGAAGCAATACAGTTACAGTGAAGTATGATATGAATAGTACAATATTTCACAAAATAGAAGTAGAAGTCCTGTTGTCCAGTCTCATATGACCATCAATATTGGTTCACAGGAGGCCTCTGCCCGCCTCTTCTCCAGCTCAGCTCTTCCAACCTCCTGGGGGGGCGTGTCCTTTGTGCTGTAGCCGCATGTGATTGGCTGCACGTTCAAGCCCAGCTCCTCCCTCGTGAATGCCTTTCTGGCATCACATGACTCCCTCCTGATGGTGGAATCTGAATCAGTACATTCAATGATCACACCTTTGGCTTGAAGCTTCTTCATGTAAACATATACATAATATTGATATTATCTATTAGCTAGTACACTTTACTAATAACATATCTTAAATCATCACAGGGCATTACTTTTTAACCATTAGGGTTAACTCACTTGTATATGGGCCAAAATCAAAACATTTGCCTCGCACTGCTGTCCCACATTCTTTTGCTAATAAACGTCCAAAAAATTGTCTTTGGGGAAAAAATGTGGAAGAAATCAAGGAAGGAATACGACCCTTCCCCTGGGCCTTGGCGTTACATTGTGGCAGGATGTCACGTGTACAGTGTTTTACTGACTGTAAATTGTGTTTGATTGTTTTTAATTGCAGTTATTAATCTAGCATGCTAATGTAATAACTAATATCTAATAACACACAAAGTACAATTCTAACACAACTATCATTTCCACCACTAGGCGTACTCGTCTGCTGGACTCCCCAACAAAGGCCACTCTGATTCTGTGAAGGAAAAAAATAAAGTTCATTCATTCATGATGAATACTAATTTCATTATTCTAATCTTATCAACGGCCGCTTTTGTTCTTACATAATCCCACTAAAAAAAAAGGATTCTATTTCGCAAATGCCAGGAGGATTTTGTTCCTATTTGGGAATACATCAATCATATGCAACACTATTGAATTGGATGGATTCCAATTTTCTGTCAGATAACAAAAAAACACTGTGATTCAAGGACCAAAATGTCCTCCTTCTAAAACTGCAGTCAAATATGATATCTTAGTATTTAGGCCAAAAGGTTAAAAACTAAGATAGAAATGGCCTAATTACAAAATCAAATCTCGAAACCACAGGTCGCAAACTAATGCATGACGCCGCTGGGATTGTGTCCACCTCCACAGCGTAGTTGCCCGTAGCAACAAGAAGAAAGTCTTGTTTGTTGTTACGGGTCGTGTCTGTATTTGAGCGTTACGTTCGCTATAGACTTATTGGAGCTGAGATGGAATTTCCCAATTTTGAATAAAATCTCAATGTATGCAGTATGCATTGACACAGCCAAAATTTTAATTTAAAAAGGCCAAATATGTCTTGGGTGACACATGGATGTCAGCAGACTGCCCGGCTGAGTCAGATGGAAGTTGTTCCATCTCCTGACGGACACCTCACATTCTCATAATGGTCTCACGTCACATCTCTAACGTTGGATATGATCAGTGGAAGAAAAGAATCTAACATAAGTGGCGGACATAACCATTGTCTTTGTCTTTTCCTCTGTGCTTCTCCAGGTCAAAGTGTCTCTCGACAGTTTGATGGACATTCTTACCAGCCTATCAGATATCGGGGATTGTGTTGCCAGAGTGGAACATCTGCTGAAGGAACTGAAAGCACTGGAGGAGAAGGCTCTGGTTAGTCTGTCTCTCACACATACACAAAGACAACACACACACACACACACACTACCATGTGTGCGTCTGATGAAGTCAAAACCAAAGCCATTCTTACTTCACCCTTTATAATGCCTGTATAAGATCATTATTGTTACTGTTATTAGTAGTAGTTCAGCCATGCAGAACCATGAATGAACAATCAGATGACAACAATCAGGGAAACAATCAGAGGAACTAGGACCTCGTTGTGTGTTCCTACTTTATTGTCACCTGTTCCCTTCACTCATTCAAACAACGAAGCTTTATTAACAAACTATTAACACGTGTAGCTGCAGGTTTGATGGCTTGATAGAACAAGAGACACTCTGGACAAAATATTCACGTTTTATCACCTTGTTGCTGAACTTGGAAGCATTATTAATACATTATTTCCTAATAAATTCACTAATTACAACTTCAAAGCCCTCCGTAAACTGTGACTTCTTTTTGAATTTAGTGCCCCAGACCAATTGTTACATTATGTTGCATATGCCAACATCCTCACTCTCCAACAAAGTGACAAATGTTAAAGGCTGCATACCAATATGCATGTCTGTGGTGTTGCTTGTTGGTACACTGCCATACAATACATCCAACAGAGAGGTCCAATCAGTTCCTTATCCTTAATGCATTACATTACATTACAGGTCGACCCAATGCAGATGCAACACCACTCCACAGTGCACCGCCTAATGTCGCTCCATTATTGCGAAATGTTAAACTCGCATAGCGAACATAACAGCAGCATTTTTCCAGGGGAGTGAATGCCGAGCAATAATATATTACATCACATCAGCTTGATAAAGACTCTTTACCATTGCAGAGAAAGCAATGTGTATTTTGTAGATTGTTGTAAGAGGAAAGTCCAAATGCTGTTCTTCCAGCCCACACTGGAAAAGGCCCAGCTCCACGCGCTGCACGGGGACCAGCTGATCCAGAGCAACCACTACGCCGTGGACTCTATTCGACCCAAATGTGTGGAGCTCCGGCGGGTCTGTGACGACTTCAGCAACGAGGCCAAGAAGAAGACGGACCTTTTGTCCAAATCCCTGCAGATTCACATGGGCATCGAAAAGGTGAGCATGTGGTACGACCGCAACACATCTACAGGGGACACCTCACTGACAAGGTTAGGTTTTTATTGCTCAACGTGCTCAAGGATAGTTGTTAGAGCGGGTGTTGGAAGAGGGAGATAAATGAACACAAAGACCCACACTAGAACTTTAAACAAGTGTGTCCACTTCCAAAGGGTAAAAAAAGGTGGAGAACTTGGAATTGATATGAAAAAAATAATGACACAGCAGAAGAAAACAAGTGGAAAAGGAGGACAATGAATGAAATGATTTAATTCTGTGTTAGCTGGTTACACTAATACAATGGCATGCGATCTACTGGCACTGCTCGACCAGTCTCAACTGACCCTTTGGCCTCCCCTGTTCCACATAATGCTGTCTATTCTACCCTTTTTTGAAAGAAAGTAGTTTTGAGATGACATGCATTTATTGTTCACATTAAAAAGGCGCAACACATAAAAACAAGGTTAATGAGAGTAGTGAAACCGGCCACAATGACACGTCACATGATGAAAGAGCTTGTGTATTCTTCTCTGGTGTCCGAGCAAATGGAGAACATTAGATCCAAACAGATTTCCTGGTATGTTTGTCTGTGTGAGAATCAGACTCAAGAATGGGCCACTTTTGCTGTGGTTACATTTAAATACCAATAAGTCGAACAAGGAACGCATGCAGTATTTTGTCTTTTTGCCTTCACTGATCAGCTGTATTTCCAGCTCCTACGCTACAACTTATGTGGTTCCTGTGACAGATATTTGCCTGCATCTCCTGCACGCTGCCTTTAACTATAAATATTCTGTGCAGCAGGATGACTGTTCATTTACAAAACAAAAACCTGATCATCAATACAAAGATCATTTGACTGATGCAATTCAGACAAAGTTCTAGACATAGTTCGTGAAGGGTTAGGGTTACAAGAGATTAACTCGAGTGAATGAACTCATACCCATGACCCTAATGGAACTAAAGGAACGGTGGTTGGAATACCTCCATAACTAGACTTCAGTTTTAAGTTAAGTTATTTTAAGAATCTTAGTTCTGAGTTTTGGTTAGCAACCACTGAATGGAGTGATGACACACGGGACCACCACATGGAGGTAGCTACGTTGAAATCTCGCCGTGTTTGGGTTCCAGGTTAACCAGTGGTGTGAGTCTGGCATATACCTGCTGGCCTCCCAGGCTGTGGATAAGTGCCAGTCCCAGGAAGGGGCGGAGTTAGCACTGACTGACATCCAACACTTCCTGGAGTCTGCAGAAAAGAACCAGCTGACTGAACTCAGGAACCTCCAAAACAAGTATGAGGTGGTCCTGTCCGATGATATCAAGGTACGGTGCACCAAGGATATCCTGGAAAATAACGATGGAGCAGAATTGATTGTGATGCTTTCTACCTGCAGGCCAATGTTCTGAAGGCACTGCAGCGCCTAGAGGACGTCCAAGAGATGTTTGAGAAGCGGCATGTCAGCCTGAAGAGGCTGTCAGCTAAACAGACGAGACCTGTCCAGCCAGTGGCCCCACGGCCCGAGTCCTCACCTAAACGTCCCTCACCGAAGAACCCTCCAAGAACAACAGGGAATCAGCAGCGTGAGTTGAATGTTGCTATGATCAGCTCATTCTTGCATTACAGGCGTAAACTGTTTAAACCGAACTGCAAAATTCAACAGTACCATCCTCATATTGTGACAGGAAAGACCTTTCACCTTTAACAAACAGGATACATATGTGGCTTTTTTCAACATCCCATTACTGCACTCAATATATTTCATTAGAGATAAGATAAGATAACTGTATTGTTTTGGATTGTTTTAGGACACACCACTAAATAGCTACTAATATTAATATTGTTTGCAATAAGAGCTGTTTGAATGTACTTGAGCATAAGGTGTCTATCCATGGGACAGAGAGGATGCGGCGCATTCAGAGCGTCCAGAGTGTGTCGCGTTTGGTGTGAATGCAGCATAGGGATTGGCAAACTCTGGAGAAGGAATAACTGAAGTTACTTGTGATGTGTCCTCTCAATTTATGGTAGTTCTGGCTCGCAGAGCGGCTGATAACTCACACAGTGGCAGGCAGCCGCTGGAGGCTGATCCCAGCAAGAAGAGGATCACTCGCAAGGCCAAAGGAGGAATCAAGGTACCTGTCTGTTCAATGGGTTACTTTAATGACTTGTACTGACTAGGACACATAGCAAGCATAGTGTTGATTCCAGAGGCAATCCTGATAAAACAAAGTAAGATTATCCTTTATAGGTCCCACAGCAGGTGAATTCACATGAATGATACAGGACTGACTTTTAATAAGACTCAATAATACACTCTTTCATACTTTTTTACCCGGTTAGTGAAGATACTACTTCCGTTGTCACACACTGCAAGAAAGAGAAGCATCTAAACTGTATTTACAGACATGGGACAGAAGCACTGGTTGGTCACTGAAAGTGTGCAAGAAACTGCCCAAAAGTTAAGATGCAGGGCTGATTTGTTACAGTTTTAGCTTATTATCTAGTTATAACACTGATGTATGTTTAGATTATATATTATTCATTTATTTTTTTATGTATGTGTCTGTGAAAGTGGCGCTTCCACTAGCGAGCAGACATTTAGCCTGGACGTTTTCCAAACCGCTGTCTTTTAGGGTTAGTGGTGGTTCTCTTCAGACCGGGTGCTGCAGGGTAGATGTTGAGATTGTAGTAGCCCTGGAGTGAGCTTAGCCTAGCAGCTAGCTTAGCCTAGCGGTGTGTAAAGTGGTCCGTTTGCCACTTGCCCCCCTCCACACATTGAGGAATTCTTCTGCATAGTTCTCTGCTGTCTGTTTTACTTCCAATGCAAAAATCTCCCTTTATCTTCAACTACTGCCTCTCTCCGATCTAATTGTCTGCAGCTAGCGCCGGTTTTCATTCCGGGTCAACTTTCTTTACTTTCGGCACACCGGAAGACTGGAAATAAACCAGAGCTACCAACTCTCACGCTTTGTGACACACGCTTTTGCATGTTTTCACACGCACTCACGCCACACAACCAATTTCTCACGGCAAAGAAAATATTCTGATTTTGGGCCGAAGCGCGTTGGTTCCTTTTCAAACTCCCCGACGATAGAAGGCGCTAAGGAGCGCGTCTGTAAACCTATTCGCTGCGTAGACATCCTACAGTATTTACCCCAATGACATGTGGTTCAATTAAGTACTCACTCTCTTAAACTTTAAATCTGGAAAGAAATGATTAGTTGTGTTTGTGCGTGTGATTTTGAGTGGTGAATGTAAACTGTGATAAGAAGCAGCAGGAGAGAACCTTGTTAACCTCTTATATACTTCACGCTCAAAACATCATAGCATTGTTTATTAAGGCTGCTCACTGTGAGCAGCCTTAATAAACAATGCTTAATAAAAAAATGACTAACTACTACTTATTTTATTTATGTGTATCCATTGTTTTGCCTTGAAAGGCTACTGTTTAAGCACTTTTTTGTTTGATAATGAAGAATATTTTTCCCTAACTAAACTTGTGTCATTTTTTGCTGAACATAAATGATTAAGTGCTCTTAAGAATACAATTATTAACAATATAGGTGAGGTTTCAGTTAAGAGTTAGTTGAATCCCATTGAAATCAAAATGTCAATCAACCTAAATTGGTCAAATCTTAAACGCAGGTCTATTTAATTAGGCTATATGTTGGTACATAGACAGTCATTGAGGCAAAGCAATATTTTTCTGGTTGAATGTTCAGCTCAAGTCTAGAAGGCCCCACGAGTCATGAGCAGATGAACATGAATCAGAATAGGTTCAGGCACACCACCCAAAAATCCACTAGAATGCATGAAATAACATCTACTTAAACCAGAATGTCCTGGGGGTGGACCATCAGCTGTGTCTGCTTCACAGAATGTAACCAATGTTGTCCCTCTCCAGCAGGCCGCCCCTATCAACGACTTTGGGCCCCACAAACCACCAGAATGCAGGGTACAACATGGGTACTACGCCAAATTAATTCCAATTTCCTGATATTTGAGCCACCAACGTTTGTGGCTGCGAGCGCGGCAAAATTTTGGTCACCCCGACAAAACCTCACTCCCAAGGTTTTTTGAAAAGTTGGCAGCTCTGTAAACAAAGTTGCATCAGGAGCCAAATTAGTATTATATTCGCTAAATATACATGTTCAATGGATCATATGTGTGTTCCTAACGTGACTGTTATGAAGATGTCATTTCTTTACGTATCACACACACACACAAGTTATGTGACTGACGGAATTTTACGTACCTTAAAGTGGATTGTCCGTTGGGCCTACGAGTGTCGAGACAAACAGCGATATATTCAGGAAGAAGCAGACAAGCTGTATTCAACAACTTATAACTTTGGATTAATAAAATACATTTTGCTTTCACTAATGAGTCGGCGTGAGCTATGTGTATATGAACAGAAACACGCTCTGCTACAACTTTCGGAAACCTTCACTGCGTTCAAATATTTTATTGTATTGATCTAGGCCACATTAATCACCTAGATTAACATGTTAATGTTAAGGAGGATATAGGATTTTTCAGGTCTAGCTAACTTTTTTTCAATGTGGTCATGAGCCATGTGTTAATACCATATAAATATATAATCATAGACATACAATTCAAATATAACACACTAATGCAAGGAATCAATGTGTTTAAATAGCTCCAGCCAAATATTGATAAATAAGTAACTAATCTTAGCAGTCAGGTTCAGCATTAATCCGTAGAGAATTGTTTTGGTATGGGAAGCGTTGTGGTTTCAATGGTTGTATTGAGTAGGCTTTGGTTGAATGCAAGTAAACGGTGAGACACGATTATCTAGTTTTATTGGTTTGATATTACCTGTAAATGTAGGCTCCTTATTAGTGTTTCCATGTTGTAAGCTCATGCAAAGGCATCATCCAGGAAAGAAAAGCACCAACTGCAATTGTAAGAACCATTATGATTTGTGTAAAGGATCGGATTGATGGGCGGGTCAGCCTGTATAGGGTAGGAACCTTTGGGGGCTCGGCAGGTGTTTCCAGCCGGTTTAGGAAAAACAGTTTCTGACCGCACGCTGGGTAGTGTCATGTAACGCTCCGGGTGGATGTATGTACACGTGTTCCAGGAGTAAAATAGGCAAATGATTGGACTTGAATTCGACAACACAAAGGCTACAGGACTGTCATTCATCCGTCATGGGACAACAGCGGCGCGTCAATTAGGGTTTACGGACAAAATGCCTCAGTGGCTTAAAGCGTTGGCTTAGCCTCTACAGCAATTAAAACATCGCCTGTGATCACTGTAACCTGTGATGCATCTACTCTTGGACCAGTTCAATATTTACCAATGACTGATGACCACCTGAAAGCAAACACCTGGTGGAGACATGGTACTTACTGACTGTGAGATGACACAGGTACCATCTAGCAGCTGCATTGGGATGCAGCTTGAGAAAAAGGATTTGGCACTGGTATATATGTTTGCATTTTAGACATATTACGCAAAACTTCCCAACGACCAATAACTTAGTTTATGTGTGTGTGTTTGTGTGTCACAGATTGAGGTTATGCATGAGGAAAGCCAAGGAGGCTCCACCCATGCCATTGTGACCAATGAGACCGAGGAGAGTCTATCCAACAGACGCAGGTAAGGACAGACCTCACCGCTGTCTTCAAGGTGTAGTGATTTAACATGCATGCGAAGACAGCGGTGAGGTCAGAAATGCGAAGAGCTATTGGTTCCAGAGAACTACAGTTTTACACCACATCTATGGTATGGTTTAAAAAAATAGCAAAGAGCGCATTGGCAGGCAGTGTAATGGTGCACGTTGTTTCATTTCTCATTGTGTTGGGGGGGGGGGGGCAGTCACAACATCCCCTTCACACATTTATTAACAAATAGAAATGTATCTCAGATGTATTGTAACAGCTCTGGCCGTCTTTGAAAAATCCAGAATGTGTGAAACTAGTGTTCATTTCTGAAGTATGTGTCATCGTAGATGTCCAGCTTCTACATCTCGTTTGTCATGGCAGCGTCGTTTCTCATTTTGTGTTTCAAACTGTTTCTTGGTGGCTTCTGTATGTTGTGAAAGACTCAAATGCAGTCCAGTCCCAAAGGCAACATTCAGACACAGAAAGAGCCATGCCTGCAGACTCTTTGGGTCAGCTGCTTTGAAAACAAAGAAAGTGCTCCAAATGAATGAGATTTAAGCGATGACGTCAATGCGTTGTCTACTTTCTCTGCCAAGTTGCCAAAAAGTGAGTCACTGTAGGTTTCTATCGGTGCAGCCGGCTCGTAATAGTTTTGTCAGGGATGCGTGGGGGAGGCCGGACTCAAACGCAGACTTCTCAGAAAGCAAAAGACTTTGATAGTCAAAAGGCAAACGCAAAAGGCCAAGGGGCAAAAACACACAGGAACCAGGGGAAAAACAGCAGGCAGGAACTACGAACATCCACGACGAAAGACAATGACGCGACAAGTGACACAAGAGACACACGGCTTAAATACACAAGGGAGGTGCAGGTGATTGGACACAGGTGGAAACTATTAGACGTTCACAGGGGATGACAGGACAAGGCAGGAAGTGAAGTTACCCGGGGACACGAGTGGCAGAAAACTACAAAATACAACAGGAAGTGAACCACACCGTGAAAGTTTACATGTTACATGAGCTGCATCTTAAATCAGTGGCTTTTCAACATTGAAAAAAAAGCCATGTCTACTTGAGCTTCTGTACGTTATTTTGTAGTAGATAAATATATTTTACACCAATATCTCCCATTACCAGTTATCCTTTCAGACCCCCAGCTTTTCTGGGGGTGCAAATGTCACAAGCAACTCATTTAGGCTATTTCATCATATTTCTGCCATGTGTACTACCAATACTGTAGGGAAAAGTCATCTGTCATCATTTAGCTTTGAGTCTGGCTGTATGTGGCGGTTTGCTATTGGCTGTTTGGTGTCTCAATAGGAAAAGTCTGATGCAAATGTATCAGCCTTGTTGCAGGGAGTACAACGTTCAAGGGCCAAGAATAGACCAGCTGCTCTACGTGTTTCTGACCAGCCACGATACCGTGCCAACATAAACGATGCAGAGCATTTCATACTGAATACATATTTCCTTATACAGAGTGGCTAAAGTCTGTTCAATTAAGTGTTGCACAATGGTTAAAGCTATTGAAAGTTATGATCCATGCCATAACCAATATTGCATTCACTCTGGACAATGTGCTCTTCAGTATTTGTACAGTAAAGTATTTGTGTGCATTGTCCAATATGAATACAATATGTTTGTTGATCAAGACACAACAGGCCTGCATCTAAAGATTGTTTTCATTTATTGGTCTGCATAAGGATTTTTTTCAGTATTCTTTTTGTCTTTGGAATTTCGAAATAGCATCTTGAAATGTCTTGGCATGTCCAAAACAACTTTAAGTATGAACAAAAGAAATGAGCAAATGACCACATCACAAAACATTTTCTTAAAAAAATTCAATCATTTATTATGGTTGCATTTCTTTTACATTTGATTAATTGTTGAATGGCTAGAGCTCTAATGGACATAAACAACCATCCTTGAACCATTTGGTTTCTTTAAACCTTCTGATGTGCCTTCAAATTTGACAATGGGACATCTATACAGAACATTAATCTTTGTCCACCGCCTCAGAGACACCGGAATTCATCACATTTAGCAGCTAGTTTAGACTTTTCAATCGGGGCCAAAGGAAGAACGGAATGGAGCTCTATGAAGTGTGCACACTGAGGAGAAGAATCCTCATTTGAACAGAAGCAGGATTGGTTCTACCAATCATTTCTCTCCAGCTTAAACAAAGTCTGGATGATAACTAAAGAACAATCAAGTGCATTTCTTTGCTTAACTTAATTTACATAAGAGCAAATACCTATAATAGCAAGCAAGCAGTGAAATAGGTGCCATTATTTGTTCTAGTGGCACATATAGCATCTGAAGACCATTCATGTAAAAGCAGCCATACAGGAGTAAGTGTTCTGGTAGTATGGCAGGCACAGCAGCGCCACTCTCACTGCAGTGCAGTACAAATGACTTACAAATCCTCTGGAGTTGCCAGACACTGTCGGGTCTGTTGCTGCCTGCCATAGCGTGCGCACGTCCGTGGCGTGACCGTGAGAAGTTATCATGTGATTATAGATGCAGGGGTGGTACGGAGTCTTGCCCTCCCCTGAAAAGTACACATGCTCCTGGGGATAGACCCCCACAGCTGTGGCACAAATCCCCATGAAGACATCGTCAATGTACATGGAGGAGTTCAACAACAAAGTTGCGTGGTAAATCTTGGCGGCCACATCCCCTGAAACCACATACCCCGATCCAGAAGTGTAGTCTGGGTAGGAGGGCCAGGGGTACAGATCGTGGGGAACGTGGTATTTGCTGTCTTTCCGGCGCACTGGAGGGGCTCCTCTGTGTACATGTCCCACCCACAGGTCTTTGACCCCTGATTCTGTACTCAGGAGCTGCCGTAGGTACTTCACCAAGTTTGGCAGGTGGACAAAGATGTCGTCGTCTGCAGACATGAGGAAGCGTGCCTGACGGCAGTACTTGTGGCCCCAGTGGAACTGCAGGAGCAGTTTGGAAGTCAGGTTGTGGAAGGTGTCCAAGAAGTTTTGCTGGATCAAGTCGCCGTGAGCCCGGTCCTCCTGCATCAGCTCACTCTGCACCCTGGACCTTCGCCTGACATCTGGGTGCACGCCAAGGGCGAACACCATCCTCACTCTTGCCCCCAGTTCTGTCCAAATAAAGCTCTCGTTTCCCCACGTGTCCCTGATGGCCTGGCGTCGCTCAAAGTTCTCTGGCGAGGATTTTACAAACAGCAGCAAGAGGACATCCTGACTTTTCCGGTCTCCGCCCCCACCTCCACATTTTCCCGGTTGGTTGATGAGGTATGGATAGTTGACAAACCCAGCGTCCACATCAGAAACCTCATCCTTCTTGTTGTGATGGATGGATGTGAGGGCGTAGGAGGAATTGAGAAAGTTGTAGCTGTTCACCAGGTAGCGGTACGTGTAGGACCTCATGTGGCTGACCACATGGTGGTCCAGGTCTTTCCAGCAGATCATCACCACAGACAGCAACAAACCTGTGGTCAGCAGCTGCATGCACTGGCACTTGCTGATACGACGGAAGTTCATGAACATGGCGATTACTGCTTATTTCTGCCAAAAAAACCTGCGGCCTCTGTCCTACTTGTCTCTTCTTTCTGTGAGTATCTTAATAAATTGATCTCTGCCTCCTGTAACTCTAAAGCTTGACTCCACTTTTCACCCTCTCTTTCCTTATTATATATTCTGTTGTCTTGCCTCATATAGTATGTCCTTTTCGCCTCCTCCAATCCTATCGAATGTCAAGTCCAGCAGACCTTCTTCAGGCTCCTCAGCAGTTGTACATGTTTTGTCTCTGATCTTCTAAAGCTCTGCTATGAAAATGGATCAGGCCACAGGTGAATTCAAAGCTGGGTGTCCAATCCAGGATCCTCCTATATGCTTCTCTTCTCAGAACTTACTTTTCCCTCCTCATCTTGGTCATTGTCTCAACAGCGTGCCTTTGGAAGACATAGCACCTGAAGAGAGAGACACGTACAATCAGATTCATATAGATCATTTTTATGCATGCTTTAGCTTCACTTTAAAGCTAGAATACACCAGTCCTGAAATGAGGAGGTCATTCATTCAGCAATTTATCATCATTTTTGATAAGCAGTTTGTTGTTTATTGCACAAAAATTGAGTGTAAAATGTGAAACGATTTCCTCTGGTTTTCTATCATCGTAACGGATTTATGTTGGTTGCAGAGAACGGGACCTACAGAGGCCATGTTGTGGTGTGCTGGGGGAATGTCTGTTTGTTACCATTGATTGTTACCATTGATTGCCATCACACTGGCTGTGGTAGGTTAACCAAACATTTCAAACCAAACATGTGAACAAATACAAAATCCCTATATCTTCATCTCTAAAGCTTTTCATTTAGCCAAAAGAAGGAAAGGAAATTAAAAGCATACATTCTTTTATTTAAGAAACGTTGCATGACTTGTGGGTAATTCCCTTGGGCTAAATTATCATCCAATACTGACTTACAGAAAGTGTTCAAAGGACTAGAAATGTCTGCCTGGAGCCTCAAACACTCAACATGTGACAGAACTAAACCCCACAGAGCCAGCCCAAGCGCGCAGGGAACGCCACATGTAGCATCTCTGTCATGCAAACACATGTGTTAAAGCAGAATAGAAGTCCGCTGGGTCTCATCATGCCAGCAGCCAGACCTCATCCAGAAGCTACTTTAGTCTCACGGATGAACCAGTTCAATCAATCAATCGCACGCGCCACAAAACGCTTCCCCGAACTGAGTAACTCACCAAAGATGTGATCGATGGGGCTGATGACCTGTGAACTATGGACCAGTACACCTGGTGCGTATTGCAAGTAGTAGCGGATTCACTTTACCATCACCTGGAGAGCCTGGCGCACGGGCATGCGTCATCACGTGGTTTTGGTGCACAACTGATTCCTCTGAGGAAATTCAAGTTAGTCCGTCATCATAGTATGTTCCTACCGCATGTATGTGATCAATTAATGATATCTCTCATTATATTACGAGGACATTTGAATATGTGTGTCACTATAAGCTGTTTTTAAGCCTCTGAACTATTCAAAAGATAGTAACTATTCAATCTGTGAGGCACATAACACATGGAACAATGTAGATATCAACATGACTTCTTTTTGTAATACAACATTGCTGTGGCTACATGTAAAATAGTGAGGCGGCTTAATGTGCTGTATTGTGAACACTGAACAGGTGACTGGTGCTGGGGATTATGTGACACAGGGCTAATTCCGGCTCATTGTTTCACTATAATATTGCTGAATGAATACCCTAGGACTTGAGAGATGGCAGTTCATTTGATCTGGTTCCACTCTGTGACCTCTCAGGGGCACATTCACACTCCTTTAGGGGAGGTTGGCCGTGTTTCTGTTTCTATGTCTGACGTCAGCACCCTTTGGGTACAGGACAGGAGGAAACGGTTAACTCCATCTTCATTACCGCAGATAGAAGCCACGTTTGCACACTGAGAGCTCTGTGGCAGCTGGGTTAGGTTTGAGTGGTAACGGCAGCCCATCGGTCACCTGCTCACGAGCAACGTGCAAGTCACAAAAGTGTGAAGGAGCTTCCCGTCACACGAGTACCGCCTGACAGCTCGGCAGTCATGCGGTCACTCGGTGTGTGTGTGGACAACTCAACAGTGGACAGGTCTCTTCTTCCACTTCCACTGCTGATCACAGCTAATTGCTTTATCAGCTGGGTCACATGACCGCCCATCACAGGGCGTCCTGTTTGCTCTCTGTTGGAGGCGTGTGCTGTGTCTCTGTGGATGTGGTCTGACGTATCCTGTTCCTTTGTAACCTGTGAGTTTGACCTGCTTTCTTCCTACTAATGTTGGCGAAAGTATCAAAAACAGAGTGTGTAGGAACACAGTGAAGCGCCAACCCCGCTGAACTCCTCGTGCGTACACACCTTTTGAAGCTCCTTTTACCGTTTAAACCATGAAACAAAAATACTGAAACAGCCTTGTTTTCTTATTTTTCATTTTAAAACAAAAACGGTAAAAAAGGAAATGTTGAGACTGTTTTCTTGTCTTCTGTTTAAAACCAAAACACGAGAACAACTGCCAGCTTTTACTTCCGTAAATCCCTTTTTTCTTTTTGCCTATGAACGAAAGTGTGAAGCATAGCTGCAAGCGGTAAGAGACGACTTAACGGAACATTTGTATGCCAGACATTTGTCTGTGATACCAGGGTAACATTAGAAGAAAAGTTCATTAATTACTATTGTAGAGGCTAAGCCAACGCTTTAAGCCACTGAGGCATTTTGTCCGTAAACCCTAATTGACGCGCCGCTGTTGTCCCATGACGGATGAATGACAGTCCTGTAGCCTTTGTGTTGTCGAATTCAAGTCCATTTATTTGCCTATTTTACTCCTGGAACACGTGTACATACATCCACCCGGAGCGTTACATGACACTACCCAGCGTGCGGTCAGAAACTGTTTTTCCTAAACCGGCTGGAAACACCTGCCGAGCCCCCAAAGGTTCCTACCCTATACAGGCTGACCCGCCCATCAATCAGCACCTGACACACATCATAAATCGGCTATAAATAAAGTATAAATAAATAATCCTAGTCCAATGGAATGTGTTTGTTCCATCACAAGTGGAATGGTGAGAGTTGGTCAAAGGCTGTGTTCCAAAGTAAATCATTTCAGTTTTATTGTCGTCAGATTAGTTAATATTTTTAAAATAGTAAGCCTTCCGGTATCACTGATTATTTTCATTTTAATTCCACCTCAGAGCCAGATTTTCAATTCTGATTTTAAGGAAGTATCCCCAGTTACTCGGCCAGCGAGACCGGATGCATCAGTAGCTGCAGAGTGGTCCCAACCAGTAGTGGGCTCACTAACACCAGTGTCACACTTTGGGCACCAACCACCAAAGCGCTGAGGACCAAGAAGCTGCGGAGATGGAATGTGCTTTACCCAGATGTTAGTGTACTGCTGGGCAATGCTGTCAATCATTTGCCACAGTTTTTCAAGATGGACTCAAATACCTTATTGGTGTCACTAGAAGACTTTGTCAGCACTTGTAAATAGGTCAAATATAGAATGTGAAATGATGACCACCATGATTGGGATGGTGTGCTCAGGGTGATGGTGTTGGGTGTCCACCACACAGCGCTTTGCTCTCATCTGACCGGAGCACCTTCTTCCACATGTTAGCTGTGTCTCCCACATGGCTTGTGGCAAACTCCAAACAGGTTTTGTTCTGGTTTACTTTCTTCTTGCCACTCTTCCATAGAGGCCAGATTTGTGGATCACACGGCTAATGGTTGTCCTGTGGACCGATTCTCACTGTGGGTCTTTGTAGCTCCTCCAGAGGTACCGCGTGACTCCTGGTTGCTGCTGTATCATGGACATCACAATCTACTCAGGATGTATGTGACCTTTGACTTTGGTGATGATAGAGGAAATTACTCAAACGTACAACTAAAGAGGATACTAATATTGTATTTCAAGTAAGAGGTGTCTCTCTGTCACTGGAGACAACCTGTCCAAACATTCATTTCTTCTACTAAATGACATTCCAGTGTCACTAAACTGCAATCTTATCTACATATTGAGGGACATGTTTATCTCAGTTCACAGTCACAGTTTTCAACAGTTCTAAACCCTCCTCACAAAACAGGCTTCAGCAGACCAGTGTTATTTGGCGGGAAATGCATTTTGTGTAACATTGTCATGCTGGTGTGTCCAACATGCTAAAGAGCAGCTAGTCTGTTGCAATGGTTCCCAACCCAATTCAGCCTGGCAGTGGGATCCATCCACAGAGGGTCACATGAAAGGTAACATGGAGGCAATGAAGAAAAGAGAATCAATTCATCTCTTTATGAGAAAAATTTAAAATGTAAAATATTATAAAATTCTAAAATGTCTGAATGCCATACAAATCATTTTCCTTAGACCACAGCACTGTCATTATTTATTGCTTAATAAACGACACATGTTCCTTGTTCCATGAAATAAATATAACATAATGTATACAAAAATAGTTGCAAATGAACCCTAAAGAGCAAATGATATAAGCAGTATTAAATACATATGTAATAATCTAGATAAACAGTTAAATTTTAAAACAAATTGATGGTTTGAATACACATATTCTGCCACTTTGTGGTGGAGATGTTCACTCTGCGTTCACTGAAGCAACAACACAACACGTGGCAAACAAATGTCAGCAACGAGTGTGCGACCACAGACCACTTTGACTAAACTATATTAATAGCTATGTTATTACCTACTTACTAACTATAGGCCATCAAACCGTGAACTGATTATAATGAGGAAGATGGATGAATGGAAATACATCTGCGTGTAATCAACTACTGTTGCTGACACACATCCCATCGGATCAGGATTATTTATTCATACTGATTAATGAACTTTTCTTCTAATGTCACCCTGCTATAAGCTGGCATCACAGACGAATTTCTAGCATACAAACGTTCCGTTCCGTTGACTCTCACAGTGAAAAGTTACGTACTTCCGGTTTAGCTGCAGCGCTCCGGATTTTTCGTTTTATAGGCACAGGCAGAATCGAGAGTCGATGCATCATTTGACGTTTTCTTCTGCCACAGAAACGAGATCAATCTGTAACTATTGTTTATATGAACCTATATCGTTGTATATTATGGGTACTAGCCTTAAAATGTTCATATCAACTGGGACCAAAACAGGTAAGTGTGACCAGCCCCTTAACACTGAGTCGTCCACCACGTGGGCTTGGTGCCGTGAACACAAATGCTGAGCCAGCATAACGTAGCATAATAGAGGGGCTTTAGCCCAACAGAGCCACTGAGCAGGGAAGCTGCTGACTCCTGAGCAATTCTCCCATACAATAGTCCCAAACAAATGTTTCCACAGCAGCATATTTTCACTTGGTCTCACAACACAAGGCTGAGCCGTGTCATTCTAAAGTCTTGTGGTGAAACAAACCCCATGGTTTCTACTGTTAAGACTGAATTGCCCTTTCTGCTTCCTGTGTCTTCACACATGCAAGTGGCTATTTCCGTCCTGGACATGGACGCTGCTGCTTCAGATTCTCAACATTTAGAGTTACTTCACGTGGATGTGATCAGAAGACAGAATGGCCATAAAAACGCAGTGATCGGTTGTCAAATAATGAGGTACTCTAAAATCATGGCACAGATTGTTGTAGTAAGTACAGCTATTACTACTGTTACTTGGCATTTTAATCAACACGTGGTACACATCTACCTTGCAATCAATGAAACACACGTAACACCAAATAGCACTAATCTACACACTGCTTGAGCAATATGTGCTCTTTGTACTTCTAGAAATGTGTAAAACGAGGCTCTCATTCTTTAGTATTCTATTCACCTTTGTGAAACTGTTAAGCGTTGTCAGCTATAAAGAACACGTGTCTGTCCTGTTGTGAAACTGAACTTTATTGTTATGTTCAGGAAAAGGTCATGGTTTGAGTTAAAGTAAGTTGAGTACATTTCTTAGGTAATGCAGGGACGTTTCTATGCCCTGAAGCAGGTATGAACACATGCAGTAACATTTATAACTTGAATACAACAGCATTACCTGGTTGTCTCGTTCTACTACAGGTCTACTTGGCTTTATCTTCTGCTCGTACAGTCTGGGTTGAATACTGATATGGGTTTGAGGAACGCCTCCTATGACGCTGCTTCCGAACAATAACTACATGTTTTGGCTCTGGCTCGGACAGCCACAGGCCACGGGCCCCATTTCTTTTCCCCAAATTCCCTTTTAGCTGCACAACTGATAAACAATAATATGAAGTATTGGCTCATTGTTTTGTGGTCACTTGTATGGAATAGAGAGTGCTCTGAGTGATCTTTCATCCTTTGACTTTCCAAGGCCAGAGGAGAACTATATGAGCTCACCTGCTAGTAACTCAAGAGGGGCAGATTCCAATTGTAGACTCTCTCTTGACAACTGCATTGTGCTTCTCTAGAGTGAAAACATTACTCAGTTAATTGCACACACTAATGGACATAAAAGCTCAGGTGTTGATATTCGACACGGAGCAGATCGTAATGCTTGAAAAGCCCAAATTACGGAGTCAGCACTTACTGTACTAACGCAGGCAATGCAGAGACTTCACCTCCAAGCATTTCACTTGTTTTAACTGAAATGAACAAATATTAGTCACAGGTCTGTTAACACAAACCTCGCCCCACTTGTAAGTGAGCATCTTAGAATATAAGCAAATGTGTACCAAAGCAAATGTTCCCTCCCATGTTGGGGCTGAGACAACAGGATACTTCTGCTACTACAGGATGTACTTGTTATCCAGCCATCGCGCCGTGTGACTTACTTACACAGCTTTGGTTCAACAAAGTGAGAGGAATTTATTATTGGAGTCAATATTGCAGGAATGCAGAATATTTCTGTTATTTAGGCTGTAGCCACTAGTGTTGACTCAACGCAAGCTGAATTATATGGTCTGGTCACTAGTCTGGAAACAATGGGTTAAACATGTCTAAATATAGAGCTTTTCTCTCTCAAAAGGAAGAAAATGGAAGGCTTTTTTATTCTGGAGTGCAACTCTGGTTTTATTTTTGTAGTGCTGATTCAGTTGAATTATTGTGCTCGCCAAAGAAAATGCTAATATGTGATTGCATCGCTACAAACCCCAAAGGGTCCAGACATATGAGGAAATAGGTCTTCATAGTTTGAAAAGAAGATAATTAACCAAAGCACTTTACACTGAGCGCACCTGGAATGTAGGTAGTAATTCCGCATTGTACAGGAAACCCTGGAAACTACGTTGGTACACAACGCTGGAGGTCCAAGCCCAACCCAGTGACTCAGTTTCTCCTTGGTGTAGATCCTGTTTGATCATCTGACTTCTCAGCTCTCTAAATGCATCACTCTTTGTAGGAACGATGAGCAGCAAACCCCCTCATTTAACAGTGAAACCTTATAATAGGTAATAGGGCCAAAAGAAAAGACCCAACTTACTCTGGTTCATCCAAGTCAGATGGATTTCTCCAAACTAACTTGTGACTTGTCTGGTTAGGATTGTGCTGTCAGATCCCCTGAAATAAAGTTTCCCAGCAGGCTGTGACAGGCTGTATAACATTCGTATTTGTATGTGACACTACAGCATCAAACTATGACGTTCCACGTGGCTGTAGGTCCGACGGGAGTAAAGGAGGACGCGTGGCTACATGCTTTAGTCAAACACAGTACTTCCATACGGTGGCCCTGTAGTGCAAAACACAACGGCAAATAGGAAAACACAACGACATTAACTTCTTACGTAAAGGGTAGGGCCTTATAGCAGAGGACGGACCCTTCTGATTGGACAGACTGTCTGTCTTTTAACCTCTTTAATCCGAAGCCTTTCGCCGGCGACGGAAAGGGACATGGAGGATTCAAATTACCCGATATCGGAGTGGGGGGGCGCGGGCGCTATGGGGGGGGTGGGGGTGCCGCGGACGCTACGGCCGACACGGCTCGGGGACCAGAGTCCGATTCCTTGGCGCGAGGAATTGGATGTGTGGTGGGAGTGCGTGACTGTCTCTTCCTGTTAAAAGACAGACAGTCCGTCTGTCCAATGAGAAGGGTCCGTCCTCTGCTATAAGGCCCTACCCTTTCCGTACGGTAATGTCGTTGTGTTTTCCTATTTGCTGTTGTGCGTTCTTATTTGACGTTATGTTTTGCACTTCAGGGCCACCGTACTTTCAGCCTAGAGGCACGTGCTCATGTTGTGTGAGGAACCACAATTCAATATTGAGTATATATATATATATATATTATATTAAGTTTTAGTGACATGACATTAATACATTTCTTACTGAGTTCACTTTTTGCAGGTGTTGAGCGTTGCACAACTGCCAAGTATATATAGTGAACCTGTTTAACTATGTAAAAACACTGTTTTTTTCACTATTGGACTTTGAAAAAACTGTGTGTACATGCTACAAGGAAAATTGACAGACAGACTGGACGTGAATCATCTCTACTGACCTGGATCAATTAAACCAAAACACTTCTTTGTTGACGGAAAATGACCTAATTGAAATGAATATGTCAGTGATCAAAAATGAACATATTTCGAATCACAATTGATGTGTATTTGTAACTATTTGTATTTTTATGATATCTAAAAAAATATTTCTCATCTATTGTGTGTTTTACTATAAATGTCCAGCCACCAGCGATCAGTGCGCCTGCTCAAGACTGCCGCGTTTACACTACAAAAGTACTTTGTAGTCTGCTTCCATCAGAGATCTGATTGCAGAACTTACATTGAACTGGAAAAGATGTTTGATTGGAGGAAAACAATAGAAAGATCACACATGTTGTTTAGCCTACTATCGTAGATTCTTCCATGAGTCATTCTTTCCCTGTAAACCCTATGCTGACTTTATTTCCTTTAACTGACTGGCAACCTGGCTACGTGGCAGTTCAGCAGCCAGACCACAAGTTCTGTGTCATGTAGTCCTACAGGAAAATGATCTAAATGTGAAACGTTCCGAAATGGAATGAAGAACACAGATTCTACACTGAAAACAAATAGAACTATAGAAACAACATACTTAAAGCAATGGGATACACTTATAAATGAACAAAACTGCTTTAAAACTTTCCCTGTGGTTTGCAGGTTGGTGTCCTACTTTTCTTACCACCGTGTTTCCGAGGAGTTATCACGGGTACGTTAGTTTAACATCCTGTTTGCTCTCTGTTCCTCTGCTAAGCCAGCGTGGTCAGTTGGATGCCTGTAGACTCTGGATGGCTCAGCAGCCTCCCAGCAGGGAACCGGTGAAAAGGTGCTTTGAGGTCTCGGACTACTTGTCTGACTCAATCGTCGTTGATACATCCAGCTTTTCTCCCCCTTTTCCCCCACACTTACCTCCCTAACTCTGCCAGTACTGCAAGCTAAGACTGCGAACACTTGAAGGTATTATATACTTAATTTAGAGCACCCTTCAGCACACACACACACACACAGCGTGCTCCTGACTTACCAACTGCTTCTCTTGTTCCATAACCATCTTTGCTTTACCACTTCTCCCCCAGTCAGCCACTCAGTAAAAGAGAGCCTCAAACGCCTGCTCTGATTACCATGAAGGTCCCAGAGTGAGCGCTGTGAGAGAGACACACTGTGTGTGTGTATGTGTGTGTGTGCTGTGTGTGCTGTGTCTTGCAAAGGGGGAGGGACCACTGTGCAGTGGAGGAAGCTCAATGCAAATGACTGACTGAACTAGAAGATGCATTTCCTGCTGAAAATGCGTTAGAATGCTGAAAGATAAAAGCTGAAAGCTTAAACCTGAAATTAATTTAAAAAAATTATATACAATACAATACAGCTTAAATTAATTTGAAAGAATTGCTGAAAGTATAAAAATGGCTGAGAAGCTGAAATTCATTTTAAATCATTTGCTGAAAATACAGAAAATGCAGGAGCTGAAAAAACTGGTGAAAATGCAAAAATGGCAGAAGCTGTGAAGAGAATTAAAAAGAATACAGAAATAAATTACTGAAATAAATTTCAAAACGTTGATGAAAATCCAGAAATGACAAAAGCTGAGATGAATTTTTAAAAATGTATTTTTTGTAGTAATATTAGTAGTAGTATTGGTTGTAGTTGTAATTGTGGTACTGATACTGGTAATACTAGTAATAGAAAATGTAGTAGTAGTTTTAGTAATAATAGCAGTGTAAAAACTAGAGAAGCCCTCAGAAATATTTAGTGTGCCCTAGGGTTGTCAAGATACCAAAATTATGACTTTGATACTATACCTGCCAAAATATTACGGCACCCAATACGATACCACAAATATGAAACCACAAATGATACTAGAATATTTATGATATCTATGATAGTAATGAATAAAACATCTGTTTTATTTATTACTATCACAACGGTTTACACAACGGTTTTTACTTTTACTTACATGTAGAGTTTGATATTCTCACATTTATATTTCCTTAACTAAAATAAAAAGAATTAGGTCAAGATCCACTCTCAGGCTCCACCAGCCTATTGCATCAAGTGTGTATTATTTGGTACAAAGTTGTGTGCATTCTGACCTCATGATCATAAAGGCCCACATGAGTGAAATTGTAGGTTATTTTTCATTCAGTAACTTATTTGCAGTCTTTGTCTTGTGTTGCTTGATGTTTGACTGTGTTAGGAAAGTTGTTGTCTAGCGAGCCAACAAAGCTACAGGCTGCCAACTGTCACGGTTTCCCCGTGTGACACGTGTGTTTGCATATTTTGACACGCACTCACGCCACACATCCAATTTATTACGCTAAAAACAATCTGTGCTGGTTCATCTCCAACCTCACTGGCGGTAAACGGCGCGTCTGTAACCCGATTTGCTGCACGTAGCGTAACTTACACCCCCCGTTGGCCGGAGCTTCACCCCCGACAACATCTCACAATAACATCACAAAGAAGCCGACGCGAGAGCACTTAATACAGGCACCAATGCGTGTTATAACAAGCTTGCTGACATCGCTAACGAGATGTCTTGCTATCGGCTAAACTAGCAAGTCAACAATTTTCCAAACACAGTCAAACATCAAGCAAGTGCAAGACAAGACGTCAAAGCAGACAAAGCAGACGTCCTCTTTTACCCGGACATTTCCTCTTTTTGAGACCTAAAAAATGCGTCCGGGTAGAAGAGGACGTCAGGTCACCTGAGCTAAGCTAGGCTAAGGCTACTCGTGTTAGGCTGTATATGGGTGAGCTCGGGGGTGTTCATGTCTATAATCACATTTGCTAACCCGTCTCTGAAAAGTTTGGGTGTCTGTCTGAAAGGTGTTTATCCATATTTGAAGTGTTCCCTCCCTTTGCCTGGTGGATTTGAAGCAGGTTTTGCGGACTGTCTGTGTGTGTCAATGGCAGAGGTGTCAAGTAACAGTAAGTAAGTACTTTGTTTCCTTATTTCAGTAAACATTTTGGGTATCAATACTTTACTGGAGTATTTCTTTTTCAGATTACTTTTTTTCACGCAAATATCTTTACTTTCTACTCCTTACATTATAAAAATAGCCTTGTTACCTCAAAAACACGCACACAAAAAAACCTATCCAGATAAATCGCGGCATCCGGATTGAGTATAAACATTTACCATCGAGACACCCTATTGGTTTTCTCCGCGATGCACGTGCCGATCAGAGTGCAAAAAGTGGTCGGTGGTCAGATCCTTTGTCTGAACGGCAGGTTGCGTTGGTCGGTGGTCGGTTCCTCCGGTGGTCGGTGGTGGTAGGATTTCCAGAACGGCATAAACCGATCTCAGTTGGTATTTAGAGACATGAACCCGCTCCCTCCTCATGCAGATTCCATGTAACGTTAAATGAGTTTCGTCATGACCATGGGTTTGTCGTAATAAATGGGTTTGTAGTTTTTTCTAACTTCATTGACATTCCATCATCTGAACGGCAGGTTACGTCATCTGAAGGCACCTTCGATCATATTGTAATGGACTGACATGTTCTGTGACCGAGGTTAAGACCGAGTGTGTACGGTTTTCCATTACATTACTTTTACTTTTATACTTTACGTAGTTTTAAAACCAGTACTTTTATACTTTTACTTAAGTAAAGAGCTTGAGTTGATACTTCAACTTCTGCAGTCTTTTTAAACCCTAGTATCTATACTTCTACTTGAGTAATGAATGTGAATACTTTTGACAACTCTGGTCGATGGGCTTTCCATCACAGTCTGCTACATGAGGGCTCATCTCCCCTAATAACTCGCTGTGATGCCCTGCAGTCAATGTGTGCAGGCAGCCTGACAGGGGGCGAACAGTGAGTGCGCTCTGAATGCGTGCTTTTTTTAAAGTACCGGTACTAAAAATATTTGAAATGAAATGAGCTTCATAGCATGGCCTCTTAACTTCTTGTGATTGATATGAGTATATAAGGATATGACTACACCTGGTGACGTCTCTGAGGCCATTTAAATAGGGCTCATTGGATACAAACGCTACAATGGGAAAGTCAAAGGAGCTCAGCATGGATCTGAAAAAGCGAATCATTGACTTGAACAAGTCGGGAAAGTCACCTGGAGCCATTTCAAAGCAGCTGGAGGTCCCAAGAGCAACAGTGCAAACAATTGTTTGTAAGTATAAAGTGCATGGCACTGTTTTGTCACTTCCATGATCAGGAAGAAAATGAAAATGAAAATTACCTGCTGCTGTGGTCAGGAGGCTGAAGAGTCAACCGAGAACCACCAAAAAGCAGATCTGCCAAGAATTAGAAGCTGCTGGAACACCGGTGTCAGTGTCCACAGTCAAGCATGTTTTGCATCTCCATGGACTGAGAGGCTGCCGTGCAAGAAGGAAGCCCTTGCTCCAAAAGCGGCACCGTAAGGCTCGACTGCTGAAGTTTGCTGCTGATCACACGGACAAAGATAAGACCTTCTGGAGGAAAGTTCTGTGTGCATTCTTCAAGATAACCTAAAATCAACAGCCCGAAGGTTGGGTCTTGGGCTGATGTTTTCCAACAGGACAATGACCCCAAACACACATCAAAAGTGGTAATAGAATGGCTAAATCAGGCTAAAATTAGGGTTTTAGAATGGCCTTCCAAAAATCTTGACTTAAATCCCATTGAGAACATGTGGACAATGTTGAATAAACAAGTCCATGTAATTTAACTGAACTCCACAAATTCTGTCAAGAGGAGTGGTCAAAGAGTCAACAAGAATCTTGCCAGAAGCTTGTGGATGGCTACCAAAAGCGCCTAATTGAAGGGAAAATGGCCAAGGGACATGTAACCAAATATCAGTACTGCTGTATGTATATTTTTGACCCAGCAGATTTGATCACTTTTTCTGTTAACCCATAATAAAGTCATAAAAGAACCAAACTTCATGAATGTTTTTTGTGAAGTATCTGTTCCAAACACCAGAGAAAAGTTAGGCTTCTAGAAATAACGGGAAACTCAAGAGAGCCATGACATGTAAACTTTTGACCACAACTGTGTGTGTAGAAACTATTTTTGTCTTGCTGATCTGACATAAATCCACATGGAGGGGGTCGTGGGTGTTTGCCTGGTCTTCCGTTGCTCTTCTTTCACACCTCTCCTATTATTTTGCACCTGGTTCGGTGGGGGGAGGAGAGAACAAAGCCGGGTCTGTGTGTATGAGCATATGTGTGTTGTGTAAACCACAGTCAGAACAGTTGTACACAGTTAGGTAATGATCACAAGATAGACCACGTGTCCCTGTACTTGTGCACATTCTTAGTTCTTGAAGGATAGAGAGAGCTCTTCAGTTGTGGTCCAAGACTTGCTATTTCACTTAGATGGATGACATGATCGATGGGAGCATCGGATGTATTCATTTTCAGCTTTATTGACCAGGCAGCTAGAACAGCTAAAACTCCTTTCATGGATGGATTTTTCTTTGTGGATATGAAAAAAAGCATGAAACCTTACAACCTTGTTCCTCCCTGGAGGGATTCATACATGCCAAACTGGACCTTCATTTTGGTCTTCTCCATAAGACACAATTAGGTAATAATGATGAAGATTACCTCCAATTTGAACACAGTTTGCTCATCACAAGGACTGCTACTCAGGTTGTTCAATGGCTTTTTTGTCTCTTGAATAGAAATCCTTGATGATCACTGTTGTGTGGGCTTGGAGTTGGTATAAAATGATATATATTTGTCCATAAGAGGGGGGGTACGGTGGTGTGGTGGTTAGCACTGTCGCCTCACAGCAAGAAGGTCCTGGTTCCACTCCGTCCAGTGGCCTTTCTGTGTGGAGTCTGCATGTTCTCCCCGTGTCTGCGTGGGTTCTCTCCGGGTTCTCCGGCTTCCTCCCACAGTTTAAAGACATGCTTTGGGGATCAGGTTGATTGGGGACTTTAAAATTCCCGTAGGTGTGTGAATGCGAGTGTGAATGGTTGTTTGTGTCTGTGTAGCCCTGTGATTGGCTGGTGACCTGACCGGTCCAGGTTAAACCCTGTCTCTCACCTGAAGTCGGCTGGGATAGACTCCAGCCCCCCTGCGACCCTGTGTGCAGGATAAGCAGTTTGATGATGTATGGATGTCCATAAGAGTCTTTGGGCAAATACAAATAATTCCCATTATTTGTCTTCCGACGTCCCATCTCAGCTCACACTGAGCCTTCAAATGGTACTGTAAAATAAGAAAGTAGAACAGGGTTTAATGTCAAAATAATGATCGAAGAGAAAGGCAACTCACGTTCTGAAAAGGACCAACCAAGTAACATTACCAAATCCTTCCGGTAAATTTTTGTAAGTGTTTTGTGTTGAGCAAGTTTGGGGACAGTAATATAACCAAGTGCAAGGAGTGGTGAACCTCATGAGCCAAAGCTTGTTTTTCATCCGACATTCCTAAGTTACTAACTGTTAGAGTGTATGGGCTAATAGACTACAACTTAAATAAATGTGGGCTAAACTGGACTGATGAATATGACACAACTCCTAAAAAAGTCTAATCTCATTGCTCTCCCACAAAACACCCTTCTCCCTCTATGAGAAGAGTGTTTTGTGGGAGAGCAATTGCTGCTGTGTCAAAGCTGAAATTCACGTTTTTTTATTCATTAGCCTGTTGTGTGCTCCTTCTCTGCAGACACATCATGACTGAGCTCATTGAAACAGAGAGGCTGTATGTGGAGGAACTGCAAAGTATCATGGAGGTACAGTATGTTATAGAATTTAGTTTTGTACTGTTAGTCAGGTAAAAGAAAACATTTGATGCACATTTTTCACTGTGGCGATTTGCAGGTGATAAATTAGTGAAGGGCGACTCCAGAGGTTTAGTTTGGGGATCCATGTTCAAGATTACTATGACAGAGCCTATGAAGAGATCCTGACTTTTGTCCCAAATATGCGTCCATCTCCATCAGCACTGGGTCCTATAAATCCCACAATGCAACTTGTTGTGTCTGTTCATTAAAATGCGCCACTAGATGTGGACATAAGCTTCCTGTTAAAGAAGTGCTGGCTGTGGAGACAAAGGTAATATTACCTGAAGGCCTCCGTAGTTGTGAGGGGAGGGCTGTTTAGCTGGTTGTTACCTACCATCTCCCCACTAGATGCCACTTTACATTACATGTAGCTGACGCTTTTATCCAAACCGACTTACAATAAGTGCATTTCAACCATAAGGATACAAACTCAAAAGAACAAAAAAGTGCAATTTCATCAAATAAGCCAAATTACAATTTGCTCTATATATGAGCCATTATAAGTACAATTTAAGTGCTAGATTCTAGAGCCAAACTATGATACCCCACACAGAGTTGGATTACATTGACTTAAAGCATCTGCATTGGTTTGCATTGTCCATCGACTTTAAAGTTTAAATTGCGCAATTATCAAAAGAATACACAAAGCCAACCATTTCAGTTTTAAATGTTCTGAGTGTGCTGCTACCCACTGAAGGCCTTCTACATTGTGTTCCCCCACATTAGGAAACAACCGCCTTTGTCGCTCTCTTATAAGACTACTTCATATCAGATCAAGTCTTTTGGTTTGTATGACCTACCATTCAACATCACAATTGCTACTGTATAATGAGCAGCAGTTACAGTGTGTTTCCTTTAACTCAGAAAAGCAAATGACGAAAAGGCATATTTTGTTAGACTAATTACTCACGGTTTAATGGGTTTTAATCGGTTTTAGTGGAGGTAGAGTCTGAAGAGGTGTGTCTTTAGTCTGAAGATGTGAAGGCTCTCTGTGGTCCTGATGGCTTCAGAGATCTCCTTCCACCATTTAGGAGCAGGACAGCAAAGAGTGGTGATCTAGTCGAGTGTTTTGCTCTCAGTGAGGAGGAACAAGCAGTTTATCACATGCAGAGCGGAGAGTGCGGGTCGGGATGTCGGGTTGGACCAGGTCCTGGATGTAAGCTGGACCCCATCCATTCACAGCATGGTACCTGAGCACCATGTTTAGAACTGGATGAGCCACCGGTACCAGTGAAGAGAGCGGAAGAGTGGAGGAGTGAGGGAGAACTTAGGAAGGTTAAAGACCAGTGGAGCTGCTGCATTCTGGATGAGCTGCAGAGGTGGAATGGTGGTAGCAGGAGACCTGCAGGAGAGAGTTACAGTAGTCCAGGAGGGAGATGACAAGAGCCTGAATCATAATAATTACAAGCAGTGGTGACCTGACAGGATTTTTTTTTCACCAATGGCAGGGAACGTACCCACGCATGTGCTCACTCAGAGTGCGACCCCTTGTGGACTTTTTAGGAATAGCAGCTACTTTTATAGAAATGAAATTTCTGTATTTCTGTAATTCTATAATAGCAAAGTCATCCGGTGGGCCGCACTGGACCCCCCTGGCGGGCCTTGAGTTTGTCAGCTATGAGCTACAGGATCGTATTGTCAATGTAATGTTGGGAGTCAGGGAGAGTTGGCTGTCAAGTGTCACGCCGCTCTAGCAGTGTGGAGTTGATCTGAGACAGCAAGGAGAGCAGTCTCTGGAATGGTCTTGAAGCCTAACTGGTGGGGGGTCAAGGTTGTTACGGAGGAGAATTGGTTAAAGATCGCACAAAGAGTTTTGGACAAAAAGGGAAGAAGAGAGACCGGTCGGTAGGCAGAGGTTACTAAGGTGAGAACTTGGTTAAAAGACAGGGGGGTGAAAGAGGGAAGCGAGGGTGTTACAGGTGAAGTCGGTGGGAGACAAATAGTAGGAGGTGGGTTTGAGAAAGAGGAGCGTATGTCAGCTATTTTCTTGGTAAAATAGTTTAAAAAGTCTCCCGGAAGAAGGGTGGAGGGGGGAGGAGGACTAGGGGTTCGAGGAGGTTGGAGAAGATAGAAAATAGTTTTTTGGGGTTGAAATATGAGGGTTTAATTCTTGATTGGTAGAAAGAGCTTTTGTCAGCAGAGATAGAAGCTGAAGAAGAGGAGAGAAGAGATTGAAACACAAGCAGGTTGTTTATATTTACGCCATTTCCTTTCCGATGCACTGAATTCTACACACTGGTTCTTGAACCAAACTTTAAAAGGAGCATTGCCGTCATGCGTAGAAGAAGACTTTCAATGCTATCCAATTGAGGGGGCAGGTCTAATCTATTACTTTTATTAGGTCAAATATATTATATCGCATTGTGATATTAGTAAAAAACAACTAGGATAATTGTGATAGAAGAAAATGAAATGGCTGGTCTGTGATTTAGATCTTAGTATTCAATTAGGAAGGGAGTAGGGAAATTCTTAATGACAGTAAATCCATAAATCCAGTAAAACTTAAACTACTGGTACGTCTCTTAACGTACTGGTGCTGGTGTGTGATGGCTTGTAAGTCATTATCATCCCCCACAACTGTTCTTTTTCTAACCTCCTCCTTCTTTCCAGGGTTATTTTGCAGCGTTGGATAACTCAGAGCTCATCCACCTCATCCCCCCGTCCCTGGACAACCAAAGGGATGTGCTGTTTGGCAACCTGCCAGAGATTTATGAATTCCATAATAGGTATGCGCAATGCATTTTGTATATTATCCTTCATGCTCTGCTCTATATCATATTGGTAACAAACAAGAAGGCTTTTGGAAAAGCATAAAGCATGTCCCTCTAATTAATATCTGAACACGTTTTAAGTCCCTTGAGTGAACCTGTATCCAAACTAAATATAGTTATCCCATGCTCTTGGGCTTGGGGAGTTATGATAGGTTAATACTTTAGGAAATAATAGAAACATATTTTCTCCAGGTACTACGGCTGTTTTAAACAACCTTTTAGCAATAAAACCACTGGATTTAGTATTTAGTTGTGCTTTGGTTTTTAATTATTAAAGTGAGTAAGTGTACTTTAAGGGACTAGAAAATAGTTATTGGAGGCACCAAGACTGGATTCAAATAGTCAAAACAATGACCCCTTAACATTTACTCCTAACCACTATTCCTTGACCTCTGTGGAAAAGCTCACAGGGTCAAGGAAAGATGTTTGGGAGAGTTGATGAGGAGTTAGGAAAGGAGAAGGCGGTGTTTAGGGGATTGACTCCACTCCCACTAAGCTACGTAGTTGTGATGGACGGAGATGCATGTTAGTGACATCAGTCTGCAGCGGCTACAAAGAAGCATCTTAGATGCCTTCATGTGTTGTCACAGTGCTGAGTCATGCAGATGACAACCAGGTTCAAAGTAAAACTTTATTAACAGGGCTGCAACATAAATAAGTTATGCTAACGGTTACTCACATGATCTGCGTTTCTATTTCATGATCGTTATTACTCGTGAACGGACCAATGATACGTCACTATTTAAATATTTCACTCAGTTAGGAACCTTCCTAAGCCAAAAGAACTATTCTAATCCAGCTCTACACTCCTGCCAGAAGTCTCCACCCATTCCCAGAGGAGAGCAGTGGGATGAGGTGTGGGAAGAGACTCACCTGGAGCTGATTTCCTCATCAGGGAACAGGCTCTGGTGTCACAGGCCACATTTCCCTGAGCTCTCCACGGTGTTGGATATTAGAAAACTGGTTACCTTGTCTAGCAGTAAGGTGGAGATAATTTGGATATTTCTGTTTTTGGAACAGTGCTGTTAGCTGAGCTAGACTTCCTGTTTTGTTTGTGCGACTTTCAGTTTGGTTCATTTAAGATCCTGCTACCGGTTGCATTTTACATTACATTACATCACATGTCATTTAGCTGACGCTTTTATCCAAAGCGACGTACAATAAGTGCATTCAACCATAGGGTACAGACTCAGGAGAACAAGAAATAAGAAAGTGCAATTTCCTCAAATAAGCCAATTTACAATTTGCTATAGATGAGTGACGTTACAAGTACGATTTAAGTGCTACAATTTGTTAGTTTTTAGTCGAGGTAGAGTCTGAAGAGGTGTGTCTTTAGTTTGCGGCGGAAGATGTGAAGGCTCTCTGCGGTCCTGGTGTCTTCAGAGAGCTCGTTCCACCATTTCAGCGCAAGGACAGCAAAGAGTCGAGATCTAGTCGAGTGTTTTGCTCTCAGTGAGGGAGGGACGAGTAGTTTTGCAGATGCAGAGCGGAGAGTGCAGGTTGGGATGTAGGGTTTGACCATGTCCTGGATTTAAGCTGGACCCGATCCATTCATAGCATGGTACGTGAGCACCAATGTTTTGAACTGGATGCGGGCGGCCACCGGTAGCCAGTGAAGAGAGCGGAGGAGTGGAGTAGTGTGGGAGAATATCGGAAGGTTGAAGACCAGTCGAGCTGCTGCATTCTGAATGAGCTGCAGAGGTCGAATGGCGGTGGCAGGGAGACCAGCCAGGAGGGAGTTACAGTAGTCCAGGCGGGAGATGACGAGAGCCTGAATCAGTACCTGCGCTGCCTTCTGAGTGAGAAGGGGACGTATTCTCCTGATGTTGTAGAGCGTGTATCTACAGGATTGCGTTGTCGCGGTGATGTTGGGAGTCAGGGAGAGTTGGCTGTCGAGTGTGACGCCGAGGTTCTTAGCGGTCAAAGTGGGCGTTAGTACGGAGTTCCCAAAGTTGACTGTCAGGTCCTGGGTAAGCAAATCTTTTCCGGGAAAGAGAAGTAGTTCAGTCTTGTCGGGGTTGATTTTCAGATGGTGGGCGGACATCCAGAGATGTCAGTCAGACAGGCAGAGATCCGAGCCGCCACCTGGGTGTCCGAGTGAGGGAAGGAGAGAATTAGTTGGGTGTCATCAGCATAGCTGTGGTAAGAGAAGCCATGCGAGCGAATGACAGCGCAGAGAGAGTTAGTGTAAAGCGAAAACAGGAGGGGACCCAGCACGGAACCCTGAGGAACTCCAGTAGTAAGAGGACAAGGTTCCGACACAGATCCTCGCCAGGTTACCCGGTAGGTGCGGCCGTCGAGGTAGGACGAGAGAGAGAGCAGAGCCTGAGACACCAAGTTCCTGAAGGGAGGAAATAAGGATCCGGTGGTTGAATGTGTCAAATGCAGCAGAGAGGTCCAGAAGGATGAGGACAGAGGAGAGAGAGGCGGCTCTAGCAGTGTGGAGTTGCTCTGAGACAGCAAGGAGAGCAGTCTCTGTGGAGCGGCCTGCCTTGAAACCTGACTGGTGGGGGTCAAGGAGGTTGTTACAGTGGAGATAAGAGGAGAGTTGATTAAAGATAGCACGTTCAAGGGTTTTGGACAAAAAGGGAAGAAGAGAGACTGGTCTGTAGTTGTTTTCTTCAGAAGGGTTGAGGGTAGGTTTCTTCAGGAGAGGGTTGACTCTTGCCTCCTTCAGAGAATTGGGAAAACAGCCAGATAACAGAGCATTGTTGATGAGACAGGTGAGGAAAGAAGGAGGTCAGGAGCGATAGATTGTAGAAGATGTGATGGAATGGGGTCAAGAGGGCAGGTGGTCGGACGGGCAGAGGTTACTAGGGTAAGAATTTGGTTAGGAGAGAGGGCGGTGAAAGAGGAAAGTGAGGGCGAAAGAGGTGAGGTCGGTGGGACGCGAGAAGTAGGAGGTGGGTTTGAGAAGGAGGAGCGTAATGTCAGCTATTTTCTTGGTGAAGTAGTTGACAAAGTCTCCCGGAAGAAGGGTGGAGGGGGGAGGAGGGGTAGGGGGTTCGAGGAGATTGGAGAAGATCGAGAAGAGTTTTTTGGGGTTAGAGAATGAGGATTCGATTTTGGATTGGTAGAAAGACCTTTTGGCAGCAGAGATAGAAGCAGAAAAAGAGGAGAGAAGAGATTGAAATTCAAGCAGGTCGTCAGGTCGTTTATTTTTACGCCATCTCCTTTCCGACGCTCGCATGGTGGCTCTCATGGCACGCACCGGTTGAGACAGCCACGGAGCCGGAGGGGATTTGCCAGTCCGTCGTGTCGTAAGAGGGCAGAGAGAGTCTAGAGAGGAGGAAAGAGTTGAGAGGAGAGTCTCTGCAGCAGCGTTCGGATGCAAGAGTAAGAAGGAATCAGTTGAAGGGAGGGCTGATAGAACAGAGGATGCCAGCGAGGAGGGAGAGAGGGAGCGAATATTGCGACGAGCCGGTATAGAGTTAGTCAATGAGGGAGGTTTGTTAGTTATAGAGAGTGGAAGGGAGTAAGAGATGAAGAAGTGATCAGACACATGAAGTGGAGTTACAGAGAGGTTAGTGGTAGAGCAGTTTCTAGTAAAGATGTAGTCAAGGTGATTGCCGGCTTTGTGAGTAGGAGGAGAGGGACTGAGTGACAGAGCGAAGGAAGAAAGTAGGTGTAAGAGGTCAGATGACTTCTCTGTCTGGATGTTGAAGTCACCCAGGAGGATGAGCGGAGGTCCATTTTCGGGGAAATTAGACAGGAGAATGTCCAGTTCTTCCAAGAAATGACCTAAGGAGCCTGGCGGACGGTAGAGGACAATGATGGTTAATTGTACCGGGTGAGTGATTGTTACAGCATGGAATTCAAAGGACAATGGGGTGGATGGTGGTAGAGGGAAGAGAGAAAAGCTCCATTTGGGTGAAATGAGTAGACCTGTGCCACCACCCCTACCAGTGGGCCTGGGAGTGTGGCTGAAGGAGAAGGCGGAGGAGAGAGCGGCTGGGGTGGATGTGTTCTCAGGTGTGATCCAGGTCTCGGTGAGAGCGAGGAAGTCGAGTGACTGCTGGATCGCGAAGCCGGAGATGAAGTCAGGCTTGCGAGTAGCTGACTGGCAGTTCCAGAGACCTCCAGTGACGAGGTGCTGGACATGAGTGGAGCGGGTGGGATCGGTGAGAGAGGAGAGGTTACGATAGAGAGCGGATCTAGCCCGAGGCCTGTAGTATCTGCGGGAAGAGATTCGAACAGGCACGGGTAAAGGGGTCAAACACATTATTAAAAATAGCAGAAGAAGGCGCCGCATTCAGCCGCCCCGAAGACTCCACGAAAGACTCCCTGGTCTTTGTCCTGCTCGTCTTGACTCCACGAAAGACTCCCTGGTCTTTGTCCTGCTCGTCTTGACTCCACGAAAGACTCCCTGGTCTTTGTCCTGCTCGTCTTGACTCCACAAAAGACTCCCTGGTCTTTGTTCTGCTCGTCTTGACTCCACGAAAGACTCCTTGTCTTTGTTCTGCTCGTCTTGACTCCACGAAAGACTCCCTGGTCTTTGTTCTGCTCGTCTTGACTCCACGAAAGACTCCTTGTCTTTGTTCTGCTCGTCTTCGTGCTGCGAGGATAAGCTAACGCTTCCCACGATTTCTAGTTAAATACTCCCTCGTTAGTGGAAGTCGGCTGCGGCTGCGCTGGCCGCTCCCCCGTCGTTTAGGAGACAAAAGGTCGATCGGCCTCGACAGAAACTCCTCAAAATGCAAAGCACCAATAGCTTGACACCCTAATCAGTGAACAATCACCATGTGGTGTTTTGACAAAATGAGAGTTTAAGGATACAAGTCTTATTTGCTTCAGAAAACAAGGCAAAAACAGACTTAGATCAGGTCAAAACCTAGCAGAGTTAGGAGGGCACACTGGCAGTTAACTTAATAGTAGAATCTAGAACACAAACTGGCACTAAAAAGACTGAAAGAGCTTGAGCAAACTAGCAACCAAGATAACTTCAAACAAAGAGAACTGGTCGTGAGACGACAAAAACTAAAGCAAATCAGCAATCAAATTAACTTAAGACACTAGAATCAACAACAAATTTAGCAGACTAGCTTCGTTTAAAGAAAGAGATACTTAGTCCGATTTCAGGTCGCCTGGATGTCTGGTGGCCTTGTAGAAGAGATGCACACTTTTATGATTTCTTAATGATTTGCAGTATTGTTGTATTGAACATTTTTTAGTCTGGGACGAACAACGGATTTCATGAGGTATAAAAAGTGGTTTAATAACAATAATAGTTAAGATACAGTAGACTTCTCAATTGAGGGTCCCTGAGCTTTCACAGTCCAGTTTGTTTCAGCCCGACGACCAGGAACTAAGGGCAAACCCGAGTTTTATACATTTCAACATGTAGGCAGTCCGTCCCCTCACAGCCGAGCACCATGGCCTCAGATTTGGAGGTGTTAAGCCTCATCCCTGCTGCTTCCAACTCTGCTGCAAATCGCCTAAATGAATGCTGGAGGTCAACAGGACCACATCATGTGCAAATCAAAGACTCTTTACGCACGTTCCTGTTTGTGGAGTGGTCAGAAGACTAGAAAAAAGAAATACAAGTGCAGTCCAATTACCATTTTACAACCGTTTTCACAGGTTGGGGGATTCTGCTGAGCACTATCAAATGACACTGTCAATTTCATTTTGAAAGGGGGGAATTTTTAAGGGAAAAATCAATGTTTTTTTTATAAGGAGATGAGTAGGGTAAGGCCATCCGGAAGCTAAAAACTACTTATACACATTAATAAGTTGGCATCCAGCCAATGATGAGTGTGTGTTCACATTCTGATCATTCACAATGTACAGGACATTTGTGAGGGAGCTGGAGAACTGTGCAGACAAACCAGAGCTGGTGGGAACTTGTTTTCTGAAGAGGGTGAGTACTGTCGTGGCAGGATTGTACCTTCCACAGGTCTTTATTTTTTGTTTACACTTTCGTTCTTTTAATACATGAAGTACTTTTTTACTTTGTTTGTACTTTTACTTTGGATTATTTATACAGTGTATATATTTTTTCTTTGGTCCGTTTTGTATCTGGTCCTTTGTGTTTGATTCATTTCCATATTCAGGGAGGACTTCCTTTCACTTTTAGGTGGACTGTCCTCCCACAAAAATTAACCGTCCAAATTTGATGTGCCGACGGAATAACTTTTGCTCCTGGGTGTAAAAGGAACGCAGCTCAGTGCTAGCACATGATTCAACGAACTGAAGTTGTTTGGTTGTCAGTGCAGGTGAACAGAGATTGAACTCAAGGCAGACAGACAACGAAGCAGTATTCATTTTTTGAAAAAATAAATGCTGTCATTTTTTTTGAAGTGATCAAGAGTCCCAAAGCAGTTGGTCTGGCAGACAAGAAACAGGCAGGCTGGATGAGAGGTATTAGACAGGCAGCCAGACACTGCATAGCGATGGTCCAGGGAGTAAGAGAGGAAGGTACGTGGTCTGGGGGAAGGGAGCAGGCAGTAAATACTGACAAACTGTAAGGTTCATGTTTGTTGCTGGTTTAATGTCATGTCTGCATCATACAACAATTGTTTGGTGACCAAAAATATATTCTAGAGCCAAACTATGATACCCCACAAAGAGTTGGATGGACTTCTTCTTACATTGACTTAAAGCATCTGCATTGGTTTGCATGGTCCATCGACTTTAAAGTTTAAATTGCGCAATTATCGAAAGAATACACAAAGCCAAAGATACCAACCATTTCAGTTTTAAATGTTCTGAGTGTGCTGCTACCCACTGAAGGCCTTCTACATTGTGTTCCCCCACATTAGGAAACAACCGTCTTTGTCGCTCTCTTATAAGACTACTTCATATCAGATCAAGTCTTTTGGTTTGTATGACCTACCATTCAACATCACAATTGCTACTGTATAATGAGCAGCAGTTACAGTGTGTTTCCTTTAACTCAGAAAAGCAAATGACGAAAAGGCATATTTTGTTAGACTAATTACCCACGGTTTAATGAACGGGGAAGTAAGGTTGACTAGCAAGTGATGTGCCGAATTAACAGGCTTTGTTTTCCAGAAACAGTCAGACCGCTTTTCACTCATTACATGTCATTTGGATGACGTTTTTATCCAAAGCGACTTACAACAAGTGCATTTCAACCATAAGGACACAAACCAAGGAGAACAAGAAAGTGCAATTTCATCAAATAAGCCGATATACAACTTGCTATAGATAAGAGCCGTTATAAGTACAATTGAAGTGCTACAACTTGTTAGTCTTTTAGTGGAGGTAGAGTCTGAAGAGGTGTGTCTTTAGTCTGAAGATGCGAAGGCTTTCTGTGGTCCTGATGTCTTCAGAGAGCTCGTTCAACCATTTAGGAGCAGGACAGCAAAGAGTGGAGATCTAGTCGAGTGTTTTGCTCTCAGTGAGGAGACCTGCAGGAGAGAGTTACAGTAGTCCAGGAGGGAGATGACAAGAGCCTGAATCAGTACCTGCGCTGCCTTCTGAGTTCTCCTGATGTTGTAGAGCGTGTATCTACAGGATCGTGTTGTCAGTAATGTTGGGAGTCAGGGAGAGTTGGCTGTCGAGTGTCACGCCGAGGTTCCTAGCAGTCAAAGTGGGCGTTAACACGGAGTTGCCAAAGTTAACCATCAGGTCCTGCGTAAGAGAATCTTTTCCTGGAAAGAGAAGTAGTTCAGTCTTGTCAGGGTTGATTTTCAGATGGTGGGCGGATCCACTGAGAGATGTCAGTCAGACAGGCAGAGATCCGTGCCGCCTGCTGGGTGTCCGAGGGAGGGAAGGAGAGAATTAGAGAGAGAGAGAGAAGAGGAGGGGGACACTCAGACATGTCTTTGTGTTTTCAGAAGGAAGAGCTGCAGGTGTATGAGAAGTACTGTCAGAACAAACCCCGCTCTGAAGTCCTCTGGAGACAGTGTGGAGACAGCCTCTTTTTTCAGGTAACACACACTGAACAACCTGACCATAGAATTTAAATTTCCTGCATCATCAGTGTTTCAATTCATTTTATTTTGTATTGCCCAAAATTGCAAATTACAAATTAGCCTCAGAGGGCTTTACAGTCTGTACACATGCAGCATCCTCTGTTCGAAACCCTCCCATCGGCACAGGAAAAACTCCCCAAACAATAAGAATCCTTCCATGGGGAAAAAAGGGAAGAAACCTTAGGGAGAATGTCCAGGGATGGACAGACTACAATGGATGTCATGTGTACAGAATGAACAATGTAAAAGATGTACAATACATTCAAATTCCTGTAACAGAAATGATTCAACTAACTGCGAGTAGTGAGCCAGGTGTACGGCAAGACCACTGCAGGGACAACAACCATCAGATAGGACCATCATCCACAGAAGCATGTGGGGAGGGAGAGCACAAAGACTAGGAGAGGGTAATGTTGGTTTATGATGGCGGAACCACAATCTACGGAGACCTGCGAGGCGAGAAAGCACAAAAAACTCTGGGGAAGAATCTGAATTAGTCATGTGCATTAATAAAAGTGGATTATTGTAGAACGAGAGCGTGAGAGAGGAGCTCGGTGTGTCTTAAGAAGTCCCCCGGCAGTCTAAGCCTACAGCAGCTTAACTAAGGGCTGGTCTGGGCTAACCTGAGCCAGCCCTAACTATAGGCACAATCAAAGAGGAAAGTTTTAAGCTTTATCTTAAAAGAGCTGGCCGAATCTGCCCCCCGGACTGAAAGTGGAACCTGGTCCCACAAAAGAGGAGCTTGATGACTGAAGGCTCTGGCCCCCAGCCTACTTTTTAAAACTCTAGAAACAAGTAACCCAGCATCTATGGAGCGCAGCTGCCTTGTAGGGCAATACGGGGTTACAAGCTCTTAAGATAAGACGGTGCCTCACCAGCAAGTGCCTTGTAGGTGAGGAGAAGTACCTTAAACACGTGCTGCAGCATTCTGAATCAACTAGAGAAGAGATTTACATGAGCAGCCTGATAACAAAGAATTACAGTAATCCAGTCTAGCAGTAACAAACGCATGGACTAATCTTTCTGCATCACTTTGAGACAGAAAGTTCCTGATTTTTGATATATTCTGCACATGAAAAAAGGCAGTCCTCTTTGTATGTATATAAGTATATCTTCTTATATGTATATCTTCTTCATATGAGAGTTAAAGGACATATCCTCGTTGAAGAGACGTCCAAGATTCTTCACAGTACTGCTGGGTACAATTCCATCCAGAGAAACTGTTTGTATGTGAAGATCTCCAAGAGATTCTTGAAGTCTATCAAGCTGGTCGGTCTCTTCTGGCTTGATTGACGTGTTTCTGTCCATTTTCTGCAACATAATAGCACAGATTGTGTTTATACATGAGCATTAGGGCTCTCAGAATTGGTCAAAAATTACGTTTGAATATTCGCTTTAGAAAAACACAGATATTTGAATATCTGGTTTCGCATTAAGCGCGTCAATAACAGGACAAATTAATACAACGAGACATAACTACTTGTATAGGTAATTTATTTAAGTTTAAATCGATTTAACAACATATTACCTACACAAAAATAAGTAAATTAACTAACGGCCAAGACCACAGATCTCTCTCTCTCTCCCGCACCGTCTCGCTCTCTGCGCAAAGCGGTTTAAATGAACAACAACAATAAACAAATGGGTTAGGGTTAGGGTTAGGGTTAAATGCTGAGTGCTGAGTTTTGTGCAAGCAATATATGGTCGCAATTCTTTTCCCAAATACGCCGGGCTTCATTCAGTGATTGAAACAGAGTTTTACGTATCGACATTGAACGCTCCGAGCGAGCTGTGCTGTAAACACATATGGCATAAAACAGCAAATAATGAAACCAGTGCATGAAGCTGTTGTAGCTCTGGTCTATTTTATTCATGTAATATAGTCAGTACAGGCGCGCGCCCACCCGCAAAGCAGACAGTCGCGCCTCTGCCGCTGTTGTTTTTTTTTTTTTACATTGAAATATTAATTTTCACATTCGAATAGTTGTTTTTAACAACTATCCAAATATATATTTGAATATAGAATATTCATTGACAACCCTAATCAGCATGTGCTGTAGATTTAACACAAAGTCCTGATGGACAATGGTTTGTATTTGTGACAACAGGAATGCCAGAAGAAACTGGACCACAAACTGTCTCTGGATGCCTACCTGCTGAAGCCTGTGCAGAGGATCACCAAATACCAACTCATGCTCAAGGTGACCAACTCACAGCCTTACCACACGCTTGTAGTGAACTGACGATTGCTTCCATGGATTTTGTTAGAGGAGCTTCTTTGATTTGGCTAAAAGATCTCATTAAAAATTATTCAAATTTTGTTTGACTAATATTTCAGTACATTAATAACATAACATTTAGTTAAGCCTGCTGCATCCAATCCAGTTATACACATCTACTGCTTCCACATTGCGTGTAGAGATCCAAGTTCCGAAAGAGGGACATGACCTGCAACAGAGCTCCCAAAGATGGAATCGAACATGTTCTGTTGCATGCACTGCAACTATTTGAATACAGAGACCCTTCAGAAAAAGAACATTTTGAAATGATAAATTTAGTTTAATATAAATATGAAACCGATTTGTTAACGGTCCTTTTTTATGGATATGCGGACTGAAGGTAACACAAGAGGAAATGAGAAAGGTGCTCTGTGAAGACAGCTGTGTCCCATCACGCACCACACAGCTGAACTCACAAAAGGATCAGGCATTTGGAAGTGGGGACAGGGACTTGTTTAAAGAGTCAAAATGCAAGTTGGCAAGGCCGTCAGAGACGCCAAACAACCGTACTCAGAGAGGCTCCAACAGCAGTTCTCTGCTATCGACTCTACATCAGTCTGGAAAGGCCTCACAATGATTTCCAACTACAAGCCCAAAGCCCCCCACTCCATGAACGACCCCCGCCTGGCCGAACTATTTCTACTGCCGCTTTGACAGACAAACGAGCAGTCCGGAACTCATCCACAGCTTTCACACACCCCAGTCTCCCCCTCCCAGCACAATAGGGGCCCATGCCCCCCAACGACCCCCCACACCCTCCATCACATTGACGCCTCTCTCTATTCCGGAGAGAGACGTCAATAGGCTATTTAAATCACAGAACTCTCAAAACGCAGCTGGCCCACACACCCTTCAGTTTCTCCCTCCGTCCAAAATCATTGTGCTGATCAGTTGTCTCCGGTGTTTACCAACATCTTTAACACCTCTAGACTAAAATGTGCCAGCCTGCCTCAAGGCCTCCTCCATCATCCCCGTCCCCCCAAAAAACAAGGATCACAGGACTTACTGATTACAGGCCCTACCTTTAACCAACTCTCCTCCTATCTCCACCGTAACAACCTCCTTGACCTTCACCACTCCTTGCTGTCTCAGAGCAACTGCTAGAGCCGCCTCTCTCCTCTGTCCACATCCTTCTGGACATTTCTGCTGCATTGGACGCAGTAAACCACCAGATCCTTATTTCCTCCATTCGGGAACTTGGTGTCTCAGGCTCTGCTCTCTCCCGTCTCTCATTCTACCTTGACGGCCACACTTACCAGGTAACTTGGAGAGGATCTGTGTCGAAACCTTGTCCTCTTACTACTGGAGTTCCTCTAGGTTCAGTTCTGGGTCCCCTCCTCTTTTCTCTCTACGCCCAGTGGTGTAGTCTATATTTTTGTAGTGAGTATACTCCCCTGCGCCCCCCCCCTCCCGGATTCCGGCTGGCTGTCCAGTGCGGCCCGCCAGGAAAAGATTCTCCAATCCAGGACTTGACGGTTAACTTTGTCAACTCCGTGTTAACGCCCACTTTGGCGTGACACTGGACAGCCAATTCTCCCTGACTCCCAACATCACTGCACCAACACAATCCTGTAGATACACGCTCTACAACATCAGGAGAATACGTCTTCTCACTCAGAAGGAAGCGCAGGTACTGATTCAGGCTCTTGTCATCTCCCTCCTGGACTACTGTAATTCTCTCCTGCAGGTCTCCCTGCTACCACCATTCCACCTCTGCAGCTCATCCAGAATGCAGCAGCTCCACTGGTCTTTAACCTTCCTAAGTTCTCCCTCACTCCTCCACTCCTCCGCTCTCTTCACTGGTACCGGTGGCTGCCCACATCCAGTTCTAAACATTGGTACTCAGTTCAAAACATTGGTACTATGAATGGATCGGGTCCAGTCTACATCCATGACATGGTCAAACCCAAGGGCGAACCATGGTTTAGACATTGGTTTTGCCTTGCGACCACGGAGCTGCGGACCTCCCGCCCTCCAAAGGCTGCGACAAGCTGCCCCTCTTAAGAGGGAACGACGTGCTTCACCGTGTGGTCCATTGATACTGCTATTGTCATAACCATTACAGGGCTACATTTGTTTGAGCAAACCTTTCACAGCTAGCAAGGTGTTCTCACCGAAGACTGACTGATGCGGTACTATTTGACTAGGTCAACAGTAATTGCTGTACATTTGTTTGCAAGTCTGAACACCACGCTGTCTGTCAAAGACTGACTGACACGGTACTGGTTGACTAACCCTAACAGTAACATGCTGTACGGTTCCACAGTAGCAGACTGCTCCCGCTCAAGCTACTGGTCGGACACTAGTAACACTGCGGCCGGGCTCCACAGAAGCAGAGTATTCCCGTTGGACGTTAACATCCGTAGCAATTTCCTAGTGAAGAGAGTGCCCTCGCTCCCCTCCCCCTAAGCTGGTTTTGCTTTCTTTGGGCTTGTTCCCCACAGTAGCGGAGTGCTCCCACTCAGGCTGACTGGTGGGACGCCAATATCTACAGAGATCCCCCAGTAAAGAGTGTCCTCACCACTTAGTAAGTAAGACCACTTAGACAACCTCTGACTGGCAAGCGTCGCCCCCCCACCAATCCAGAGGCCGGGTGGCCAGGAGATGATGTCTCTGGGCCGGCCGGCGGTCTTCTGTCCCAGCAGCAGATCAGCTACTGGGCCTACTACCAGTTCAGGGTGCTCCCTTTCGGACACTCCCCCTCTCCACAGCTGTTTACAAGGCTTACTGACCTTTGGCCTAATTCCTCTGCTTGAGTAATACGAGGTAGGTACTTGTAATCCTTTTGACTCTGTTGATATAAGTCTCCCAGTGTGAAGCACTGCCTCTGGCGGTCAGAAAGTTACCATATGTAACTACGGTTCTATGAATCCTACCAAAGATGATGATGGTGCACTTCTACACGGCCATCATCGAGTCCATCCTCTGCTGCTCCATCACTGTCTGGTACGCTGCAGCCAAGGACAAGGGCAGGCTGCTGGTGGCCGAAAAATACAGATGACATGGCTTCAGTGCCCTAACACATATCGCCTGGATTTACTACTGATATTGTCAGTCGTTATCCTTTTATAACCCTTTGTTTTTTCTTTATCTGACCCCTTCCTGTCTTCCAGGAGATGTTAAAGTGCAGTAAGGGTGAGGGCACGGTTGAGTTGGAGGAGGCTTTATCCACCATGCTGGACATCATCAAGTCTGTCAACGACTCTATGCACCAGATAGCCATCACTGGCTTTGAGGTCAGTGAGTATAATTCATTCATCATCATCATCATCACCATCATGATCATCATCATCATCATCATCATCATCATCACCATTATCATTTGTAAATAAGAACAAAGGTGATCAATGAGCATAAATCCATTCCCTTATCCCAAATGAATTGATCAACATTACAATTTCTTTAGTATGTTCAGTCAGTGCAGATATCAACCATTCAAAGGGTTTCTGGTGAAGTCAGTTCCCTGTGTCCATCTCAACAGTGGACCATTGATTGATTGATCCCTCGGGCCCAGCTCTCTTTTTTACAACGGTGCGATAAAGCAAGTGAAATACGTTGTGTCAGTTAATCTGTTTTTGCAGGCTGGATGAAGAAGTAAAAAATCCTTTGTGGTTTAGGGGCCGAGACCTCAACAAAAGTTGCTTCCACGTGAAGGCTGTATGGTCAGAAAAGCTTGAGGCAAAACTGCAACATGGCATTAACATGTACCAGAAGACAAAAATCAAGCATCCAACCAAAAGTCTTCCCTGAAATTGTGCAGCACAATCATTCTGTGAAATTTCAAACTGAAATTTGCTGAAAGGCACCACCAGTCAGTATTTACTCGCGCCCGCTAAAGGGTCCCTGTTGGCCACTTAAATCCATTGCTCAGTCTCTCTCCGCAGCTCCAACAAATATGGCTAAACATCTGAGTCCCCCAAAACACTATGTATCCCTGTCAAAAAATGTTTATTCGATAGTTTCAAAGTGTCAACGAACTACATTTAGCAACAACGAACGGACGTCCACATCAAAAGTGGCAAATGTATTTAAGCTATCCATGACTTCCTGTATAGGAGTCAAATGAATTGGATGTTAAAAATACTGATTAGGAGTATCATAATCTTTCAAACAACTGCTGAGCTGCATAAGATCTAAAGTCCAAATACTAATACCAAAATACAATACCAAAAATAGACAATGCCTGTTACAAGCTGTGGTTCAGGTTGTGCACGAGTGCGTGGAAGTGCTAAGTCAATTTTACAATCATTGACACGATTTTCAGAACCTTGCTGTCGTTTTTCAAAACCCTTCACTTGTATCACCGGCTCTCCAATGTTCAAAACATTGCATTGTGCAATCATATCTTTAAAGAAACCTTTCACTTGTTGGTTCAAACAACGGATTTATCATGAAATTCCACAGGAACATCAACACAATTCAGATCACCCACACAAAAGATACCCATAGTTTCATTATTTGGTTGTTTGTATCAATATCATTCAATATTGCTGTACAAAATAGATGATCCAGGTTTCATTATTGTATTAAACCTAAATACATGCCTGTAAAAGTACTACTGTAGTAGAATCATTGAACAAAGTTGGACTTTTATGAAAAACAATAAAATCACAACATAGGTTTATTTGAATCAAAGCCAAAATAGAGTAATTACTGTAGTTGCGAAACATGAAGAAAAAAACTCTGTTCCTTACCTGGGAGGGGAAAAAAAGGTTTGATCACCACACATCTACATTTCATCAACCCGGTCTTGTGGATTTGGCCACAGGTTCTCATCCACATCACAATGGATGTTTTCATTAGCCAAACACCGTGAAAAAAAAATCTTTGGGCAATGTTTTATCCAGGCCTGACCCTGGTCTGCCATGATGTCGTTGCATGCTTCATCCACGGCCTGGAGAAGGGTCACTTGTTCCTGAGGGCACCTGTCGTACACCATCCACCTCCATAATTCCTCAGTCAGGTTAAGGAAAGGAGAGTATGTGAAAAAATACAGGCTGATAAATTGTGCATGGCCCTGAAACCATGCTTGCACCATTTGAGCATGGTGGAACCTGACATTGTCACACACAATGACATCACACCATCAGCTCTACAGACCTGATCTAGCTCATCAAGGAAGGTTACAAGGAGAGCTGCATTATATGAGACAAAGCGAGCCATCATCTTCAGACATAGCTGCACACATGGTGATGTTGGCCCCACGTTGTCCAGGTACTTGGTTTCCCACTGGGCAATGAAATTCTCCTCCTTGTCTTCCAAATATATGAATGCGTGATGGTTGTTATCAGCATCCAGCGCCATTACCCTCTTCAAAAACTTTTTGGAAAGAGAATTACAGATTACAATGACGTAGAATCTTTGCTGAATTGTTCACAACAGCCATCTGAAAACAGAACCTACTCCTTACTTGCTTCACACAGTCTGCGGTCCTTTCAAATGGCCCACGGTATAGTTGTGTTACAGACACCTGGTGCCTTTTTAGCCCATTTCTGGCCTGAACCAAATCAACCACAGCCCGCTCATGTTGGTCTGTCAGAATTCTGCCTTTCCCTCCCGTGTCTGGCCTAGTCTCAATTCTGCAGGAACGATAACAGTAGAAACTGGACATTTGCACTGTTATTGCATATCCATTTATTACTGTTCATATTGCGTATCTTTTTCTTTACATATATATTTATTCACTTATTACACTTTACATATGCACATACTCTGCACATTTTGCTACTTTGCACTTCTGGTTGGATGTTAAACTGCATTTCGTTGCCTCAGTACTTGTACCCTGTGCAATGACAATAAAGTTGAATCTAATCTAATCTTAATACATTTAGTCACATCACCCACTCTGTGGTACAGTTGATATGCAGGATAGAGTCATTTGACAAATGAGACGAGCCTAATGTTCAGTCCATGCTGAAGACTTACCGATTCTCATTGCAGAATGTTGTGATGATTGAGGTCACGGTTGATCTCCTGAGGTTTGGTTGCATCATCGTAGCTGCCCCGGTCATTGGCATGCCACGATTTATGACATAATCTACAATCGTGGCATGGATTTCATTTGACACCCTTTGATGTTGCTTTCTTGGTCCGAGGCCTCGTCCTCTACCACGTTCCCCCACACCTCTCAGAAGGGGTGCTTGTCCCCTGCCAACCTGTTTTCCTTGTCTTCCACCTCTGTTGTGACCTGGATCTCCTGCCGGCTGTTTTGGTATGTTGTTGTAGGTGGCTACTGGCTACCACTCTGTGCTTTATATGCTCATACCACAATGTGAAATCAATCCTTAGTAACAAGTTGGTAGAATTGGACAAGTAATTACAAGGCCTGCAGCATGGTGTGAAAAAGTGGTACATGGGACCGTAGAAACCGTGTCTGATAGAGACTGATAATCAAATATTCCATCCACAGATAATGTAGTCCAATTGGTTTATGTTCCACGCTAATTGGTGTAAATGGATCTCATTATTTTGAAACCGCATGATCTAAACAGTATTGTTTGTCAGTATCCATAAAACTATGCACCAAGGCCTATGCAGCAAATACTTCTCATTTTAAGATGTTGTATCAATTGATAGTTGGATCATTGTAATGAAATGAATGAACAATAATTTCAACCGTAACGTAGGAATTGCATTTTGAAATCGTTGCACTTTGATGTTACATTGAGTCATATTGAACAGTTGATTTTAGTTCAATGAACAAATTGTTTTTGTGTTTTGTATCCAAGCAATTGAAAAAAAGTGTTAGAGTTCTGAAAACGTCAGCTTTGTATCAGGAGTTTTGAATTTGAGTTTTTGAATTCCATCAAGGTTCTGAAATTAGCGGCAAAGTTACTGTAAAAAACTGTAAATATACAAAGGTGGATATGTGCATTCCAGCGTATAAAGTTTGACAATGGTACACAATATCAGTTTATAGGTCACAGTTGGCCTTTTCTCTGCTTTATGGGGTCGTTACTAATTTTCTTTATTTACCCTAACCCTTTCAATCCTCTAAGGCAGAGGTCTTCGACGTTTTTTCAAGGTCCCCCAAACTGATGGCAAGGTGGAGCAGGGACCCCCTATTCTACGGAGTTTGGTCCGCCATCTTTTATTTTTGAGCTTCACGCTCTTTAGACGTGAGCATAAACGCGATCTGATTGGCTGGTGCCTGCGCTGTCGTATTCGCATGGAAGGAGCAGTGAGTGAACCGGTGCCCAGCGAGCTGCCGAGGGAAGCTGAATGTGTGTGTTGCACACTGACAGATAACGTCTTCTCCATCAATTTATCCGTTCGCTATATGTTGGATTCATATTAATGTGTATTTAAAGACCATAAATAAAATTCTGATTCTGATTTGAAGACATTTACATTTGTGGGGAAAAAAATTGTCTTTCTCAACCAAAACTTTCGCGACCCCACTGCAGTACCTTCACGGATCCCTTGGGGGTCGCGGACCCCCTGTTGAAGACCTCTGCTCTAAAGCAACAGAAGTAAACTCTGCACATAAAATGGCTGCCGCTGCAAAGTGCCATGACGGTACTCAGTGGTGCTCTAAATACCTGGCCGGTCTTGTGTTTATGTTCACAGGGGAACCTAAGTGAACTGGGGAAGCTGCTGATGCAGGGATCCTTTAATGTGTGGACTGACCACAAGAAAGGCCACAGCAAGGTACAACGCCTCACTCACAACGGGTTAATGCCGACATTTGTAAACTTATACCATGCCTGCTTTTTAATAGTCTTTTTAGTTTTAGTAGTATTTTTTTTCTACCATTCTATGGACAAACGGATGGATAGATGAATGGATGAATGGACGAAAGGTTGGATAAATGGATGGATGGTTGAGACGATAGATGGGTTAATGGATTGATGGGTGGTTGTTGAATGCACGGATGGTTGAAATGTTGGATGGATGGGTGGATAGTTGATTGGATAATTGTAAGGTTGGATGGAGGGATTGTTGTTGGAATGATGGATGGTTGAAATGATAGACAGAATGGGTGGTTGTTAGATGGATGATAGAAATTAAGAATGGGTGAATGGTTGGATGTATGGATGTATGGAAGAAAAACAATAAAAACTTATTCTCAGGTGTGTCTCCACAAAATAGGAAGAGGTCATTGCAAATGTAGACTGTACATGTTGTTGCAGTTGCTAATGGTGAAACGTGTATCTTCAGTAAGTCCTCCAATCAGAGGGTTGTCGGTTCGATCCCAGGCTCTGCTAACCCTCATGTCGATGTGTCCTTGGGCAAGACACTTAACCCAACATTGCTCCTGTAGCTGCGACTACAGTGTGTGAATGTTAGTTACTGATGGCAGGTGTCACTGTGTATGGTTCTCCTGTCATCAGTGTGTGAATGGGTGAATGATGTCATGTAGTGTTAAAGCGCTTTGAGTGGTCACAAGACTAGAAAAGCGTTCTACAAGTACAGTCCATTTACCATTTACAGTGGAGGAAGAAAGAGGGTTTATTCAAGCTTTTATGAGAATCATTCACCAGTTGTTTGTTACCACCAAACTATGTATGAACATAAATATGATCGATACCGGACTCGGCGTTCCAGCTGGCGGGCTTCCAGCTGCTCACAGCGGACCGCGATACGGAGCTCTCCGGCAAGACGAAGGGTGGAGGAATCTGCTTCTACTCCAACATCAGCTGGTGCAACGACGTAACAGCGATCCTACAACACTGTTCTCCTGATCTGGAATCTTTTATCATCAACCGTAAACCCTTTTACTCCCCCGTGAGTTTGAAAAGAGAGAGGAGAACTCCCTGGGGGGGCTGGGCCTACCACACCGTCTCATGTGCTGTGTTTGGACACTCTGACCACGTCATGGTCCATCTGATTCCTGCATACAGGCAGAAACTAAAGCTCTGCAAACCTGTGGTGAGGGAATTCAAGAAGTGGACCAGGGAGGCGCTGGAGGATCTTCGGGCGTGCTTGGACTGCACATACTGGGATGTTTTCAGGACTGCTACTAACAGTGGAAGAGTTCACAGAGGCTGCGACTTCTTACATTGGCTTCTGTGAGGACCACTGTGTACCGTCATGCACCAGCATGCAACAACGCCGAATCCTGCTTTATAGTGGAAAACTACGCCTGCAGAAGGATCAGGCATTTAGGAGTGGGGACAAAGACTTCAAAACGCATAGTCAAAATACAAGTTTAGCAAGGCGGTGAGAAATAGTAAACGTCTGTACTCTGAGAAACTCCAACAGTTCTCAGCAAGTGACTCTGCTTCGGTTTGGAGAGGCCTCAAACACCTCACAAACTACAAGCCAAAAACCCCCCACTCCATGAATGACCTCCGCCTGGCAGACGAGCTGAATGAGGTCAATGTCCTGACTCCACCGCCCACCGTTCCACCAACCTGCCCCAGACCCCCATCCCTCCCTCCCCTAGCCCATCCGGGGCTCACCCCTCTGTATCACCGTCCCCTCCCGGTCCGGACTCAGTTTCCCCTCACACACTGAAGCATTGTGCTGATCAGCTGTCGGTGTTCACAGACATCTTCAACATCTCCCTGGTGACATGTCACGTACCAGCCTGCTTCAAGACCTCCACCATTACCCCTGTTGCCAAAAATCCCTTAAAGACTTAATGACTACAGGCCTGTCGCCCTGACCTCTGTAGTCATGAAGTCTTTTGAACGGCAAGTTCTGTCTCACCTGAAGACCCTCACTAACCCCCTTCTGGACCCCCTGCAGTTCGCCTACAGAGCCAACCGGTCTGTGGACGATGCTGTCAACATGGCCCTCCACTACATCCTCCAGCATCGGGACTCCCCAGGAACCTACGCCAGGATCCTGTTTGTGGACTTCAGCTCTGCCTTCAACACCATCATCCCGTCTCTGCTGCAGGACAAACTCTCCCAGCTGCACGTGCCCGACTCCACCTGCAAGTGGATCAAACTTCCTGTCTGACAGGAAGCAGCACGTGAAGCTGGGGAAACATGTCTCAGCCTCTCGGACCATCAGCACCGGTTCCCCCCAAGGCTGCGTTCTCTCCCCTCTGCTCTTCTCCCTGTACACCAACAGCTGCTCCTCCAGTCACCAGTCCGTCAAGCTCCTGAAGTTTGCAGATGACACCACCCTCATTGGACTGATCTCTGGTGGGGATGAGTCCGCCTACAGGTGGGAGTCTGACCATCTGGTGTCCTGGTGCAGCCAGAACAACCTGGAGCTCAACACTCTAAAGACAGTGGAGATGGTTGCGGATTTCCGAAGGAACAGAGCCCCACCCTCCCCCATCACCCTGTGTGACTCCCCCGTCACTATTGTGGATTCCTTCCGTTTCCTGGGCTCCATCATCACCCAGGACCTCAAGTGGGAGCTGAACATCAGCTCCATCACCAAGAAGGCTCAGCAGAGGTTGTTCTTCCTGAGACAGCTGAAGAAATTCAACCTGCCAAAGACGATGATGGTCCACTTCTACACGGCCATCATCGAGTCCATCCTCTGCTCCTCCATCACCGTCTGGTACGCTGCAGCCACAGCCGAGATCAAGGGCAGGCTTCAGCGGGTCATCCGCTCTGCAGAGAGGGTGATCGGCTGCAATCTGCCGTCCCTGCAGGACTTGTTCGCTTCCAGGTCTCTGAAGCAGCTAAAAAGATTGTGGCCGACCCCTCCCACCCCGGACAAAACCTGTTTGTGCCCCTTCCATCTGGCAGGAGGCTGAGGTCCATCAGGACTACGACCTCCCGCCACAGGAACAGTTTCTTCCCGTCGGCCGTCGGGCTCATCAACAGATACTATTATACTAACCCGTAGCCTTATTCTTATTCTAACCTATTGCATCAGCATTTCAGCATTTCATTTTACTTAATTTTATTACTTGTGCACTGCTGTCTTGTTGTCTATTGTTACACTGTCTACTGTCACGCACCAACCGTCAAGACAAATTCCTTGACATATTATGGCAATAAATGTTTCCTTATTCCTGATTCTTATCCTTTATTTTTAAATGGTCTATTCTATATCCCCCTAGCCCGAAGCGTTATATTTTATTCTGTAGAGTTAAATTGTAAATTTGTAAATTCATCATGCCATTCTCTCTCGTTATCTTGTTGTCAATTGTCTTACTGTCTGATGTTATGCACCTACAGCCATGTCAAATTCCTCGTATGTCTAACATATTTTGACAATAAATGTTCCTGATTTCTGATGATAGTTGAACAGTGGATTGATACATGTACAAGCAGACTAAACAACCGATCCACTGGTTTCAGGTGAAGGACTTGGCCAGGTTTAAGCCAATGCAGAGGCATCTGTTCCTGTATGACAAGACAATGCTGTTCTGTAAGAAACGAGAGGAGACCACAGATGGACATGAGAAGACCCCATCCTACAGCTTCAAACACTCGCTCAAGGTCAGACTCGATGGTGATGTTCTTTCTTCAGCTGTCCCTTTGATTTGGTGTGAGTTTGTGTCAAAGTAACTCTTTATTTTTAACAGATTTGCAAAAATTAGCAAAAAACAGTTTTCACTTTGTCATTATGGGTTGTTGTGTGTAGAATGTTGAGGAAAATAATGAATTTAATCCATTTTGGAATAAGGCTGTAACATAACAATGTGGAATAAGTGAAGCGCTGTGAATACTTTCCGGATGCACTGTACATGTAATGTGAATGTTGAAACTGTTTAAACAAAGCTTTGTTATCATGTATTTAAGAATAACTATCCGGCTTCAACTCTCACACACACTGAAATTTCAGTCAAACAGGAAACGGAGTTGGGGGTAGAGATGGTGAGACACAACAAAGTAACGGTGGAAAACCTTTGATGGGGAGATTACACGTGATGTCTTTTGGTGGAGACTGGATGAGTAATCCTGCCATGTGGTGGTCATGGGAGGAGAGCAGCTCAGAAAGTGTGTTGTTCAACAAAAGAAGTTCAGTGAATTCAGAAAGTTTTCACTGTGCTTCACTCTTTACACATTTTGTTATGTTACTGGTTGATTCCCATATTGATTACATTATTACAGGAAAATACTTGCAAGTGTTTAAGAAATAAGAAACAAAAAAATCCCATGTACATCATTCACAGCCTCATAACACTCAGAGCTCAGGTGCAGCCTGTTTCCTCTGATCATCCTTGAGACGTTTCTCCAACTTGATTGGAGTCACCCTGTGCTGAATTTCGTTATACTACTATTCTATTACACAATGAGCTGTGATGCAGCAACATTATCAACACAATTGATTCAGGAAAACAACTGAACGTTGCTGTGTGTTTGCTGGTAGTGTAAGTAAGCTCTTATCTCATAACGTCACGTCCTCAATGACTTTATGGGGACATAAGTTTGTTTTTGTTTCTTCACTGCCTCCAAGTGGCCACATCCTGAGGCACTACGCGAGTAAAGGATCGTTTGTCCTCCATTTACTGACTTGTGCAGACTGTTAATCTCCTATCAGCAGAGAATTGGTGATATGTATCCACAGGAATAACTGATGAATATGCTGTGCAGCACATTTGATCCCCTTCCAAAAGTCCAAACATATGCCACTTGCATATGTAGTATAGAATGAAAGAAATTCAATCCCATTTCTTTTTTGGCTCTTGGTGTATCAGGCTTGTGTTTTAATGAACAATAGCAGGGTTGCCCTCATGCAGGCTGAGGACTTCATGTGCTGAAACTCACTCCCATCTGAGCAGGAGCAGTTCATGAAGCTCATGATCTCATGACCACCATGCTTTCATTAGAATACCTGCAGGTCAGATGACCGTTCGGTACAAAACAAGTTGTTAGTGACCTTCAGCTGGTCCACAACGCTGCCACCACCCAGATGAGGAAGGAGAGCACATCCCCCACCTTTAGATGCTCCGTACCAGCTCCACTGGACTAGTTCTAGTATGTGGAACTCCAGCGTGTACGTAGATAATGAGGGAACATTTCATCCGGTGCCACTGATGTGTTTTTAATGGAGCCATGTCCCCGGGGAAGAGGATACATCAGGCTCTGCTACACACTCAGTACTCTTCAATGGATACTTTCACTTTGCTTTTGGTCTTTTCATGTTGTATTCTAAAGTTTTGTTCATATAGAGACATGAAGTCTTTCCAGCATGTGGGCACCGCCAGGTGAATTCTGTGTAGTGTTCTATGTGCTTTTGTCTTTATTATGTGGAAGCAAAGCCAGTGTGTGTAGCAGGATCATTTTCACATGACTGAGGACAAAGCTTTGCTGCATATCACAGTGTCTCCGTCCCTCTGTCCGTCCAGATGAGCTCTGTGGGGATCACAGAGAACGTCAAAGGTGACATCAAGAAGTTTGAGGTGTGGTACAACGGCAGAGAGGAGGTTTACATTATCCAGGTACGTTGATGCAAATATTAGACACAAGTCGTAGAAATTAAATGAAGATTTATGCAAAGGAACTTCTTTCCTACGCCATTTATCACCACACACCCCTCAGACTAATCTCGTGACCTTTTGGATGGAGGCCATCCCCTCGGGTGGAGCCTACTTGATCTGTTGTGGTCACAACTAGCTCCTCCTCCACCAGCTAACCAGGAAAAGGCTGCTCACCTCTCAATGCATCAGTATTCCAAATGTAATAGTAGCATACATGTATATGCTATTGTATTAGTCAGAGGGAATGTTTCTGCTGCTCTATTACCGAGATCCTAAAGCCTGTATTGTGCATAATTAAAAGATAAATACACCTGCTGGCGTAAATGAACATTTCAAGAGACTTCTATTTTAATTAAACAGGAAACTAAACACTTTGATATTATTCAAAGAGCTCATAACATTTCATTCATTGTTGTAGAAGCGTGTTGGGAGGCATCAGGTGACCGCTACACCAGACCTCCTCATGGGGGCAGTGTTGGAGCACACAGAAACACTCCTTTGCATTGGTGCTGAGAGGCTTGCTATGTACATATTGATTGGTGTGTGTGTGTGTGTTTGTTTGTATGTGTGTGTGTGTGTGTGTGTGTGTGTATGTGCATTCTTCTCCAGGCTCCTTCCATGGACGTGAAAAATATGTGGGTGTCAGAGATTCGAAAAGTTCTTACAGGCCAGCTAGAGGCCTGCAGAGGTACTCACACACACACACACACACACACACACACACACACACACCTATGCTCTTGAAAACTTCCCCCTCTTTATGTATTTTGTACTGCCGTCATAACAACGTCCTCGGTTGTAACTTGAGGCAGAAGGACGAGCTCTTTTCCGTTCATCTGCTGGCTCCAGATAACATGTCGTGTGATGCTGACACACATTCACACATGCAGACAGCTCTGCTCCGTTAGCTGACAGACTTGTTCCTCTCTGTTAGCAGCCGACATACACCGGGTCAGTAAACGGTGAAAACGTTACTGGGGGTACTTATGCGAGTTTTTGACTTTTTGTTTGCTGGTTGGTGAACAGTTTAGACCTTTAACCTTTTCTGTTTGCAGACTTGATGCTCAATGTTGAGCTTGGATCTAGTTTAGAGAGGCGACAGCAGCCTGTGAACCTTTCACTTTTTCAATAAATAAAGTTCTTCAAGTAAAATAATTCTGAATTTCCCCGTGCGCCCCCCGGTTATAGCACTGTGTCCCACTAGAGAGTTGCGCCCCACAGTTTAAGAAAACGCTTGTTTAGACCGACAGTTTTTTTGATTGGTTCTGTCGCGTCTTATTTTGTTTCATTGGAGTTTGAGTGCGTAAAGCGAGGTGAGTAGCTGTTTGTTTTTTAAGATTGTTAACAACAGGAATACATTATATTTGTTATATTTGTCCTGTACCTAATGATTATACTAAGACACATATTCTTCACAGGGCGGCACGGTGGCGTGGTGGTTAGCACTGTCGCCTCACAGCAAGAAGGTCCTGGGTTCGATTCCGCCCAGTGGCCTTTCTGTGTGAGTCTGCATGTTCTCCCCGTGTCTGCGTGGGTTCTCTCCGGGTTCTCCGGCTTCCTCCCACAGTCCAAAGACATGCTCTGGGGATCAGGTTCATTGGGACACCGTAGATGTGTGAATGTGAGTGTGAATGGTTGTGTGTCTCTGTGTCGCCCTGCGATTGGCTGGCGACCAATCCAGGATGTACCCTGTCTATCGCCCGAAGTTGGCTGGGATAGACTCCAGCCCCCCCGCGACCCTGTGTGCAGGATAAGCGGTTTGACAATGGATGGATGGATGGACATATTCTTCACAATGGGAACATAGTCGTGTGATGATATATTATGAAGACGGAGAAAACGCACACAAAATGGGTCAAACAATGAGTCAGGACTCAGTAGGCCGGTGAATTTCCGTTTTGGAAGTATGGTTGGTTACACTGTGGCTGTTTGTTTGGGATGTTTATGATGCTCATCCAGGTGTTTTCCGCCTACATAACACATTAACACACACACGTCCAGATGTTGGTACAGTGAAATATAACTCTATGCACACACCTGGCCTCCATCTCCTCTCTCTCCCTATGTGTCCCTTCCTCTCTCGGCCCCCTTTGTACCAGAAGACCGAGAGGAGACCGAAATTGGCTTGTTAAAGGAGAAGCAGGAGATTGAAAGCAATGGGGGAGATGAGACGAAGGAGGCGGAATGATAGGTAGATACAAAAGAAGAAAGAGACAAAGAGGGGAGACATGTTCATGGTGGAGATGGAGGCTGAGACTCAGCTCGCATCTGAATTGGTCATTTCAGAGAGGGGGAGAGATAATATCAATGGGCCTCATTCAATAATATCTTATTTCTTACATTTGTTTCGTGACTCAAAGTTGTGGAGGAAAATACGGGACAAATGTGTCCTTGATGAAAAGCAGCAGTGTGGATGCACGGGGCAATAAAGTCTATGAGAAATAAATAAAGCAACCAACGACTTCCAAAACACGTGACTCCACCTGTTGTTCTGGAGGTGAATCGCTCTGCAACACACGCGAGACTTTACAACCAGGAAGTGAAACCAGTGCGTGGACACGACGAGGCAGACGCAGAAACATGCGGCAGCCTTTAGAATGATAGAATGGTTACCACCCTGTTAATTCCCATCAAAGGGCACGAGATGGCCGGGCCGTGTGCACACTCAGCGAAATGTCAAAAAGACGGCCTTGACTCAAAAAGAAAGAAAAACGTCATTCTGAAGTGAAGATATTGCTGCAGAAGAAAGCGCAAAACGGAACATATTTAGTAGCAGTGGCTACAAAGTGGTAAATAAAACCGATGCATGGAACACAATAAGCCATAAGACATAATTATGTGTAAAATAATAAATATAACTATTTGCAAAATTATAAAGGAGAGAAATTGTCCGGATCGTATTGTAGGCAGGACCCAGATGCAGAGTTTGAAAAATAAAGACTTTAAATCCAAAAACTGCCAAGGGGGCAAAAACGCAGGCGGGGACCAGGGAGAAGACACTAAGGGAATCACGAGCATACAAACATTCAACAATGACGCGACAAGGCACAAGAGACACACGTGGCTTAAATACACTGGGAAGGTGCAGGTGATTGGACACAGGTGGAAACAATCAGACAATCACAGGGGATGACAGGACCAGGCAGGAAGTGAAGTTACCCAGGGAGACAAGAAGCAGAAACTACAAAATAAAACAAGACATGAACCCAAACCATGACAGACATATTCCATTTTAAAGAAAAGAAAACGGTATTACATGTCAGCTCTCGATTGTGTGTCAGAGTGCTCGTGGGTGTGTGTAAATTCTGATCTTACCTAAGAACAAATCCCAAATAAGAAACATTGGCGAATAACAGAATCTGAGAAAACTGCGTAAGTGGGGATTAAGCACAAATTGGTTTTTAAGAACATTTGGTGAATGAGGCCCCTTTTGCTCAGAAAGAGCGGAGAGAGGATCATAATGTGAGGTGGTGTATAAAAGGAATACTCTTTAAATAGTTCAACGGAAAAACTAAGACGATTTGACAAAATACTTTATCTATGATCATTAGCTTTTTCTAGAGCTTAAAGACACGTCATGGTCTTCACCCTCTTTTCTCCTCGTCCAATGATGTCTGTGCTCAAGAAGAACAAATATTCCTTCTTCTCTCATCTCCATGACAGCCATGCAAGCTGAAGAAGACCATGAGATGTAGCTGGAAAAAGCCCTCAAACTGTTTCCAAGATCAAGCATGAAGCGTATTCATACAAAAAGGGATTCATATAGCACACACATGAGCCTGAGCCTGGCCGTGCTTGGAGAGGAGATCTGGGAGGATGGATGGGTCAAACCAACACTATACAGAGCCACAGTAGACGGAATAAACACTGTGTATTGCCACCTTTGGCCAAATGTAGGAATTTATTCATAACTGTTAGAAAAAGTTGAGGAGGAACTAGCGAGAAATCTTTTCATTGCCGAGCATGGTACAAGAAGAATTTCACATTTTTTAAATTCAAACTGTTTGTATAAACAGTGGGAGGGAAGTGGAAATCAAAATAATGAATTACATAATGAGTACATACTTGACATATTCACATCAATAAGGCGAGGTGATGCCTCCCGCCACCATGTGACCAGCCTTTATGAATGAAACATGGGCCGATCCCTGATGAGAAAATATATCCATTTTGCTGAATACAATATTGGGAGCATGTAGAATATCTCCCTGCTGACTCTGCATTTGTGCGCCAGCTTCATTGTTCACTTGAAATGGGAGGCGACAGGCAGGATCCTTCGCAGAGCTCGCTCTCACACTTATATCAGCTGTGCAGTTGGCCGTGGCCGCACCTCACCGTCTGTAGTTATTTCACTAGATGTTCTCCTGTAGGTTTCTGAGCCAGGCTAGATCTGTTAATGTTAAGAAGTGAATCATATCATGCACTGCAGAAACAACAGCCACTCAGTTGATGTAGCAGTTTTGGTGATTTGATGCATCAAGATTACGGAGATGTTGGAATAGAAGGAGAGGTGAAGCTTTTTGTTCTCAAAGATGACGTTGCTGTGGAGCTAAGAGTGAGGAGAAAAACAGTTGTTACATCTTTTTGAATCCATCACTGGTTGTTCTCTTCTACCATTTACAGTATAACCTGGAACACCGTAACCTTGCTGCCAGTTCCTGTCCTGTATCCAATGGTGCAGGCAACAGAATCTACAGGGCCCGAAATGAATATAAAAACCCAGGGATCTACACACAGGACTCAGTTTCCTGACCCCATTCCTCAGCTCTCACGATATTCATGTTGTTCATATATGTGACACGTGTTTACGCTTCTCACTGAAAAGCTTGCAAGAGCCCAAGCATAGAAATGGGGTTTAACTTTGCATTATGCCTACCGTTAATATGCTGGAAAGAACCTCTCGACTTTTTAAGATTTTGGCGGGACCAGCACAGACCGGCACGACTCGCTGACTGAGTCAGTCCCATTATGTGTTGTAGTTGAGTTGGATTTCACACTTGGAGTCTACTTCAGAGCAACCGTCCTTTGGATAGAATTAACTAGGATCCAGACTAAGGACCGTGATGTAAAAGTTTCCCCAAGGAGATAATTGTCTGTGTTACGACTGTACATATGACCCCGCACACAGAGACTCCACACAGGACACAGACAATGGGTTCAAGGAATTTAATGAGCGCAGATACTCCAGGGGAGATGAAACCGAGGCTGAGTTTGGGGTCTCTGGGAAGGGGACGGAGCTCCACAGTGGAATGCGGGGGGTGCAGGTGGGGGTGTCGGCGCGATGTGAGGCAGGCGGCACGGCAGGTGAATCTGCGCAGAGGAACGGAGGTCAGACACAAAGAACCGCAGAGACAACCAGTTAGCTAGACCAGGATACGGAGCCGGTGTGAAGCGATCTGGAACAGCCCGGTCTAAGTCCTGCAGGGGTGACTCATGGAATGTGGATCAGCTGTGAGGGAACGGAGCAGGGTGGACGGCCACGCCTCGTGGTCTCATAGGAGTCTTCTCTCGCTTACCATGACCAAGTAGTCTGAGTATCAGCCCTTATTCATTGAGTCAGCAGACCAGAAAATGCTCCTATGAATGATTTTTATAGAGGTCCGATGGATAATTGTCAGTGGAGAAACGGTTCGATGATTAGTAAAACATAATGTTTCTCTTATGTCCGCAGAAGCCAGCCAGCTCAACATCTACGGGGCCCCCGTAAGGTCAGCATCTATGATATAATGAATCTTCTCTGTAAAAGAACAACCAAAATGAGAGCTGAAAAAATGCTCCCTGTGCCCCATGTTCTGCAGGAATGTGCGTAAGATGGCGCTGAGACAATCCAATTCATCAAGTCCAGAGTCAGGCTTCAAAAGAACCGACCCCAGCCCCAATATGAGGCACAAGAGAGGTGAGAGGTCACTTTAGAACAGGACTCTTTGGAAGTGTTCATTTCTTAGTTCCCATTAGCTTCTAGAGCAGAGGTGTCAAACTCATTTTGGGTTTGGTCCAGATACTGACCAGTTTATCTCAAGTAGACCTGACCAGTAAAATCATACAGTAGGCAACGATGCGGTTGAGTCGTCGGAATTATACGTATTGTGCATCTCTTTTACGTTTATTCTGTACTCAGTCTGTCCATCCCGGGAGAATGATCCTCCTCTGCCGTTCTCACAAAGGTTTCTTCTCTTTTTTTTCTCCCCATCAAAGGGTTTTTCATTATTTGGGTTGAGTTTTTCCTGTGCTGATGTGAGGGTTTCGGGACAGAGGATGTTGCATGTGTACACACTGTAAAGCCCTCTGAGTTTTTTGCAATTTTGGGATATAAAAAATAGAATGCATATATATATATATGTGTGTGTCTAGATGACCATATAGAACTTGGAGTTTGAATGTATGTGAATCTGTGTATGGGCGGATCAGTATGTATTATTTATTACATTACAGGTCATTTAGCAGACGCTTTTATCCAAAGCGACTTACATTACTTTAAACCCATGGCTTTTTTTTTTTACATTTTTGCCCAGGGAGCAATTAGGGGTTAGGACTCTTGCTCAGGGACACTTCGACTTGAGACATGGGGCAGCCAGGACTCGAACCACCAACCTTGCGATTCCCAGCGCACCCGCTCTACCCCCTGCGCCACGACGAAACAGTGAAACATGGAACATCCAGAAGTTTCTTAAGTGCCAAACTTTACAGACAGCCCTGCACAAAAATATACCGCTCGCCAAGAAGCGCACAGCTTGGGAGACAGTCAAAGCGTGTTGTGTTCACCGTGTACGGTTCTAGAAGCTTCTCTTGTACATAATGATTTCTTGTCGGAATAATCAATAGCGCTTGTATAGGAAGTAAAGATATACAGATTAAATAGTTCAATTTTTTTGAATGGAACACTATCATTAGTGTAAAACTGAAATTGTGTTTAAATGGAGAGACAAAAATGCATTTTCAAGTTTAACCATGTTAGTGTGAAAGTGTTCTTAAGGTCAAAATAGATCTATTCAATAATACTGTCACGAAAGGGGGACAGGAGACAGCCGTGAGGTAAGAACAATATTTTATTGACACGATAGTGGAACCAGACGGACATACGATGAATAGGCAGGCAGATGATGGGACGTTAACTGGAGGGTAGTCCGAGTTCCAGGTTCCGGACTGGAGGAGAGTCCTTTGGAGCAGCCCGTAAGGATTCGGGTACGTAGCGTTGGAGTCTGAGGTGTCCTGTAGAGACGAGACCAGACACTGAGTGTGTGAAGAGGAGTCAAATATAAAGGGAGGTGCAGGTGATGGTGATTATAACTCAGGGGACTGTGAACGAGTGGGAGGAGTGAGTGAAGCTGGTGGGATCCTGACAAATACAAACCAATGACGTCCATTTCTTCAGTATTTAGAAGACCAAGTCCATGGACAAATGTTTCTGCAGAGGTGACATTATCTTTAGGCTTCACCTCTGGTTGGCAGTGATTGGAACAATACATTCAGGGGGACTGGCTAATGTGTGCACTACACCACGATCATTTAAATCAGGAAAATATAAACAGTTTTATGAAGAAAACAGATTTTGGGAGTCCCAATTGGTGACCATCTTGAAAATAGCCGCCATCTTGGATTTTTGAATGGCCAATCAGGCAGATTTGACCAAATACCTCTGGAGAATAACACCACCAAATGTCATGCTTGTATCATAATTTGCATGATTATTCTACTATCTGCCCCACTTCACCCCATTTTATTTCTCTTCTTTGTTTCTAGTGACTTTGAGTTGAAGTGAGGGAAGAAAAGATCATCATTTATCAAAACATATAATGATAAAAGCGAGTCTTTAGCAAGGTGCTTAGACTCTACGGCAGATTTGTAATCAAGGACTGATGATTCTGCTGAGATTAGTAGGCTGATGAAACTGATGAAGCTAAGGCTGATGAGGCTGACATAGCTGATGACGCCTATGAAGCTGATGAAACTGAATCTGCACCAACTTGCCGTTGATGGAGAGGTGGAGGGGTGTGAAGAAAGTGCCATAACATAACCCTAGAGTTACTCATCTAAGCACTGGTCAGCTGCTTCCATCTGATGGTCCAGCTGATGGTCATGTGACTCATTGATGTGTCAGATTATTCAGGAGGCTTCAGCTTGTCAGTGTGTCTAGATATTTGAGGCTGATGAAATGATCATTCACACCTGGTATTAAACTGATCAGCATTGGGATATTCTATAACAAATGAGTCTGTCTCATGCTAATGATGTTTCACCCATAGACTGTATATAGAAAAAAGTACCTCCTTGGTTTGAAACCTGCCGTTTTAAAGCCAATTGAGTTTGGTATTGTGGCCGTTGCCATCTGGATTTTTTGGAGATGGAAGTGTCCATATATGGACTTGAGGGCAGAGCAGGGCTCAGTGGGACCAGCTACTGTTAGCGTAGCACCCACAGAACTACCACGGCCGTATAGCGTGGTAGTTTGGTATTTTAAAATGGATGTGGTGGTTGACTAGCTGGGGCCAAACTCAAGTGTCCACTAGAAGTTCTGCATTTTAAATAAGTACCGATGTCTTCCTTTTCTATTTTCTGTCATTCAGAGTAGGGGTTGTCAACATTCCGAATGAAAGGAAAGTGATTAAAAGAACCACCACTATTGGGGATCTGGAAAGTGCCGTCTTTGTGTCAATGCTTATACTTGTCAATCATATTGGCACCAATATGGCAAATCTCACAAGGCCTTTTCTTCCTCTTCTCCTCTGAACTAAACCCTTCTCTCCCTCGCTTCTCCACTCAGTCGATGCTTCAGCCGGCCAATCAGGCCACTTGGCTGCTAACGCTAGGAAACGCTTCACCTTGCAGGGGTTTTCCAACAGGAGGTCTCTTCCAGCAGGTAACGGCACTTCCACCGTGATCATCACCACTAGCGGCATCTCTGTCACCACCATGGCCCTCATTGTGTTTCATCTGTTATGGTTGTGCACTAACGCTGCAGCCACCTTTCTTCTGCCCTTTCTTCAGTCCTCATTCTTCTTTCTCTCCCACATATGTTTGATAGATTTCTCTGCAGCGTGTCAGCTTAATAGGGCCACATCTCCCTCATTTCTCCCTCTGCTTTTACCTGCTCATGTCCGTAACCTCTCCATCTTCCCCGTGCTCCAACAAGGAAGCTATCAGGAAAGAGTTGTTGAGTAGACTGCAGGAGACAAACAGAAGGATGGAGAGGAGCTACCAGACTGCTGGTACAAGGAGACAGCACGGCGCTAAATGTCACCCTCTAATATTCAAGCCCCATTGACATCTGGGAGCATAGTAACATTTTTGGTGCCTGTGATTTCAGGTTTGGCATTCTGAACACTCTCATAAAGTGAGGGATGGTAGAAGGAAGGAAGTAACGACAAAGATGTTAATGTAATATCATTTATTTCATGGAACTCATGAACTACAAATGAAATTCTTAAATCTTAAATGCAGATTGAAGCATTGGTATCAGGCTTATATTAGATATTATTTCCTGTGTTAAAAATAGAGGCCTCCCATGTTTTCTTGCTCCTATTGATGCCAATTCATCACTTTCTCCTTTGTAGATCATCATAATAGCTTCACTGTCGTGTACATTTCTACCCCACTAAACGAGAGCGTTCCTACCACTCCACTATCGGGAACTGATATCTAACCTGCCCGATGAGGTATTCGCATGTACATGTGAGAGCAGCCAACAGTTGTAACAACGTCTTTACCAACAAATAACCATCAAATCAAATAAAGATATCGCAGTTAAAATCTCTAAACAATATTTATCGTCAGATTGAACTGGATTCATTTTGAAGAATAATACACCATGCTATAATAACTAATTGATAATGATAATAATAAATATAAAATAATAAATGAGCTCCCACTGGAGAGAGATAGCTTTGTGATTCGTGATTGGAGGAAATGAAAAGAACACTTTACATCTAGTCAATAAAACTTCCTTTGAAAAATATCCTTCACAAATCATCAGTTTTCCCCAAAACACTACGTGTCAGTTCAAAGGTCATGAACTCTCTTAACTCTTTGCTAACTGTTCAACCACTTTTGGTAATTGAAGATTATTATATATTTTTCCAAATTGTGAAAAGCTGCTTTCCCTTTCTTTAAACGTGTTTCCCTGTTCCTCTCTCTCCATGTCCACGTCTCCTCCCGGCTGTAGAGCCGGCCGCTAAGGAGGCAGTGGTCACCCGCCGCTTTTCTCTCGCCTCCTCTCTCACCTCCTCTTCCTCCTCCTCCTCCTCCTTCGCCACACGACGCACAAAAGGTACCCGAAGAAGTGTTCCGGCCTCCACGTTTTGCTATTCCTATATTTGCTTTCTTTTCCTGGTTTGAGCCCTAACACACACACACACACACACACACACACACACACACACACACACACACACAGGCGTGTAATGACATATCACGGCTGTGCAGCTCAAACGGCTTGTTGACTCTTTATTTCCCTGCGTTGCTAGAATAGATATTTAGGTCCAGGACTGATGGATGAAAAGGTCACACTTTTATTCTTACTTAAAATGAATGAATCTAAAGAAAGGCCAGAACGAAGTACAACTGAATACTGAAACATAAAGTAAATAAATTAGTTGAGAAAACAACAATGTGTTTTCAAAAAGGAGGAGTTGATTTACATGATCTGGTCTATGCCACATATTTAGCGTCTATATCTTAAGTAAGATTGATGTTATTTAGGTACAATATGGTGGTAGAAAAATGTTTCACACATCCAAGTGAAAGATGACAGAAAAGTGTTTGGGTGTGTCTCCCGTGTCAATCGTAACCACTCAAATGAAATGTAGGGAGGAAAGCGTGTTTCCTGATTACCGTCTAGTCGACTGCTCTCTTGAAATTTATGAGATGCATAGAAATGTCTCTCACGCCTCTGACAAGAATGAAAGCATTATTAAAGGAAAAGAAAGTACAAATGAATGGACTTACATAGTATTTTTAGAAAGCGACAGTGAGGAAATAAGAATTGTGGTAAGCTGACATTTGAAAACGCAAGCTGACATTCACAGTGGCAGCAGAGGTGCACTTTTCCAGAAGTTCATTGTGAACTACTGGGCAGAGGCAGGAGCAGAATTAAAAAGCCCAGAAGAGGGTTATTAAAGTTTCTCTCATTGTGGTGCAGTGGCAGCGTTTCTATAAGGTGCCCGATGACGCTGCAGACCACCTTACTGGTGGAGTTGGGAATGTTTGGCCTACGTGGGCATGAATATCAATGAAGATGTAAAAGGCAATGTGAAACATTCCTGTTTATGTGAATTATTCTTAGTAGTCACAAGAAGCTGAAGTCAACTCTAAAAGCATTCGTTAGTGCATGGAGAACTAAAACTCACCATAATGAGTAGTACAACAGCACTTAAATAAAATCATTTTGTACACTATAAGTCACTTTGGACTATGGTGGTTATCTGTTGTTAAGGAGATAAACCGACTCACTAAGGCACCACCAGCTTCTTCAAACTACTCAAGCTATGACGTCTCCAAGGAAATTCATTATTAAACCATCACAACAACTTGTATTCATGCCAGGTGTTTGCATATACAGCTAATGCTTTATTTACAGCCAATGATGAATTCAATTAGCCACACAGTGCTTTTTCATTAAGACTTGGAGATACGTTTTAAAATGACTGCTGAGACTCGCTCTGTGTACCAGATGGCGTCACGGCGTGGAGACTCCGTACATAACGGGTCCTTCTGAACCGTACGCCTGGGCCTGAATGACAACGGCCTTCATTTCCACAGATGGAAGCTCCAGTTACAGATGGTGAAGATGTTTTCTGCCTTTTCTCCAAATGTCCATCTCTAATGATGCCTGTGGTTGCATGTTGTGTCCCCTGGCCAGGTCCCCTGTCTGCTAGCATAAAGAGCAAGAGACATGAGATTAAGAGCGATCCCACTCCATTTGGCTATGAAGGTACATGAGCATGCAGAGATACATGGCGTGTGTAATATGTGGGCTCTGAGCATGCTGGGCGTCTAGCACACTCTCTGGTTCATTAGGCACGACTCGTTTGTCTCGTTTGTCTTTATGTGGCGTTTCAGAGTGCATGAGGAGAGGAGCAGATGACGGGGGGTTTGACTTGGTTGGATTTCTGCATGAGTAGTGCCAGACACAGTTCATTCAAACATCAGGCGTGTGAAACGATGAAAAGGATGGTGTAAAGCGTTTGGCTTCCCTCTAGACACTTTACGCGGTGCTATGGCTGCAGTCAGGAAGCGTCAGAGCGGGACTGCTGGCGGCCCCCCAGCTGTCCCTAGATCCACCTCACAACCAGGTAACTGCGGGACGGACTCATCGCGGTGCTTTGGCCTTTGATTCTGTTTTCGTTAGTATGTTTATTTACCGCAGTGTTTCATTGGTTCTATGCTATGTAACATAATGTCTGGAGAATAAATAGTTTAGTTTTCCAACGCATTCTGCTGGAACGGAACCTCTGCTTTCATCTCATGCGTTTACTGCAATTCAACTCAATTTATTTGGTACGGCCCAAAATCACAACTGGCCTCCATCCTCTGCCCCCGAACCTTCTCCGTATCCCTTTAACTGCCATCCAAGTGCTCTGCAGCCAAATCACCGACTACATGCTCATGATGTTCCATTGCTACTTAATAAGAGAATCCACAGATCAAATAGTATTTTCAGATTAAGACTATTCTCTGGACATGTATATCTTCACACACTTTAATCGCTTTCCCGTTTACCACCACGTCTATTGTAGATTGGATGTTTTTGGAAGTTCTGCAAAACTGTCCGAGTGGTGATGATGAGTGAACGGGAGCAACATGTCAGTATTTGGGAAAAGAGGTTTTAAGCAAGTTAAGGAGTCATCAAGCTTTGCAACTGTGTCTAAACGGAACTAATCTCAAACAGGATTTGATTTGATGGCAACATGTTTTCAGTACCAACACAAGGCTTGTGTTATAAATTGAAAGAAACACAAAATAACTTGGTTAGGTTGAGTGAAGCATCGAGGTTTGGCTTGGCTGTGTTTGTTATCAAAATGAAGCTATAAATGGAACTTTAATGGACGCCAGCGTGAAACCAGGTGTCCATTAAAGTTCCTCCTGTGAAAGTCTGTTTGTTCGGCCCTGACTTCCTACAATGACAAACATATTTAAAAAGAAACCCAGCAGAACTAGTTGTCATACAGGTGAGAGTCAAGCAATATCGTTTGGAGGAGAGCAGGCGGAGCTTTCATGATGATGGACAACAAAGAACTGCACAGCAACGTTGTTTTCTATCAACGAAGCTCCATCACCCGCCAAGTGGAGAAGTGCGACCTCCTTGTTCATGAGTCCGTTCCAGTGGCTGATGATGTGTATTGATTCCCTTCAGGCTGGGCCCAGAAACGGCTCCCTTCCATGGACGCAGACGACTTTGAGACGATCCCCTCCAGTGCAGAGGAGTCCTCCAACTCGTCAGAAGAGGAAGGCAGCAATAAAACCGTAGGTGGCGCTCACTTGGATGGTTCAACCTGTATATGAACAGACGATACTTTAGACATTTGATAGTGAAAAACCCGAAAGTTAGAAATGGTTTGAGCTCGTCCATCACTTTCTCCTCTTTTTGGACGAAATCAGCCTCTGATCCCTGCTGCTGAAGTATTTCCCGGGGACATGTGTCTCGTTAGCAGCAGGCACTAAAACTTGACATTTAAAAAGTGAGGGAGACGAGAGACGCTGCACAGGTTTGCTGGGTACGGCAACCTATACGGATCCATTAGTCCGTGTGATGTATCACCTGTAGCCACACACACACACACTGAGGGTGTCCGTATGGCACACTGTATTTATTTATTTGACCTTTATTTAACCAGGTACAATCCATCGAGAACCAATTCTCATTTACATTGATGACCTGGCCCAGAGGCAGTAGCACAGACACAGTACAGTAAGACAAACACATGGCTAAAAACAACAGTTGTAGAGTCATATTAGAACATTTGTGCATATCGACACATAAAAAACGCCCCCCCCCAACTGAAATGAGCACTGCAGTGTCCAGTCTGTACATGACATTACACATGTACAGACTGTATACAAACGTACCATCAGTTTGGTTGAACTTTGTTCATTCCTGCTCACCCATTAATAATGTGTGTTGTCTGTTGGATTGTGGGGTTTCTCTAACCACTGGTTGATGACAAAGCATACGTATTCATTAGGTTTCACTGAATGAATCTTCAGCTCATACCATCTGCTACCAGCTAAGGCGATGGAGACGGATCCAAAAGGGACTCATTGGTTTTTCTGTGCAGGGGGGCAGGGGCCGTTTCCGGGTGCAGCTGACCTATGAGTCTCGTGAAGGCCGGGACCTTTCTCTGGAGGATGGCCACCTGGTCCAGTTTGTGGAGGAAGTGGAGAGCGGACACTGGTGAGAAGGCCCGTCGCATCCATCCATCCATCCATTGTCAAACCGCTTATCCTGCACACAGGGTCGCGGGGGGGCTGGAGTCCATCCCAGCCAACTTCGGGCGATAGACAGGGTACATCCTGGATTGGTCGCCAGCCAATCGCAGGGCAACACAGAGACACACAACCATTCACACTCACATTCTCACATCTACGGGCAATTTAAAGTCCCCAATTAACCTGATCCCCAGAGCATGTCTTTGGACTGTGGGAGGAAGCCGGAGAACCCGGAGAGAACCCACGCAGACACGGGGAGAACATGCAGACTCCACACAGAAAGGCCACTGGGCGGAATCAAACCCAGGACCTTCTTGCTGTGAGGGGACAGTGCTAACCACCACACCACCGTGCCGCCCAGGCCCGTCGCAATATACGATAAAATGACATATCGCACACTGAAATCGCTTGCAATCATTTTTGGTGTTGCGATATTCATATAAATTACCATCACCAACATTTAAGTTGATCACACAGACACAGAGCGACACCGACAAGTGAAGAGAAGCAGTGAACCCAACTAACAACCATCCGCCCGGTCTTTCAACCTCAACTACTGTCGGTTCCTCCGGACTGCTCAGTCGCCTCTTTGGGCGGGAGGAGCCTCGTCCCCGGACCGCCGTCCCCGGACCGCCGTCCCAAAGCAATTAGATCGTACAAACAAGATAACTTGCGTTATACTTTATTTAAGGCCCTCCTGTTCCTGTCTGCCCTCAATAAACTATAATTGCAGTGCAAGTTCTCGGTTTCCACTCACATTTGTGGAATTTTTCTTTCTATTTTTGGCTCACAGTTCTTCGCAGAAGACTTTCATTGTTGGATCGCATCTTCCATGGCAATAAAAAGGACGCGTTTGAGTCTTTTTATTGTGTTTTTCAGACAGCATTTTGATGTGGAAAAAGACTTTTTACAACCTGTACCTGGGGCCGTGGTCTTCTTTAAAGAACTAGTTATGAGCATGGAATGAGTGGAGGATGAGGCCAGTCGTGACAGCATTCAGGTTACATTACATCCAGCTTCCCATATATAACGGCAGGTAGCTGGCTGGAGGGAGCGGAACGCGTCCTACCTGCTGTTATATATGAATATACTCCCAACGCTGGTCTTTTATGTTTGGACGTGTCCTAAGATTCAGGAGTACTGCTCTCCATCCAGACCTGGAGCTCACAGCTGATCAGTACGTGGTTTCTTTGAGCTTTTGCTCTTAGGACACCATGTCTGCGTCAGGCGAGCCAGTGCGCTGTCACAGAGTGAATAACATTACATCATGGATTGACTCGCAGCTCCTGATGTCTCTGACTTAATGTTCTCCAACAAACATCTGGCCACTAGATATTGGGCCACTCGCTAACACTCTCTGACTGCACGCATTTCTGAGAAAACTCCGGTTGGTTTATGACCCTGTACAGCTTCACCAGCTCCTGACCTCCACTGGCAAACACCTACGTACTTCAGCATTGCTTGCAAACTTTCAAAATGTATAACAAACCCCCCCTGCATTTATTTTTTAAATTTCCGTCCAGAGTGCCCCTCGGGCTGATGAATGGGATGATCAACAAACTTATCATTAAATAGAATTTTTAATCAGGATCAGGAATCAGGAAACATTTATTACCAAAATATGTATAATGTTTATGTAATGTTTAATTTTTGACTTTTAATTGAATTATTTAGCATTTGTATAAACATTTACAGGTCATTTTTATTCAGATGTAAACAATCTCTGTGTCCTGAGACAGCCATCACCACCAGTGACCATCAGTAGACACTCATTGTCATGCTTTAAAACTCGAGACATCTTACAGTTCATTTGAGGATATTTGGTTCAAACTATGAAACATAGTCCTCTGTTTAATTAACCAATGCCAGTAGGTGGGTTTTGGTACAAGATATCACCTGGATCAATATTAGGGTATAACGTGTTTCCAACTGGTTGTTGTGGAACACCTCCTGAAGGAAAACGCAGCTCGGCGTCTGGTGAAAGAGTGTCCGACCAACTGGCTTTCAGAAACAGCCCTACTAGTCACCTGCAGCTGTGTTATGCTCCTTTCCTGCTATGGCACAAGTCAATGGCTCATTCTGGTGTCCTTTTTTCACCATAACCCTGCTTAAAGGACCCAATAGTGCCAAAAGCTCTTCGTCATCGGCTCATTTCAATTTCAGCGGTAGCAACAGCCAGCGCAAATTTTGAAATTGAGGCTTAGAAGTCACCCTCAGCATTATTCTGTCATAATCCTCTTATTGGCTGTCCAGACTGTGAAGAAAAGACACATCTGTGATTAACTGTGCTTGGATCCAGGGCGGTGTGCCTAATTCAAGGTTGATTTCTGCCCATGTCCCTTTCTCGGCAGAAAGCAAACACTCTTTGTTTGTGTATTTGTGAATAGATATACTAATCCATTTCCAGGTCACATGTGGAGGTGACTGATCAAAGCTCACACTCAAAGTGTGCGAGTAGATTCCATGTAAAGTCAATGGTTGCAGGGTGCGAATGACACGAATCAAGTGAATGGTGCAGACTCACTGGCAGAGTTGGTGAAATTCTGTGTTATATTTATTATAATACATGTAGTATAATGTAATTAGGACCTGAGCCGACTGAATGTCGGGCGAAGCCCTATTGTGTTTCAAAGAGATGTGATTCAATTGCACTTTTGAGGCCTTTATCATATTCAAAAACTCTTGAAATTTTGCATGCGCATCAGAGGTGTGAAGATTTTTGATATTGTAGGGGTCACGCATTTGGGTTAGTAAAAATGGCTATCTAGCGCCCCCTAGAGACGTTTCCTCTGGGAGATTTTTTCCCAGTTCCACCTGTTGACCTGTTGAAAAAATCAATCATGGCATTCAAATGCGCCTAACTAGATTTTCCGCCATTTTGAATTTTGTGAAAAACACATTTTTTCGAACTCCTCCCAGACACTGAGTCCGATTGTCCGAAAGCTTCTTGATATCTCAATTATATTTGTAAGGGGTGTGGCCTAATTTGAAGACCACTAACACTAACTAATAATTAGCCGGTCCTCACCAAATCTCTAGGATATGTTCACATTGGGTTTTGGATTATACCCTAATTTTTCAGAATATTTGAACATTAGGGGGCGCTGCAGTCAATTTTTGCTTGTTTTTTGCAATTTCCATCGTATTTAGGATTTACGAACGAACACCCCTTGAGAGTTTAAATCCGATCAATTTGGTCAAAAATGATCAAAATCAAAAGTTTTTGTGAAACTACCTGGCCGTGGCCTGGCGTCCACTTTGGTCGATTTTCATCTCCTCTCCCTAAGGCACCTTGTGCAAAAACTAAGAAACAATATGGAAACAAGATGGCACCTGAAATCTGTAATCAAGAAGAGATGTGTGTACCTGTACCTGCTTTGGAACACTTTCCTGGTACTGACAGAAATGTTCTTTTCGGCATGAGTAGTATGAAAACTGTTGAGCCCTGAGAGTCGGTATAAATCGTATTTTTCATGTTTTGAGTCTAGATTCTCATGGTAACAGTAAAACATTGTTCATATTTCTCAGGTAATGAAAATAATATAACCTTTGTAGTATACTGTAACTCTGGACAAATGAACATGAACACCTGAGCAGGGCAGTGAGACATACTTTACCCATCCACCCTCTCCACTCTGCATTTAGCCCGCTGAATGACCCTGAAGGTGGGACATAGAGAGAGGAGCGATGTTCTTATAGTATAACGCAGTGCAGTTCAACAACATGTTCGCCTTGGATATTGAGCCGAGAGTATCAAAAATCTGACTTCACAAAGGCACCGTTTGTTGATGATAGCATATTTTTGCATAAGCGAAGCCTTTGTTCTATCACTATCTGTAATCGATACCCTTCCTATGGGTTCCCATGTTGAAGTCATCCAGTTCCAGAGCCAGGAGATGAGGCGGGTGCTCTGCTGAGCTGCTCGCTTTCCACAAAGATCGAGGGCAGCGTGGCTTTTTGGAACTAACATGTCATTCCCTATAACGTTGCCATCCTGGGGCAGTGGGAGGTACAACAACAGAACGTCTTACCAGCATTCTACGATGGGCTGACGGACCACGAAATGGCGAGATGAATAATAGATACTCTTTAAGATGAAGGCTCAACTTGCTTCACTCATTTTTAATCAGCTCATGCATATTTCACCCCTTGAAAACATCTGCCGTTTGCATCTGTGGGTTGCGCTGCACTGAAAGGTCTCACCCACTCACACTCGAGGAATATAGTTCATAAGAGTTTTGTTGTCAGGTCAAAGTTAATGTGCAACTAAATAGAGCTTTACAGAAGGTGACAGATGGACTGTGTGCTGCGGTGTGTTTCCTCTGCTCCCTTGTGTGCTTGTTTCCTGCCCTGATATGTGTAAATATACATCACATGCAGGATATGTACACGTCTTTGTGGACTTAGGAGAATACCATTTGTGTGTATGGATGGACTGTACACTGCTGATAATCACACTTTTTGCAACATGCACCTGCAACGTGCTGCACCTTTTCCAGATGTAGACATTCATTTCAAACCAGTAACACACACACTGTCCTTTCCTCTGGGCTCCCTTTTGACAATCAGTGGTATTTTTGAACACATTAGCATATCTGACATCCGACGTTAAATGCATAAAATCAGGCTTTTCTATTTAATATATTTTAAGATGTCTTTTAAGTCAAATTACTCATCATTAAATGCACAGAGGATGTGTGGAAAACATTCCAATCAACGAGTGACTGTCGTATGCGTTGTGTTTTATCACGATACCTCCGGTGCTCCAGGGTTCACATTCCCAGAACAAAAAGCACTTGTAATATATGGAAGTTGTGTTGTCATAAGTTCATTTGTGTTATTTATAAAAGAAATGAACAGGGACCAATGAGAGAATGTTTGTGATGAAGCAAGTTCCCTCAAGGCAATAAAGCCAAGTGTGTGTTTTGAACTTCCCCCTGCCCTGCATTGTGCCTTACGGTCCAGGCTAGTGAAGAACCTTTTAACACAGGCGACAGGATTGGTTCTGTCCAGCACACTGCAGACAGCATCTGAAGGAGGTCGCTCATTACGTACCACTTCTGACTAACCACTGGCCGACTCTCACTCCAAGCCACCCAGTCCTCCGCTCCACTCCTTCAAACCAACTCCATCAGTTCCTCCCTTACTCTCGCACATAGAGGATTCGTCGAGGGGGATTAAGTGGGCTTCGCCGTTGGGTCGGGCTCAGGTTGGACGAGCTTTGGCTTGTTGAGTTGATTAAGCAGAGCATGTCCGTGATTGCAGCACATTCTCCCAGCTACACTCTTCAGGAGGGTTCACTGCAGTACTATTGCTGCTGGAAGTGAACCTGGTATAAAAAGATATGTGGCGTGGTGGTTTTCACCGTCGCCTCCCAGCAAGAAGGTCCTGGGTTTCACTCCGCCCATCATTCTGTGTGGAGTCTGCATGTTCTCCCTGTGTCTGCATGGGTTCTCTCCGGTTCTCCGGCTTCCTCCCACAGTCCAGAGACATGCTCTGGGGATCAGGTTGATTGGGGACTCTAACTTGCCCGTAGGTGTGTGAATGTGAATGGTTGTGTGTCTCTGCGTAGCCCTGCGATTGGCTGGCGACCAATCAGGGTGCACCGTGTCTCGCCTGTGGTTATGTGGGATTGACCCCAGCCCCCCCCGCGACCCTGTATGAAGGATGAGTGGCTTTAGTACGTTGTTGTATTACTCGGTTACGTTTTATTTGACTGTTTCGTTGTTTTGTTGTTGCATTACGTTTAATACGTTTACGTATTACGTTATTGTAATAAGTTGTTGATGATGTTACTTTGTTATAAAACGTTGTTATATTCTCTTGTTGTACTACGTTGTTATGGTAGGTTTTCATTTTACTGCGTTACGTTGTTATATTACTGCGTTACGTTGTTATATTACTGCGTTACGTTGTTATATTACGGTTGGTGTGTTTTATTGGCGCTGCAGTCCTGGCTGTGCATCTGCCGTTTGAATGCCTCAGTTTGTCCACATATTCCTGTGCTTAAATGTCTATGTTATATAATAGGGGGTCACATTGTGTTTGGTTAAAGCTGACTTGAGTCTGTCTTGTTGTCTTTCAGATACATTCAGTGATTTGTACAGCAGCGATCTCTGACTGGGACGACAACAGAGCCAGTACTCAGGACAGCAGATGAACACGGCTCATTAGTTCAATTCATCACGTTGGACAACAAATATCTTTGTTGGATCACAAAGATACATTTTCAACTGTAATTTCCTCAACTGGAATATCTACTTTGAAGTTTTCATCAGGACTACAGGCCCGCTTTTGTTTTCAGCTGTAGAGTTTGATAACTGACACATTGAATCCTCTGGACCTTCAGGCAGATTGTGAGGAGACATACAGTGTAAGACCTTTGATTCAAGGGAGCGCCAACTCCTTGGTCCTTGGAGCAATAAAGACTGCATGCACAGTGTCATGAGTGGACAATCAACCTTTCACCCAATGAACTTAGAATATGTACTGTAGAAGATGCAATCCAGATTGACATAATCCCTGTTCTTGGAAAGTTGTGCAGTTCCCTGAGGAAGGGATGCATTCCATGTGCTGGTGGCGAGCCGGCATTGGCAACTGGCTCGGTTTGGTTGCTGCGCTGTGCTGAAGTAGAACTCGTTGACTCTTCTGCTTACTGAGGAACCTCCTCGTTTTCTCACTGGCCTTTTTTGGCCCCACGTGGCATAATTACATCAGTTTGGAAGCACAATCAACATGCCCGTTATCACAACCTGTAGACTGTAAACTTTTGAGAGACACATCTGGGTGTATTTTATCACTATTCAGCTTGGATACACCGACCAACTTCCCGCTGTGTCAGAAACAAGGCTGTTGTCTTAAAAAACCTTTATGCAGGACATAAAACCCCCAAAAAGATTCAAAAGAAGTTTGTAATGTAGTTTGTGAGTATAGTTATAGTGAGTTTGTACTGTAGTTTGGTTACATTTATTTGACATGTCATCACAAGCCACCCTTCTTCATATTACACATAACCCTTTGACTCATTGTTCATTCAGAATTTAAAGATGGGTGCAGCTTTAAAAGAAAGAGGGTATGTCAGGGGTGCAACAATTTAGAAAATCCAATGATGGCTATTGCCAGCTGACATATTTTCCAATCGGGAATTATTTGAGAAATGAATTACATTGTGTTTGTCCATTATACATATACTGTGCATAGCAGAGAGGAGAAGCTGAATGGCTTCTTATGGAAATCAGGCATTACTGTTCTTTTGATGAATTGGCTGGTGGCTTTTATTGAATCCCTGTGCATTGTGCTATTTCGACTCATTTCTACATAATGGGATTTTTAATAGCAAGCTTTCTGAGAACATGTCACACTATTTGCATACCAGCTGCTACGGTATCTCCAGGCGGCACATATTCAGGCATTGGGTTTCTGATTTGTGTGCATGTAAATCCCTCATGTACAATAACTCTATCCAAGCAATCAGAGAACTGGATATGAGTATCTCATTTTCACCGCCTCGGACTAGCAGTGTTCAGCTGCAGACTCATACTTAACACCAGAGGGGCTGTAGAATCTGAGCACCGACTTGTTTTTCCATCAGTTTTGTTGCACACCAGTAGTTTTGCAGAGATCAGCTTCTGACCGCATCCACTGAGCATTGCCCCAGTAAGTCAGGTGGCTGAAAAGCAGCAGAGCAAAGTCAGGGAACTGGCTATTTGCTGCATGGGATTTTTCAGCGGAGCATTTATTAGTAAGCCGCACTGTTTCCTGTCATCAGCTGTGTGTGTTTCCCTTTCTCAGAGAGTATAATAGCGCCGTATACTGAGGGTTCATTCAAGGACCACAACTCCTGTGGACAAATCTGTAAATGGAACGTCACGTCACAGGAGCTCATTATATTTATTCTTTAACTTGTTATGAACGGAAAGAGAAAAAAGGATATCAAAGGCCTGAATATTCACCTGTAAAGAAAATACATGATGACAGAATACATGTCAAAGTGTAATGCTGAGTTACTCTGTGAGAAAACTACAGTAAATAACTGGGACCATTCTTTTAAAATAAGAGCTCTGATAAGCACTTGGGATGTATCGACAAAGAATAGAAGGATGATCGATATATAGATGGGCATATGAACATGTAGATATTTGGGATGTAAATGGTTTACCAACTGTAGCAGAAGGCGGAACTCTATTTAACGTCACATGCATTAATATTAGTCTGACTGCTGTGCATTTTGTTCATCCTATCCGTGATAAAAAATACTGTACTTTTGTAAATAAATATATTTATATTTTACTACATTCTGCTGTCAGCCTATTACAGAATGTAGTCTGTATACTGTCAAATCTGTCACTATAATGTACATACCAATGTATTATTAAGCATTTACAATATTCATTTTGTCACCTTCTTTTTTGTATTTTAGACCCTGTTTCCGAACTTAACAATGCATGCAAAACTGAGATTTGATACAGAGGTGCTTGATTTAAAATAAAGGACCCATTTATTAAAGACTGTGTTTGTCACGGTGTGGGTTTGTTTCCTGTCTTATTTTGTAGTTTCCTGCCTCTGGTGCTCCTGCCTTGTCCTGTGTCGGGATCTCCGATCCCCCTGAGTTGGTTGATGAGGATCCAGCACCTTGATCAATTAAAGTCAAAAGTTAACATTTATTTAGAAGAGAAAAAGATTAAATGAGCAATTCTCCGCAGATATCTGGCTCTAACTATTGCAGGCACTTCTACACGGCCATCATCGAGTCCCTCCTCTGCTCCTCCATCACCGCCTGGTACGCTGCAGCCACAGCCAAGGACAAGGGCAGGCTGCAGCGTGTCATCCACTCTGCAGAGACGGTGATCGGCTGCAATCTGCCGTCCCTGCAGGACTTGTTTGCTTCCAGGTCTCTGAAGCGAGCTAAAAAGATGGTAGCCGACCCGACTTGCTCATATACTGTGGGTTCGGGAGGAAAAAAAGAAAATCGGACTGTTTTATTCAAACTCATCGCTTTTTACACTTTTATCCAGGGAGCAACATGGGACACGGAGCAGCCGGGACTTGAACTGCCAACCTCGGGATTCCCGGCGCACTCCCTCTACCCCTGCGCCACGTCGACCCCCATGTTATGCCCAGGGCTGTAGTGGAGGGTAAACGCACGTAAACGCCGTTTACGCACCTCTATAATTTTGGGAAATAGCGTTTACGCACCTATAAATAGCGTTTACGCACCTCAAAGTTCCCTGCGCCTTGTATTCTTCCGTTGGAATAATCCGAAATAAAATTGGTGTAATTTTAAAACAGCTAAGACTACGTTTCCTATTGTTGAACATTATAAACGCCGTAGTCTGGATTCATGTTCATC